TCCAGTCTCTGAATTGGGTTTGCAGACTACTAGTGTGGAGCCGCTCTCTTTTATTTGACTATGTGCCTCACTGTGAGAAAGGAAAAAATGGCTTTGTATAATCACCAACCAGCCATATGGCCCCAAAAAAGGGAAAAAAAATGTTGGCAACACTTTTTTTTGCGCAGAACACTAAAAAGAGAGCAAGAGAGAGAGGGGCAGAGGGAGACGTTTCTGACCACAACTCATAAACCGCACTTTATTTAGACTGGCGTGCACCCATTATTTGTTCACAGGGGCTTTCAGTCAGTCTGAGGGAAATATGTTCCAGCATCTGGGGGGAGGAGGAGGAGGAGGAGGGAAAGGGGGATGATGGAAGAGAGAGAAAGAGGTAGAGAGAGAGAGAGCACGAGAAGGAGGAGGAGGTGGGATGAACTCTTGCCAGGTGTCGGCCGTTGCCATGGCGTTCCATCAGGCGACTCCATTGCGGTGCGGCAGGCTCATCAGAGACTGAATGCCAATGGGAGGGCGTTTGCGCTGCAGAGAAACCGAAAGTGGTTCTAAAGCGCTGGGCTCAAACCAGTCTTCCCCCCTCCTCCTTTTCCCTGCTGCTACCACCCACCCCAGCCTACAGCAATGTACAGAATGTGACCTGTTTGTGTGATGTATGATTGACAGGCAGGGTCTATATATGCACTCAAGGCTGGCTCTCTCTGTAAGTATGTCACTGTGAATTCCACATTTTCTGTGACATATAGAGGAGAGTCTGGTTTAAAGTACAGCCTGATAATTCCTGTCAAGGGGATTATTTGCTGGTGAGTAGTGCAGGGAGAAAATATCTATAGACTTAAACATGGTTCTATGTAGGTTCTGGAAAAATTGTGCCTTCTTGTAGTTTTCTTTTCATGGGTCCAGGCAAAGATTGCTCTGTAACTAGAGCTATATTCAACTGCTCAATATATCAAATACTTGATGAATAATACAAAATAATAATACATTATCATACATACATATCATGGTCAGTTTTTTAAAATGATCTTTAAGTATTTGATATATCAGTGAATAACATAATAACATTATATATATAGAAAGAGAGAGAGAGAGACATAATTTTTATGTAGTGTGTATTTTGATATGTTGTATCATAGCATGTATTGTGAAATGTTTTATAGCATCTATTGTGATATACGTTATGTCATGATATGTGACGTGACATTTTATGATATGAATGGTATCATGATATGTGACATGAAATGCAGTATGTATTGCGGTAGGGATGATATTATGATGTCCAATGCGGCATGTATTTTAAGATTCATTATGACATGTATTTTATCTTTGTATACCACGTTTTATTTACTGTGACATTCAGTGTCATATGTATGATATCATGATCTATAATTTATTTTGATGTGTGTTGTATCATGTTTTGTATTGTAATATGTGTCATATCATGATATGGATTATATCATGGTAAGTATCGCATCCTGCCATTCGTTTTGTTGTCATATTGTGATATGTAGAATGTCATGATGTCATGTATCATGATATGTTTTGTGATATGTGTTGTGTCATGATATGTACTGTATCGTGGGATGTATTGTATCCTGCTATCAGTTATGTTGTCTTATCGTAATTTGTAGAATGTCATGATGTCATTTATCATGATATGTTTTGTGTCATGATATGCATCATATGTAATGTATCATGGTACATATCCTATTGTGATATGTATTTTGATGTGTGTTGTACAATAGTAAGACTAGTAGCGTGACATGAATTGATATGAATAGTGATCTGTAGCATTTGGCATATCATGTGCAAGGATCTCGATTCTTTGAAGCTGCCTAGATTCTTGCCTACAGGTGGGCAGGCGTATCCTTTTATGCATCCAATCTGGACCATTCTTGACAGGATCTCTTTTGACACTCCAGAAGTCATTTGCATCATTTGCCTAAAAGTTGAGATTTTGGGGACATGTTTTCCTCCCTCTCTTGCTGCTGTTGTATGAATGGTTTACATTAGCATCCTCTGGTTTCTAGCAGAGTTTCTATGTTCAGAAATGTTATTGAGCATTGTTGCAAATGTCATCATTGATACACAAAACAGCTCTATTTCTATTCACCTATATTCCTGTTCTGCAGCGACTGTACATATTCACTAACTGAATAGGCCTCGCTCACTGCAACTCTTAGCAACTGTTGCTATGTGTAACATTGTTGAACTCCACCTCGCGCTCGCTCTTCAAATGCGAATGACTAATCCATCACGGAGCACACTGAAAGCTCTCGGTGAGGCCTCTGGAGCCGCTTGACGCCCCCCATGACCCTCTCCTGGATGTTTCCTCATTACTTTATAATGTATTCACGCTTACGCTTCCATGGCGCTCGCCCTGGCCTCGTAATGGGAGGAAGCAGTGAGCTGTTCCAATGCATACGAGCCCGCCACAATTTGCACTTCATTTTATTAACAAAAAACAGCCAGCCCAGCTTCTGGCGGTGCCTCGCCAAAGCTCACCAGGCTCCAGCGTTGCACAGCCGACAAATTTCCTGCAATGTGACGACAGGATAGAGTCTCTCAGCATCAGTGGGGTACCTCCGCCGGCCCCCGGGAGATGCTGTCATTATGCGTGTTTGCAATCATGGGAGCTGAATACCTTGGCTGGAAGTGAGGGAGAGGGGGGAAAGAGATTGAGGCTGAGAGAGAGAGAATGAATGTTTCGGCTCCTCAGCGGTGTTTGGAGCTTTCTGAAATGCATGTGCTATCATAGCAATGTTGTGTTTACCACAGCGGGAGGCAAACACAGAGTCGCAGAGGAGAGGCGCGGAAACGCCAGACACAGTAAAATGAGCAAAATACATACATTAGGACTCTCTGTATTCACCACACACAAGCTGAGCTGAGGGGGAAAAAACTCATTTCAATATAAATGGATGACAAGCAGGGAGTGTGTCTTTATATCAGCTTTTGAACATCTCCCTTTTTTTTTTTTTTTTTTTGCTCGCCACATGGAAATATCCAGCAGAAACCCTGGGACGAGTTTTGCTGGGAAGTCAGGATGTCAATGTTAATTTTCTTCCCGTTGCTAAGGAGACTCTCTCACTCACAGCAGCTCTGGTTCCCTCCCCCATGGTCACCGGGCTTTCAGTCAAAGAAGCCTTTCTGTTTCCAGTCGTCTCCTTTCTGCAATCAGACATTGAGGAACATCTCCACATCAGGCTGCACCGGTGGACCGGGAGACCCCAACATCTGGGGGCTGTATTGATTTCCTAGAATGGGTGATGGTGTTGGTGGAGGGGGTGGGGGGGGGTTATCTCCCCAGTGAGCCCTTCAGCCAGTCTTCTGCTGGGATTGTCACGCTAGTGTTTGGCTGGCAGAGCACAGGAGCTGCTTGTCTTGCACTAAAGTAACACAAGCAAGCACTTTAATATAATTCACCCCCACCTCTCCATCTATTTTTTTTCTATCCAGAGTCTTAGCTGTTAGCCACACGGAGGGAAAAAATAAGCTAAAACGAGGGCAGGTTGCGAGGATAGCTTTGTAAACATTTTAGCCTGTCAAAGCCAGAAACGGAAATCAGTGGAACAAATAGCTGTTGTGTGGCTGCCACAAAATGATCCCTTCCAGCCTCTGTAGTCACCTTTCTGACTGACTGACACGCAGCGCTAGTTATCATGTAACACAACAGGAGCTTAAAGGGGTTTAGATGATATGCTGGGTGGTTTGCATGCACCACCAGGTATTAAACCCCTCTTACCTCTGTGAGAATGGCGCCTGTCCCCATGCAGCTGCACAGAAACATGTAGCTCAATTCAATTCCTACGTGTATGCTAAAATATCCTGAGCTTTTTCTGCTAGTAGAAGTAAACATTTTTGAGCCCAAGTCCGTCATGTGTTAACTCATTGATCATAATAGGTCTCAAAGAGTTTGTAATTTAAAGTTATTTTGTGCTATTTTGTCCTTTTTGGTGGACTTTAGTGAAGTTTCTGCACTGTCCTCTTACTTCCTGCTTCCAATGATGAAAAATGACACTGCAGCTCTTTTAAAAGAGCACATTTCACATGGAGACACTCCAAAACAGCTCCAGGAGTTTAAATGTAAAATGTAGTTTGTGTTGAATAAATTTAAAATATGAAGATAAGCACACAGGTGCAGCTTATAGCAGCAGTCAAGCACAGCACAAAAACTAGCACAGCACTATGTAGGAGTGTGCAGATCACCAGAGCCTTGTGGATGAGTCTGAACTGGAGATGCTAACAGTGGCTGCAGATGAAACTCCTGCATTTGTGTCAATGTTGGTGCCCCTTGTAGACGAAGCAGTCTTTGCATATCTTGTAATTAACACACTTAAGTAGTGAACTCATCTGGTTGACTCTTTAAAGTCAAATGTGTGAATTTTTTGTGACTATTTTATCAAGATGTCATAAAAACAGAGTTTTCCCTTTAGCGTTTTGGCTGACAGCCACGTCCTCGCACCAGTTTCAGTGATAAAAATGTTGAATTTCAGAATGGTCAGTCTTGTCACTAATGGTCTGTTTGGCTTTTGTAGCTCATAAAGAGGTGTCAGGATGAATTTCAGTGTATTTTATAAACATCAAAAAACTCCTCACTGGAGCTTTAACTGTGGGTTAGTCAACACTGTGGAAGACTCAGGGTTAAAGGGATGTCCACAGGTGGGCATGTTATAAAAACTAATGACACTATTAAGAACTTAACTGTTCTGAAATGCAAAGTAAAGAAACCTTTAAAATATGATTAAAATTGCAACTAATTGTGTTTAAACACTGAAATTCTGTGTTTGGATATAAAAACTGAATCGATTACTACGACTGATTATTTCCAAGGTACATAGTGGAGCTTCGTATCTCAAATTAAGTATCCTGTAAATTTTCCACAGTATAATTTCATTGTTTAATTTTCTGATCTTTGTTTAAATTCCTCTTTTAGCATTACTGTGCAACAAGTTAAGGTGTGGGCTGTCATTCAATTTATACGTGAAATAAACACAACAGAGAGTTGGTAAGGTTTGGTGACTTTTATTCAAACAAAAACAGGAAATTACAGCAATAGGGGGGTTTATATGCACCTTGCAGATGTACTTGCATACAGTTAGGAAAAAATAAAGTGCAATTGTGAAAAAGACATGCACTTTCAATGAATTGTTCCTGTTTTGCATTCATTTCTGAACCCTTTATACTCTCAGAACTACTACAAAATAGATTATTTTCTTTCTGAATTCTTTTGTCTGCAAAGATGTGCACACAAGTTTCTCAGATGCACATATTTAAGAGTATAGTTTCCTCAAACTATTTGTTTTTAATATTCTACCAAAACACAGAGAGTGTCAGAAATCCTCAAATGCAAACAGCTGCAAGAAAGTGAACATTTAGTATCTTGGCTTGAAAACAAATCCATTATTAAGATAAAGTGTTGGAATCAGTCAAACTGTTTTGTTAAACATGCAGAGCACACAAACGCAGGATGTTGTCAGCCGCACACTTTCCTCTAACATGGAAATTGCCTGAGCGGTAAAACAAGATCTCAGAGTGATTTCTTTTAAGTGCATATGCAGGCTAAGAGAGTTTTCTAGCTGAGGGCTAAACAGAGAAAAGACAAAAATGACATGGATTTCACCGTCGAATCCCTTTAGCGGGCGGCTGACACATGAATGAGGGCAAAGAGAGAGAAAGGAGAGAAAGAGGGGGAGGGAGAGAAAAAAAAGAGTAGACAACCAATTTGGGAGTAATGCAACTAAAAACTGACAAGTGTAATTTCATCCATCTGGGCCGATGTGTAAAAAGCGCTGCTCCAAACATTCCCCATGATTCCCCCTGATTGATCTTCCCCTGGTCTGAAACACCTATTATTAGCCACGAGCCTAATAGCACCAGGATGGCTCAGCGCTCTCCCAGGGGCCAATTCTCCGGTCATCTGCCCCTCACTCACCACAGCTGTGGAAACCAACCAGAGAGAGGGAGGGAGGAGGAGATGGAGCTGCCAAGAGGGGATGGAGGCGTACCTAAAAGGGGGTGTAGGGGGGGACGGTGTGGGGTTAGGGAGAGGGAGCGAGGTTGAGGGGGAGAGGAAGAGAGGGGTAGAGTGGGTATGAAGAGGAATATGGAGAGGAGAGGGGAGAGAAGAGGGGACCAGCGGCTGGACATGCAAGAGGAGGGAGGGAAGGAGGGAGGGAGGAAGGTGGGTGTGATGGAAAAGCCAGAAAGAGAGGGGGAAACATGGAGACAAAGAGAGGGGAGAAAAAGTTATTCAGCTGCATTTATCTTCACACACAAAAAAATCTATTTCACCTTTTTCTGTATTTAAAATCAATTTCATGTTCTCTCTCCGAGACCTGGTTTTAATGATTCACTGAAAAGGTTTTCACCGGGACATGGTGCCTGACTCATGTTCATCACTCCAGGTGAGGAGGCTGCACCCGCATGTTAACGCACGGTAGACTGACTGATGGAGGCTACAGTGAGCTGCTTTACACTGAAGTGAAACTGCACACACACACACACACCACAGTGGTTTTCACATGTAAAGGTGCTGAAATTATCTATTCCTTTTTTTTCTTTTTCTTTCTTTTTGTGTTTTTTTTTTCTTTGTAGACCCTGTACCATAGCTTTTTAGAATTACCATTATCTTTCATTTTTAATTTTGAACACCAATCTTACTGTCAGTTATACATATCCCAGAAAAGCACTTATGAGCAATAAAGTAATGATGTAGAAATGTTAATCCAATGGATATGCAAGATGTTATTTCATAATATAGAAATAAGCAAATTTTTCTGTTTATCAGGTGACTAATATATATATATATATATATATATATATATATATATATATATATAAATTTAGAGAGAGTGAGAGATTGTTAGTTATACTTCAGATATCGATCTAGGTATATACAGATAAGGATTTAGCTATTGATATAGACATACATATATACAGATATATATATATATATACAAATACACAGATCTATAGATCTATAGTCTATATATAGATATTGATACATCGGTGCAGTTTAATCTGATGTAAATATTGGCTAATTGATTGTAACATACATTATGTATTTATGAGCAGGTTTATTTTAATTGCACAATAACAATAAAGTAATAAGCAGTAATCTCAGCTCATAACTTACAAAAACGTCATATGTCCTAGTTAAAGGAATCAGTTCATACTGGGACCAGGATCTGATCCTTGGACCAGTACAGCATAGACTGTTGCTTCTTTACATGGGTCACCTGCTTTACAAACTGAGCTGTGCTGTTCCCCCAGCACTTATAGATTATCAATAAATGATGGAAGTGTAACATTATGTGGTTATAGGCAGATAAAATGTTAAATAAATGGTTATTAAATAATTACAATGATTAATATCTCGTTAACATATATACATTTATATTACTTTGCGTCGCAACCGACACTAAATTAATGTATGTTATGCTTATAACACAACATTAGGATAGGTATAGGCTTTTCTGTTTTATTTAACAAGATGAAAAATTCATTAAGATTAAAAATCTATTTATTTGAGAGTCTCGACCAAAACAGGCAGCAGTCCATTTAACATAGTTTCACAGTTAAAATTAAGCGACTAAAATACATCAAAATACATGAAAAAACAAAGTGAGTACTCATGTGTCTTTTAACTATAACCCAGCTCATTGTCACCTGTCTTTAAATATGTAATTGTAATATAATGTTTCTTTTATCTAATCAATGTAATTTTCAGTAGCAGATGTTTTAAATTGTTAAAATGATAACGTACATCATTAAACATAGGGATTTTGCTTGCTGTGTTTTCTGCTTCATATTGCACTGCAGTGTTTTTAATTGTTGTATATATTACAGGTGGATGTGAAATAAGAGAATCACTGGAGCCACTAGTTCTTGCTCTAATTTCAATGATAAAATTGACACATTTTTTCATTTAACAAAATCAAGCAGACTCATCCACAGCCAGGAAAAGCTGTGATTGATTCACTCATCTGGCCTCATTTTCAAACAGCTGTAAATGAAAGTCAGTGTTCAAGGTCTCAAACCGAGAGTTGCCCTCCTGCTGCCCAAGGTGAGGTGTCAACAATAAGAAAAGTTTGAAACATTAAAGCGGGTGAGAATGGCTGATTGCCGTCTGGCTCTTTTGGGTGATTTTTTTGCGATGGATTAAGGTCAGAAGTCATCTGTTAATCGGCCCTTCAGTCTCAGTGAGTGAGTGAGCCCTCAGGTGAGGCGTAATGCATTTTCAAGGACAATGAATGCAATAATTGGCTACCTTCACTTCAGCGGGATGGACAAAGTCCTAAAAATGTCTCCACTCCACTCTGACAGTTCAGAGCAAATGAAAATAAAGGCTGAGAGGCAGATAATTAATAACTGGGATATGATGAGGCTGGCTGCAGATTTGATCTTTTGGCCAAATCATTAAACTGATCTGTGATCTGTGCTGGGTTAACTCTGAGAACACTGGAGACCAGCGTGCATTGAGGATTTAAAGGCTGATATTTCATTTGTATTTGAGGCCTGAGTGATGGTTATATATGGTTAGGGTTGACTACTGAATGCTGCCTTTTTAGATCAGAAATGAAAATCTAAGTGCAGCTGAAGGTAACTAGAGAAACTATACTTAAAGTTGTTAATTTTGACAATAAAATATTAAATAATCCTTCCAAATAACTGAAAACTGTGAGGCCAATTCTACATCTTCTATAATGGTGTAACAATGCAACATCCATGATTATTTTAGGTTTAAAATCTGCACAATATGTTCTGCACATAATATTTTTTACATACACAAAAGCACTGTGGGGGTTTTCATTTTAATACACAGTGATTGGTGGTTTTTGCAGAAATTATTGGGCTTTTTTGACTTCAAACATTGTTTTGCTCTAAAATCCACTTACTAGGACCTGAATATTTCATGTTCTGAATTTTGGTTATTTTACATGATGGTTTTAAGCTGCTATTCAAGAGCCTTAACAGGATTTTAAGACTTGAAAGACGTGATGAATTCCATTAATCACAGCAATTAAGCCACCCAAAAAAGATGTTATGGACCAAATTATAATCATAATACATAGAAATGAAATAACCGCAATACAAATAGAAAAATTGATGGTATTGATGATGCAACAGGCTATACCAGATTTTTTGGGTCCAAACTTACAGGGGTTTTTTTTTTATGCTAATTTTTTTTTCTTTGCTTTCTGTATTTTATGCATAATCCTTAAGCATTATCTTTATGATTAATTGTTAAATCATCTTCATAATAACGTCTGATATGTTATCAGAGGTCATATTTGTACCTTCAATAATCAGACATTTGCCATTTTCTCTAATGCAAAAGAGAACAGTATTTTAATTTCAGGTTTTTTTCGGGTTGTAGGCATCTGCTGTTTGCAAAAATAACACCAAGTTCTTTCTGTGTGCAAACCTGTGACTAAAGAGAACATGAAGCAAGCAGTTTCAGGTAGGAGTGTCCAAATGTTGAGCAGACAAAGGTCCACAGATATCACCTGACAAACTCCTGCGACTCCCAGTTCCTGAGAACCCGAGCAGCATCTCGCCCACCTCACCACATCTCACCAGGTGTGATTCCTTTTCTCCTCACCCTTTTTTTTCCACTTCACTTCACACCATGCTCTTAAATTTCAAACTCCTTTATTCCACAGTCAGTGTCGGCTATTGTGTGCAGCACTTCCTCCATTGGGGCTTTCACTATGAGAGCCAGGACTCTCCTGTTAGAGGAGCACACACTGTTTTTCTTATTCGTTTGTGCTGTGTGCATGGAGAGCGTTTGATTTGACAAAATAAACTGGATCTTTTTGTATCTTCACTGTCTGGTTTGGACTCATTAAAAAGTTTGATGAGACTTTGAAGCTCAGATCACTCTTCCATTAATTTAAAGCCCCTCGGTGAATGCATTACGCTTTCTCAGGATTTATTTCTCTTCTATGAGGTTCATCATCTGGTTGCATTTGCAGATGAGTCTTTTAACAAAGACTTTTATTTGCTCATTATTGACTTTATTTGTCCAGCATATGTTCCAAATTTGAAGCCTCACTGTCATTATTATCCTATAAAGTTCATACTTCACACGTGTAGTCAAGCTTATCCAATAAAAGCATGTTTACATCAGTTATACAGTCCTAAAGAATAAAGCTGGTTAAAAATTAAACTGATTTTTTTTGTCTGTAATATTACCAGAAATGTTTATTATATTGTGTAGCCCAATTTGGATAATTCAGTAGACACATAATTTAATGCTTTGTGTTTGTAAAATGAGTTTGGTTGTTTTTACGCACCAAACCTCATTACGAATTCAGCTAATTTAACCATAATAGTCCTGCAATTATGGTTCCTTTGTTACGGCCTCCTGTAAGGAGTTTCACTGTTGAAGTCATACCTTCCGTGTCCTCCACACATTATTAGATCTTGTCTTAAAGCTTCATCTTAATCCAGTGCTTCGGCTGTTATGTTTCCATCTATCTGGCTCCACGCAGCGTATGGCGCGCGCTGGAGGCGCGTTCAGTGCCTGTGGAGGCTTTAAAAGCACCTGCCCGCTCGGACACAGACAGTCGCCCCCTCTTGTAGACTGATGAGGCCTTTTCACCGCAGGACTTGTCTGTGCCGCTGATAGATAATCCCCAGATTACACCTAATTATATCACTTAACGAAAAATCCCCGCTAAGGGGAGAAAATATCATTCATCCTGGAATTACTCTTTTTTAAATGATTTTTCTAATCCGCTGTTTTTCTTTCAATGCTTTTACTCGGATTTTTTTCCTTATTTTAGTTAAATTCTTTTCAAGAAAAGGCGTATTTTATCAGTTTGACGTGATAACGTGGACGATTTCTCGGAGCAACGATACGAATATAAAAGAAAAAATAATAAATGTAATGAATTAAAAAGGCTTATAATAGAAAAAAGTCTATTAAAACAAAATAAATCGTTTTTTATTTTTATTTGTGGCTTTTACAATGATGATGGAGTCCAAACCTAATTGGACTTTTGACACACAGTTTTTCCAAAATCTTATGAACCAAATGTCGTCCTCTAATATTTCGCCATTCCTCCCACTGTGACAGGTTTTTGTTCATTTGTTCCTGCTGGTTAAACATTTCAGGAGTTTGCTTAATGCTCCTCGTCGTCAACTATTCTGTCTTAATTTTTCTCTCACACTCTCTCTCTCTCCCTTTTTTTTACTCTGTCACGACGGATGAAAAGGCGCTCTAATTATTCCGGGAGGTTGGGAAATAAATGATTGTCTTTGAAGTAGGCCCGGGCCTTGGACTACATTAGAAGCCAAGCATGTGATTTGCAACTGTTGAAGTAAAACCTTCAGTGAAGGGAGAGGGAGAGAGAGAAAGGGAGAGAGAGGCAGGCACACAGAGTGAGAGAAAACAGGGGAAATGAGGAGGGTGGATTCTCGGCAAAAGAAAATGGTATCTTTGTTTGCTCCCCTTTGTTTACCAGGGGATTCTTTCTCATTTTTCCTCTTTTTTTTCATTTTTTACTAATTCATTTCAATGGCTTTCAAACTAGAAAATGGAAATGTTGCTCCTGCCCTCTATTTCGGCGGCAGCGTCCTGGCAACAGAGCAATTTTCTATCATCAGGGATAAACGGCATCGAACAGTACATTCTGATAAAAAAAGAGCCCATGATTGCTGGCCTTCCTGTCTGTCATCTATCGACCAAATCCTCTCCTTCAAGACCGACCACTGTGCTGTCAGACCTAATAATGTCGCGTATTAAGTCGAGAGAGGGAAGAAAAGGGGACCAAAGCGCGCCCTGGCACTCTTATAGTCTTATTTGATACTGACATAAATTTCAGATGCAATTTTTGGATGTGGTTCCTTGTTTATTGACTCGGTGTATAAGGTCCTAGTTTTGCGTTTTCATATAGGCGGAAGCTGCAGCAATGAGGCGAAGCTATAACTCTAGGCCTCAAACTGCAGATAAGACACAGTACGTCCACGTCAAAACTCTCGAAATTTTATGAAGCAGTTTTTTTCTGTAAACATCTAAACATGAAATAAATTTAAGCTCATAATCTGAGGACCCTGTGCCCCCTATCCTTGCCTTTCTGATTAGGATTTTACGCATGAAACTCGTCCAAAAACTCTTTGTCTGCCTCAGTTTAATTTGACAATTTTAGAAATAAATGTCAAACTAATGATGTAAATATGGTGCAGAAAAAGGCGCAAGGCAATCTTTGGGTGTCTCTAGAATATACAGAGAGAGAGAGAGAGAGAGAGAGAGAGAGAGAGAGAGAGAGAGAGAGAGAGAGAGAGAGGCAGTCTTAATTAGGACCCAGGCCCTGAGTGGGACCAGTGCAGCTTGAGCCGTGCCAAATTAAATCCATTAGCGTGTGAGAGGCTGTGAAGGCTCAGTGGCGCAGGGCCTTTTGCTTATTTGTGGTCATTTAGCTCCACTAGCATCACGCTACACTGGGTCCATCTGAAGTCCCCCCCTCGCCTGCACCTGGGGCCATGCATATGCCAATTTTACTATTTACTGGAGAGATAATGCGATCCTAATTTCTGATGCAAAACTTATTGTAAACAGTCGCCTGCCTGCAGCGCGCATGGTTTTCTTTATAAACCAAACCACACTCATTTTTCTTGGTGTAGCTGCACGCTTCTACTAAACACATCAAAGCTTTTGCATAAGTGGGTTTGCATTAGTACGCCGTGCGCAATTTATGTGCGTAATAGCGGCGCGCAAGCAACCATTTGTGCACGGATGAATTCTGCTCAAGCATTAAAGGCTGATCGGTGATCACTTTGGCTGCTGTGGGTGTGTTTGCTGCTCTTTCTGACTCTGGTTACAACCAAGGATGTTTCACAGACAGCTGCGTGTAGCATGCATCTGCTTCCCACAGCAGAGATGGAGAGCCGTCGACGCCTGGCTGTCTGCGCAGCGCCAGTGGCTTTGCGCTTTTGTGGAGAAGGGAGACATGTTGTTTAACTGCCTCTCCATCTTTCTCTGCAGTGACAAGCCTCTGCTTTCCCCCCACGACCGCCTGGGTCCCCGAGAAGCCGAGGAGGTGGCTTTCCATGCAAGCCAGTCAATAGCTGTTAGAGGGAAACGACCGCAAACGCCCAGCCACTCGCGACAATTATGACCTGTGTCTTTCTGGAACTCCGTGTTAACGCTCAGATATGATTAACACATGTGGCCGGATGGACAAGAAAAGACGGGCGGTGTTAAAACAGCCAGTGACACACAAGTCAGAAAGAGGAGGAGAGCAAAAAGAGAGGGGGAGCTTGTTAGGTTTCACAGCTTTTCTGACCATTCTGCTGGAAATCTGTGCAGAAATAAATGTGCGTAAAGGGCCTAATGGTACTTCCAATTACAATGACGCTGCCTATCTTAGCTTGAGGACATTTTCACTGACTGTGACTGTGTTAACCATAAAATAACGCCTGGTTACACCTCCAAACTCAACGTTAAATATTCTCATTTTTTCTTTCCCTGGATCAGACAGTGGATGTCAGGGAAATCCCAGGCCTGGAGTGATTTTAGAGAGTCATTCATCAGCGTTTATAAGACAGCTGGAAATAAAGACCACTTCTGTTAAACCAGCACGGCCATTGATTGTGCTGGAGGTCAATCATCTACTTAGGGACAAAAGTGATTTCTGGATTTAAGGCCGTTTCATCTTCTGATTGACATTTTGGGGAAGTGAAATATAAAATAATCCCTCTTCGGAATGAGGCTATGAACTCCTAATGGGACAGAGTACACCAAGAAATGACACGCAGCAGGCGTATCGGTTTCTGAATTCTAAAATCATTCTTGGACACGAATGCAAAAACTATGAAGTTGTGTAAGGCGATGAAGAAATTCAGCCCTGATAAAAAAAATCCTGCACAGGCCTCTCAATTAGACACGCTTGTCAACTTTCATGCTACATGTTAAGCATTTCAAAAGCACCAAGGTCGACTATGTCATGTTCTCTCTATTCAAACAAATCCGTCCTTTCACCACTCCACTTAATCTCAGTGTTCACAGAGAAGCCTCCAAACACGCCTGCGGGACACCGAGACTCTGACATTACACCCGCATGGTCATCCCGCAACTTAATAATCATGTGGTGGCACACACACACACACACACTGACACGCACTTCTTGACGCTGCAAACACTGTCTCATCCAATCTATATAACCAAGAGATTTTTTTTTTCTTTTGCCCGCAGGGAGCAGAGCATGTATGTCTTTGAGGCAGCACTCAAAGGCGATTAGAAAAGGTAAAGGATCTGGTTTCTGCTCTGCGTGTCCAAGTGGAACACGGGCAGGGGAATTGGCCACTGTGTTGGATCACTGAGGGGTGACCAAAGGTGCTCCCTGCGAGGTCTGCATGGGCGCGCAATATGTGTGCGTAAAAAAAAAGCAGAGAAATCAGAAGGAATGGAACCATCCATCAATGTCAATGAAGTTAGAAGAGCCTCAAAAAAAAAAAAAAAAACTCCTACCTGCAGCTTTCCTGGAGACAAAGAAGCAGAAGAGATTTTTTGAAAGAGATTTAAAATAACCAAGAGGAATCTGGAGAGATAAAATAGATCCACGTGGATGTCCTGTGCCTCACATCCCCTGCTTCTGTGCTCCTCTCTCTGCCCGCTGCTGTAAAATGATTATCCGGCTGAGTTGTGTGCACTTTTTAAATCCCACAAAGTAAATAACAACCGTAGCCTGACGATAATAGCAAGGTACCAAGTTCTTGTTACAGAAAAGGAGAAAATTGAAACTAAACGCTGCGTTTAGACAACCATTTTTGATAAGAGGATAATTGAGGCGACACTGGCGTATAATTAGGGGATAATTTATGCTATATCCACTTTTATTCCACCCTCCCAAAATAAATCCAGGCCATAATCATTACAGGCGAATTGTTCTTAATTTTATAGCTGCAATTTGAGTAAAGTGTGGCCGCTAATCAAATAGGTTTTCGCAGTAACTTGATTGCAGGCGTAATTATTTTTCATCGCCTTTTTTGAGGGAATTCACTGAATGCAACACTGGCAAAAAAAAGTGCAAATCATGATTTAAATGGATTAATAGAAGCAGAAATTGTATTTTACTCTTATTTTAAAAGAGATGATCGCAGCCCCGAGAGGCAAACTGTATAATTTACATATATTGAGGACCAAATCAGGCCTCATATTACAGCAGGGATAAAAGACACTGTCAGTTTATCCCAGTATCCACCCTTCTACGTGCAAAATAACCTATTGTACCCCAGGCATATTGTTATTTGATGTGTCACATGTGCTGTATTTTGAATTGTCTGAAGATCCTTAATCATATGGTCACTACCCCCAGGAGAAAGCAACAGTTATAATATATGTTACATCGAGGGGGGTGGGGATGGGGGGACTTCACGAGGGGGCTCCTCTTTTGGTGAGAAAAATGCCCTGCAAAAAAATATGATATTTAGCCATTTATCATTCTTAAAATAAAATTCGCAAAATATTGAATGCACAGATTTTATAAAATGTTTTCCTAGAACTATTTTCATTCATATTTATGCCATTACACCTGTTTCAGCATTTAATTTGGCATGGAACAGATAATTTCTCCACTATTAATACAAAACTCGACATAATATTATTCAAATATATATTCAATATGACTATTTTTATTCCATACTAATTGAAGAATGTTTGTAAATTAGATTAAAGAATATAATGTCCTTCTATAAATAATAAATAACTTGATTAAAGACGATATTCTTCTTAATGTGAAGTATTTTGTTTCTGCTTTATTTGTTTCTGTTTTCTTGTTGATAAAATATAAAAAAGATGTCGGTGTGATTCTGTCCTATAAAGTAATTAATAACCGAGGAGAGGAGGAGTTAAAACTGTGAGAAAAAAAGCGGCACATATAGACTGCTGCCTCGTCAGGCTAAATCAAAGCGCGCACTATATGTTGTGGCGTCGTGCGTAATTTGGGGATTTGCGTAACAAACAAAATCGACTCGGCAATTCCAAAAGCACTTTTTTTTTCACTTGTGAAGCTTGTCTGTAGGAATTATGCGTCTTTCCCACCGTATATTATTTCCCCCATAGTTGTGGTGGGAGCTGGTAAGGTGGGTTAACTCCAGCTCAAGTCTCCGTGAAGCGCAGAGCTCTGATGACGTTGGGTTGGATGACCAATCGGGAGGCGCTGCCCTTTGGAGACAAACCATTTTACTTGTAGTGTCTGCATCAAGTCTGGAAGCAAGGGCTCAATTTTAACAGAATCCACCTAAAAATCTCGCCCTTAACTTATGCCTACCTTCCGCCACTTTGGGTGAGAATATCACACGACAAGGGGGGGAATAAAGACGCGTGTGGAAAATCCGGGTGTTAATAGGACAATATCTGTTCCGCGGTGGAGAGGGGGAGAGAGACAACAGCACAGCGAGAGAGAGAAAACCGATTTGGTCTTGAGAGAGAGGGGGGTGAGTGCTCTCAAGGCAGAAAATTCGATGATGACCATGACTACGATGGCTGACGGTCTGGAGCCTCAGGACTCGTCCAAGTCTGCGTTCATGGAGTTTGGGCAGCAGTCGCACTCACAGCAGAGCTCTCCGTCGATGGCCGGCGGACACTACCCGCTGCACTGTCTCCACTCCGGCTCACACGCGCACCACCAGCACGACAACACCGCGTACACCGGGACCAACACCTACAACAGGTCGTTACCCTACCCATACGTGAGCCACGCGCACCACAGCCCGTACCTGCCGTCCTATCACAACAACACGGGAGGACAGACAAGGTTAGACGGCACAGGTAAGAGACCCCCCTTTTGTCCATCCACCGGCGCCTGGCAGACCGTCTTTTAAATATGGGTGGCCCTCAAAGTGGGAATCAAACCTTTTCTCTCTGCCAGTGTTGGTGTCATGCCCGAGTCACCGCGCGGCCACTCCAAATTCGGACGAATGATCTTTCAGGCGTAGGTGTGGGCGATTACACCGAAGGAAAATCGTGCGTAAATGGCACCGGATAATTCCTTGATCTAGCCTATTTTCAGTCCCTCCAGCCTGTGATTTTTCTGTCCTGTTCCGCTCTCCTGTCACTTCCCACAAAACCCGCTCCAATGCCCGGGCTGTGATCATGCACGAGCGTGCAATCCTCACCAACTACTCGTGAAAATTAGGCAGCACGCACGCCCCGAATGTTGTAATTAGCATTTAATTGACATGTCATTACGAGCAATATCCTAAATATGACAGCGTATGAGGATTGTGGCTGCCATGCCGCTTCGAGGCAATCTGATCAGCCAGGATTTATTATTTTAGACGGTTTCATGCAAGGCTGTTGAATTTATCTCCTCCTTCACGGATTATTTCAGCCGTTTGACGCTTCATCGTACCACCCTGCACGCACAGACACACAGATGTAATCCAGGCTGTTGGTTTTGAATAACATTGATTGTTTTTGTTGCAGAGCAGCAGAAAACGACGGTGATTGAAAATGGGGAAATTCGTTTTAATGGAAAAGGCAAAAAGATTCGCAAACCTCGGACAATTTATTCCAGTTTGCAGCTGCAAGCACTGAACCACCGTTTCCAGCAAACACAGTACCTCGCTTTACCGGAGCGTGCGGAGCTGGCTGCCTCTCTGGGACTGACACAAACCCAGGTATGAGGGGGGGATTTATACTCTTTATTTCTACAGTAAATTAGCCTGCCTGTAATTGTATTTAAGATTAAATTATTATTAATATTCCTATTTAGCTTTGTTCCAATTTACTTTTTTTTTCCTGGTGTAAAACCCTGAATTCCCACATTTTGCAGGTTTTACGCATCCTCACTCATACTCCTGTCCTCCACTAATTACACGCACCCCTCTCCTTTTCACCTCCAGGTAAAGATCTGGTTCCAGAACAAGAGGTCAAAGTTCAAGAAGCTGCTCAAGCAAGGCGGCAACCCGCACGAGAGTGACCCTATCCCGGGCTCCATGTCCCTTTCCCCGCGCTCCCCGACCATCCCTCCTATCTGGGACGTCTCGGCCTCTTCTAAAGGAGTAAACATGCCGGCTAACAGTTACATGCCCGGCTACTCTCACTGGTACTCCTCTCCACATCAAGATTCAATGCAGAGATAGACTCGTGAAGAGGCAGAGGAGGCCTCTCCATGCAGTTTAGTTTCTCTTTCTCCAACGTAGCCTACAATTTGTGTGAGCGCAGAGACTGGGGGAGAAAAAGGAGAGATAACCCTCTTCTGCTGCTCTGCTGGCGGATCAATCTGCAGCCAAACCTCGGTGTGATGACACAAACAAGGGAACTAACCTGTTTTTTTAAAAAGCTGTCGAGTGGGCTCGCATATTTGTTATGCTTTCATTCATGTCAACATCTGAACGTCAATACCAAATATATTCAGTGACATTTTGGCCACTTTTTGGGGGCAAAGACTGCGAACTCTCCATGCGCTTTTGCGCCCAGAACCTCCAGCCATGATGGACTCCTGACTGCTTTTATTTTTTGGTTTGTTTCCCCAACATGCAAAACAAGCAAATTGTCTGTCTGTAAATATAATCTGCGATTTTAGTTGTACATACACTTTTTATGTTTTGTCAGATTGAGTAAACCGTGACTCAAAACAGATGCCTGCTGTTGCATGATTTCAGATTTTTCATTTAAGGCCCCTTTCCATGCTTCATATTGGGCCAACATGACATTATAACAGGCCTATTTCCCGTTCCCCTGGTGTGCACGAGCTTCTAGCAGACATTTGAGCATTATCTGATGACACATTTTCGCAGTGAAAAGCCCATTTTGACTAAATCCAAAGAGCGCCACAGTATATAGATTTATCAAACAGCGGAGGAAATTAACTTACCCTGTACCGCTGCTGTCTACATTCACCCCGAAAGACATTTGCTCCAGGTCCAGCTCATCTTGTCATTCCACCCTCAATTATTAGAAGTATTGACAAAATGTTTTCTCCCTTCTCTCCGTCCTAATGCAGGCCGTTAAATGCCAAGCTCCACGGGATCGATGGTTGAACAAAGCAGCCAGCTGCAGCGGCGTTCAATATGAAGGAGATATTTGGGACAATTTGTGGGTTTTTATCCAAGTGAGGCTTTTTTTCCATTCTCATAAATGCAGGCATAATTAGGGTAATTTTTGATGTAGCCCGCTGATTACAGCGTTTTTACCGTCAAAGATAATTACCTGTAATTTTCTACCACTTTTAATACTAAAAGGCATCTTTATTTGGATTTGAGGTAGCACAGATGGAACAAAAGGGGGAAATTATTCGGTTATTCATATACAAATTGCTGAGAGGAGTGAGCGCTCGGGATATTATCTGAAATTACGACGCTGAAAAGCTTCATGCAGCTGTCAAGTCGCGGATGTCCCACTGGCGCACATTCAGCTTTACCTGGAGGCCCCCCCCAACCCCCACCCCCTAACCATCCACCCACCCAATCCTCACCCTCAGACATGGGGCCTCACTCATGCTATCTGCTCCTGGGCCACTGCACCCCTGATCTCAGGCTGCAGGGAGCCTGAAGAAGCATCGAGTAAACATCAACAAAGCTCACAAATTCACAGTTATGTTATTCAGATCAGAGAAGTCACAATTTTTCAGCATGTGGTGCCAATAGAAAAAGAGATAGGTGGATAGATAGATAGATAGATAGATAGATAGATAGATAGATAGATAGATGGATAGATGGATAGATAGATAGATAGATAGATAGATAGATAGATAGATAGATGTAAAGGAGGTGAAGTGCAGCGGATTGACAGACAGGTGGGTGGGGAATACATAGAAGGATGTCTCACTCCTTCCTCTTTTTCATGCACCAAAGCAAGCTTCTTATATAAAACCACCTAACTACACTGCACACATGAAAAAATCTCATCTAAAAATCACCCACAAATATCCACAATCAAAACGCAACTCAAACAGCAACATTTGAACCGATTTTACAGGAAATTCTAACTCAATTCTGCCGCATTTCTCTGAACAATGAGATCTAGTTTCCAGTAAAGAGTATCGCTTTAGGATAGAAAACGTAAAAGTCCTCCTTACCTTCCTTTCTCTGCTCCTCTGAGACTAACAGGCTACCCCAAAAACAAGCTCTGCACGCTTTTCCTGCTGCTGGTTGAATAAGCAAATCCAGGTGGGAAAGTGTTTGCACACCCCGGTAAGCTCTTATATATTGCCTGCAAAATTAGCTGTTATTACTGTCACTGTTTAGTGATGGCGAGTTTGAAAAAAAAAAAGCCCTCTGCAATCAAGAACCAAGCGCATCTTTGCAAATTATAGGTAATTGTCAATGTCCAGATTATGATAATGGAGGCCCTAATCCTGGAGAATAATTATTGTGGAGTGTTACAGTTGAAGCTGTCCAGTAAAGCTAACTGTCATTATTTAGACTCGATTTGCAAACCGGGGGGAAACTAGCTGAGTGGAAAATGTTCGGTTGGAAATAAACGGGGCTCTCGATATAATGGCAGCACTAGTGTGTGTGTATGTGTGTGTTGATGTGTGTGTTTGTTAGAGGGAGAGTGTGTGAGTGTGTGTGTGTGTGTGTGTGTGTGTGTCAGTGAGTGAGATAAACAGGGGGGGGTATACAGTATGTGGTGTGTTTGTGTTTATGAGGGGGAGATATAGAGGCCTATGTGTGCTCCTGCGCGCGGGCAGGTGCGCGCGCAGGAGCAGGAGCACTGTTAAAATTATAAATGTCTCGAGTGACCCGCTCGCTCTGTTACGCTGCAGTCATTCAGCATTAAGAATGAATTAGGCTCAAAACAACGAGCATGGTGGTGTATTTTTTCCTCTATAAAAAAAAGGAGAATAAAAAAGAAAACGAGGAAAAACACAAAGGAGGAGAGGAAGAGCGTCTCGTGTTCGGCTGGTGTCTGTCTGAAGTGTATTCACTGAGCTGCGATCAGGAGGAGGAAGAGTGTCAGGTGTGGACGGTGGCTCACATGGGTCAGATGTTGTTTGTTGTGTTTTCTGTGAGATTCAAAGGGGAGGGGGTTGTGCCACATGTTTTGTAAAAACTCATTTGATTCTCGTGCACACGCCTGCTGAAATTCAATTAGATCACTGTTCAAATGTCGCTCTCTGCCTCGCGGTTGGTTTGGCGGTTTTTGCCGCAGCAGTGCTGCTATTACAGCCTGCTAATAACACGCTGAAATTATGGAGGATTTGTCTTTCCTTCTTCCTTTCTGTCCCTTCTGTCTCGATCTCTTCTTTCTTTCTTTCTTTCTTTTTTTTTCATTTTACCCGGAAGGTGGGCTGCGGCCGGGAGTGGCAGAGCTCTGGAGCCGGTCTACCCCCACAGGAATGCGGATTGTCTCAGATCTCCGTGCCGCCCCCCTCGCCTCCTCTCTGCCATTCAAAGCGGCTAATTGTAGGGGACACAAAGCGAGAGCGAGTGCACACTGTCTGCAGCAGAAGGAGGCTTTTCTCTGCACTCAGGAGCTGCAACTAAAATCCCCATCTCAATATATATTATAAATGTATTGTATCTAACAAACGTAAAATAAAATAAACAACAACTATAACTATAATTATCATTATGTGTGATTGTGTTGTAAGGACGGAGGTGTATCTCAAATACAACACCAATAACACTAACAAGAAGCAAGAATCCGTTCAGGACCACCATTGACTTCCATAGTAAATATGACCCTTATTAATCATAACATTGTAGATTATTATTATAATGATGATTGATTACACCTCAGTATTACATTAGCACCTGTCTAATAATGACAGTAAGTCGAGCTTCATCCTAATAGTAAAAAAATAGTAAAAAAATATTTACAAATAAGACTTTTGCTTATTCCACATGAAAAAGTCACGAATTAATCCTTTAACAGCATTCCCTGAATTGGTACAAACGCTAAGGAATAGAGAGAGGCGCAGTCTTTACGAAGACGAAGTATTTTCCACCCCTCTCGCCAAGTCAAATATAAATATTAAATGAAACTACAAACCTTAAATCACGCCTTGAATAAAGGTTTGAAAAATTACAACAAAAGAAAAGAAAACGACCTAGATATTGGATTTACAGCAGTTTCTTGTGCGTCATCTCACCACTGAGCAGCAGTGATTTACAGCCGTGTGTTCAAATGTCACCTGAGGCTCACAGACATTATGTATGCGTGTGAGTCTTGGTCGTGATTCTCCGTGTAAATAACAGAGGGTTAAAATAACAAGAGACTGCAGAGAGGCCGCGGGGTTCAAAGGTCCATTGTCCATTTAAACGTTTAATAGTCTTCCAAAAAATGCAATAAATTACATGCACACATTTACACATTTTACACGTTTCTTCTATGACTGTCATCAAATACATTGCATATTCCTCTGAATTTGAACACGAGTCCCATAGAAGGAGGAGAAAAAGGTTTGAAATGAACAACAAGGGTTTTTTATTTTCAATATAACGTCCCCGCTCCGAGAGCCAACGAGTGCTGTATCGAGTTAGGGGTCTGCAGGTGGGGGGCCATGGAGCTGCCGGCTGAGGTGTACCATGAGGCCGAGTTTTCCAAAAAGTTAGCCGCTGTGGTGTTGATGTTTTGTGGCTGCAGGCTGTGCGGCCTGGAGGGGCCCTGTGTGTCCCAGACGGCAGGGGACTGTGGGGAGTTGCACGCCATGGGGTCGCTGGAACTGGGGCTGTGCTCCGGAGGAAGCTCACCGTTTTTCATGATCTTCTTCAATTTTGATCTCCTGTTCTGAAACCAGATTTTTACCTGAAAAAAAGCGTAAAAAAATAAAATGTTAGACTTAAAATGAAGAAACGTTTCAATGGATGCTGTGCGTAAAAGCGCACTGGAGAAAAACTCTCTAAAACGGTGAACATTATTGTAAACAAACAGGAATATAAAAGCAGCAAAAACAAGGAAATATGGTTAAAATATTTTTTTAGATATATCGTCACCTGTGTTTGCGTGAGTCCCAGTGAGGCAGCCAGCTCGGCTCTCTCCGGCAGCGCCAGGTACTGTGTGTTCTGAAAGCGCCTCTGCAGGGCGGCCAGCTGGAAGCTGGAGTAAATGGTCCGAGGCTTCCGTACTTTCTTCGGCTTGCCGTTTACCATCCTCACCTCGGGCTCAGCTATTTCTTTTTCTTTAGAAAAAAATAAAATAAAATAAATCAAGCTTGAATGTTTTTAATGCTAAAATCTGTATTTTTTTGTATTAACACTTGAAATCGATTGTTGCTTAAACCATCAAAAAATCTAAGAGCATGTATTTTCAAATACGAATTTAATTCCTTGCAAGAAAAGGAAGAACATGTTGTCCCAAACATAAAATCTGATTGACTCTCACACTTTACAGTAAAAATAATCAACGTTTCTTATGAATTAGGCTTCAAATAGCAAAATTAAAGATTTTCATGTAAGAGGAACTGTCTGGAAAATATGTGAGAGTACCTTTAAAAAAGCCTAAAACTGAAGCTTGACTTAAATCAACAGTACAGATGGTTACCCATGAATGATTTTGTAAAAAAGAAAACATATAAATGCAGAAATCTGAGGGCCGTACCTTGAGGACTCGGCTGGGCTTGCACTCTGCTGTAAGTCCCAGCATACTGGTGGTAGGCGGGGGTCGTGTACGAGCTGTAATCAGTGTAGGATTTTGTCGAGTAATTTCCAGCGCTTCCATTGACTCCCGCATACTGGTACTGGTAAGCATTGAGAGGTTTCCCGTACGAGGTGGAACTGGGCGAACAGTACCCGTGTGTGACTCCAGCGGCCGGACTGTAATAGCCAGAATCCGTGGCGGAGGACTCGGGTAAAGTAGGAGATTCCTGAGACGGATGGTGCATGGTGGAGAGTTGAAAGGAGCTCTGAAAGTCTGCAGGTTTTACACTCGGGATCCTCCGGTCGAATACTCCAGTCATACTTCGAAGGGAAACGCGTGGGTTTGTTTAAATCAGTAATCGAAAAACAAAGCAGTCTGACTCCAGAGCGGTGTGAAAACTACACTGACATCGTCGAGAGGCTCTCAGGCCGTCGGGATCTGGTGAAGACTGCAGCCAGCCCCGCAGCAAAGACTTGGTTAAATCCTAAATCGCGCTCTTACGCACTGCAGGGAGGATCTGGTTCCATTGGCCAAGGCGCACACAGACACAGCTACACCCAGTTCACTCCGCCAGCTTTCTTATAGGGGGGAAACCACCCGGGCTATGTGGCTGCATTGTTGTGTTTTTATACTATCAATCAATGAGCCAATTAAAGTGTTGGCCGCGTGGCCAATAGACGTCTTTAGAGGGATCAATTAAAGAGACAAAACATCATTACCCAGAAGGCCTCCTGATTTCAGACTGTGTGGTTGTTGACGTCGTCTTTGTTTGTATATTATTTTAAAAAGGCGCTCTTTTTGTTTTCACATTTTTAGCATTATATAGTGTTTTAACGATGTCACTGTTAGAGAATATAAAAACTAACTCAATGATGAACATTATTATCCTTTTTAACACTGAATTTAAACCGAATTACATATTTCATTGTTCATTTCTGAATTTTAGTCCGTCTTTCATTGTGTTAAGAATCCTGCTAAAACAGGAGCCAATAAAATAAGCAGAACCAGAACATTAAATATGCAAATCAGTGGATGGGCGATCCCACAACATCTACTTTGTCACCGGTTTGGACCATAAAAATAAATCTCACCAGTTTCCCCAAAAGCATCATCAGAGATTGATTTTTTTTTTATCTAATCTCATCTTTAAACAGTTTAAGGAGCATGTCTAATCCAATCTCAGCGCTCCAGTGGGGCTGATTTAGTGGTGAACAACGCCGACTTGTGGGCGAACAGAGAAGCTGCGCTCCAGGCTTGAGTAAGCAAAGAAGCCACAGGAAAACAGGTTCACAAAGACTGACAAATAAACCGATCACTTAAACGGAGATAGGTCCTTAGAGTAAAAATAATGTGCGGTGTTTCAAGGTTCACACGAAATGAATAAAAACACACCTCAAGTAAAAAGAAAAGGAAGTCCGAGGGAAAACGGTACAAGAATAATATTAAAATTAAGATTAGACTATTTACACGTTTACTGCTACAGCAGACTCAAAGAAAAAAGGGGAAAGAGGGTTGATGTGGATCAAAAACTAACAATAAACAGGCCAGATATCCAAAACACTTTCATTTTAACAGCGTAGCCAACATATATATTTTTATTTCTTAACATTTTACCATTGTTTACCAAAATGTCATTGCTGAAACTAACCTCTCACACGGATTTGGAGCTCGTCCTTACACCTTTGAGTTTTCTAAAAAATAAAAACTTTTTTATCCTCTATTTTCTTTTTACCACGTCAAGTTAACACGTACTGTTACCAAACTATTATCTATTTGAAAAGATTTATTTCAATTTACATCTGTAGGCGTACATGTTTCATACTTTTGAATTACTTACCTGAGTTAGGTGAACCGGAAATACTTCCCCCGCCCGCGCAATGAATTTCTTCCTGTTGTATTTTATTTATTTATATATTTATTTTTGTCCATTGACAGCGAAAAAACTCAATAAAGTTTACGAATTTGCCTTTTAATAAGAATATCAGATCAAGGTAGACCTGCGCTTTGAGGAAAGACCGTATATTCTCTATCGGGAATACTGTCTTTATTTGTGCTTTTTAGATTTGAATTTGGGTCAAAGACGAGACCGCGCGGCGTGCGTCTGACGTCATTGAAGAGTTTAGCTGGCAAGAGAGTTCACCGCTGACGCACGCCGTCAAAATCTGATAGTCTTTCCGGCGGATTTTTACAGCCTCTTCTTGGGAGATTATTGAGTTCCTAAGATACTGGGCTGGCAACTAATAGTGGGGTTGATGTGAAATAATATAACAGTTGCACATTAGGCAAGATTTTTACAAACTTTACAAAGTCTGGGATAACAATTCAATTTATTTTACAAACATTTTAACAACTTAATATAAAGTTGGGCTAAAGTTGAGCGGGTTGACTTGTTTTGGTAGAGTCGAGTCGAGTGACCAAGGAAACTCTTTTTTTAACGTTTTATTATTCGTCAAAATACAAATATAAAGGCATATTGGTGATACTTATAAAGTGTTGAACCAGCTTTTGAAAAGACCATGAATAAAGAATTTCAGGGTCTTATATTCGGATCATAAATAAGTCCAGTAAAGAAAACCGTTTTAGGTTATTTTTGTTTTTCATGTAGTTTAAAGATTTTTTTGTATGTTCTGAGTTCGTTTATCCATAAGGAAACTGAAATAGCCAAGACACTGCTAAACACGGGAAGCGACCGAAGACGGAAGTGAACTCCGGTGAGTCCTCTTGTGCTGCATGGGTGTTATCTTTCCTCTCGGCTACCGTTTTGTGTGCTGGGGGGATGGGGCCGTGCCGAGGATGAGACACTCCAAATATTTACCACTTGGCTTACTTAAAACCTTTATTTCTGAACTGGGCCTCCTCCATTGCTCAAGTTCATAGGTATACTCTTCAACCACGTATGAGTTTCGGTGGAATTTGGCCGTATTAAAGTGGAGTATACACACGCTTGAAAAGTCGACAAAATGTATTCCTCTGCTGGAGGTAAGTGCTGCAGCTAACATTAGCAACGGCTAAATGATGCAAAATTAACACTACAATTCTTCATTTTTGGTGTTTCGTTGCCGTGGGATATTATTGAAACATTCACTCAGTTTTTGTTTGACTTATCTAGTTCGTAGAGAAAGGTAAAAGCCTAAGGTTGAGAACATTTCGTCCCAGTCTGTGTGGAGGCAAGCTTAGCTAGCGTGCAACAACAAGCGGCTAGCCGAGTTAGCTTCAAGGAGGACTCCTGCTTTAACTTGCTATACTGAGCTACTAGATGTAAATACGAGGGACTAGATTATGCTCTTGGTGGTTTTGAGGAAGTAGTTTCTATTACAAATAAAACCTAATGTCTTTGAGTGCCTCACCGTTGAACACGAAGTCCAGAGTTATAGCGGCCGACCATGCTATCTAATCTGATCACGTACAGTCTGCTGCCAAATACTAGTTAAGGTTGAATATATAAAGTTATGTAGAATACCTTTCGGCAAATATGTGCATTTCTGCACCATTAAGTCTATTTGACATTGGCAAGATTGGCTTAGTGATGTTGGACACTTGAAGATGACCCGGAGACATGTGCAAGAAGTTTTGCAGAAACTTGGTAAAGTATCTAAAATCATCATTAGACTGGTTTATTAATGCTTCATATTGTCGATTTTCATTATTATCACCAATTGTAACTACTTTCCAGGAGTGGAGCAGGTATTAAAAGGCAGCCATGTACAGTATAAGGCTAATGATTCCCTTACATAGTAAATTGCAGTTTCTTGCTTATGGATGTAGGTATGAAGTATCAGCCTGATCAAGCAGGTGATATAAAAACAGCTATGCATCAGCAGCCATGGGTAAGATCAACAAACCACTGTGATACAGCACTGATATTAAAGATCCAACTTGTGCATTATTGATTTGCTGTTTTTTGGACCTTTTCTGTCGTTGCATCTTCAATTTTTATTTACTAAATTTTGATGAATTGCTTCAGCTTGTTTCTATCTCGTTTGTATTTCCTGTGGCTTACTTTGTTTTCACTGAGGGTCATTCCTTTTAGTCTGCCAGATGTTTGTTTCTGATGACTTCCTCTGTGTTGTTTGTTTGTAAAAGGAGGCAAACTCAATCTCTAACTTCAAGTACAAATGCAACTGCCTTGAACCTGAACGTTTTCTATCCAAGTAAAGCTACAGTTTCTCAAGGATACTTTGCTTAGATAGAAGTAAATCTACTGCTCTTCTAATCTGGTACAGTGCTGAATACGTGTAGAAAATGGCTGAATCTATATACTTAGTTTTTTTCCCCATATGGCTGTGATAGTAACTTTATTTCAACGCAAGATCTGGGCTTTTTGTCACTGTGATCAGAGAGTTTTCAGGCCATATTTACATCAACCTCATACATGAGTTGTGTCCAGCTGATTGCAAGATCATGCTTTTGTATTGTTTAGTTGAGTAAATTTCTAAAAAAAAGCTCTTTACCGCAGGAAAAATGACGACTGAAAATGTTATGGATGAATGTCTCTGTCATGGGAGACATCTCTTCTCTTGAACGACTCTACTATTAGTCTTGCCCTGTTGCTTTTCGGGGTGAATGGGTGGCTTCAGCAGGGTTTAGATTGTCAGCTTGCTGGACTCCTACTGCGCCCAAGCTGATAAGGGTTTTGAAAAAGGTGGCCTTGATTGTAGACCAAGGTGCCATGGAGGTGATAAGCAAGTGAGACATAAGCATTAGAGATGTACTATTAAACATTTGCAACATTCAGTTCTTCACACATCTGTTTATGATCGTTATAGGCTGCTGTGATGAGCAGTAAAAGTGGACTTTTCATTTCTAGGAAAAAACTTTCTTCGTGTGAGTTCCGGTCGCTAACTTGTCATATTTGTCCCCCTGTAGCCTCTGAGATGCTCGAGGGACCCCGTTCCTCTGGGTCAGCAAGCTCTGGTGAGTCTTGAGTCCATATTTGGGCTCTGAAAGCCTAAAACTGGCTCCCGCAGAGGTTCCAGTGTAAATGGCAACACTCGACTTTCTTTTACATCCTCAGCCATTACAGTATGCAGATGGAGCTGTATAAGAGAGACACTAAAGAAGACGGTGTCAGTCTTTATCGTCACTTTCCCCTTAGATGCACCTCATTTAGTGCTCTTAATGACTCTGCCTTTGTGCACATAAAAGGCCATTAAATATAGGCATTGCCTGGGTTTATGGGTGTTTTTCTGTTTGAATAAACAGATCTGGAGCTGCAGCATAAAGATAAGGCTCTGATGGGAACGCTGAGTTTGCTCTAGTAGCTAATATTGAGCATCAGTGTGTATAAATCATCAAAGCTTGGTGCCTGATGGTGGTAGCTGGTGCTCACATGGACCAACAACAAGCTTTGACATATTTTCAGTGCTGCAGTGTTTTAAAGTGTCATAAACAGACAGAAAATACAGGTTTGCAATGATAAGAACTACGCCCTCTGAAGTCTGATCATTTAACAGTGCATTTCAAGAACCACTTTGAAAAACAGCACCGAAAGATTTGGAAAAGTAGGAGCAATAATTGTCTGATGGTGTCATGTTTGTCCAACCAGATGAAGAGGAGTTCATTTTAAGGACTTGAGAGTTGAGGAGCAACCCCAACTGCTGAGTCATTTATCTTTCAGAGACACACTTTTTGAAATTTACGATTTCTGCCAACAACATCTGAAATGGAAATAGAATAAAATGTACAAACAAAAGAAACTTACAGACTATGTTATCCTAAAATATGTTGTTATAGAGAGGGCATTAGCATCAGTGTGGCTCCTTATGAATCTGCACATCAGGCAGAGGCAGTCAAGAGGAATCATACCAGTCATACTCTCATTTTAGCTTAGTGTAACGATTAAAAAGATGACTTTAAACATGTTTTTGGTTGGATACAAAGTCTAAATAATTATTTCAGAAACATATAAACTTTTTTGAATTGACATTGTCCATATAATCATGAAAATGCCAATCATATGGGAGGAAGATAGTAATTAGGTCCTTAAGACCCTGGGAAATAGTGAGGGTCTGTAATTGAATCCTAATGGTTCACTTTGGCTTGTTTCTTCCTCTCACCCTCATGATTTAGATCCCCCATCTTCCCCAGTGCCAGAGTATGTGTTCAAGCCTCCATCGCGGCCAGACTTTGGCACCATGGGCAGGACAATCAAGCTCCAAGCCAACTTCTTTGAGATGGAAATCCCCAAACTGGAGGTCTACCATTATGACATCGACATCAAGCCGGAGAAATGCCCCAGGAGGGTCAACCGGTGTGTGCTTGTTTATTATTTTCCTGGTATCCAGCTGTCTCTCGTGCACATTTGTGTGTCCCCTTTCAATGTACTGATTTTCATTTCCCAATCTGCTCTCAGTGAAATCGTGGAGCACATGGTCCAGCACTTTAAAACACAAATCTTTGGTGATCGAAAACCGGTGTATGATGGGAGGAAGAATCTCTACACTGCCATGCCTTTACCCATAGGCCGAGACAAAGTATGTGATTTAGAGACTTGTCTGCAACATCCAAAACCTCCACCTTTTCAGAAATTACATAACGATAGACGACTGAAGAGTAACGACCTCTGACTTTTCCCATCCTCCATCATCACCCATCAGGTGGAGCTCGAGGTAACCATTCCTGGCGAAGGCAAAGACCGCAGCTTCAAAGTCTCCATCAAGTGGGTGTCCTGCGTCAGCCTGCAGGCTCTGCACGAGGCTCTGTCAGGACGGCTACCCAGCGTCCCCTTTGAGACGGTCCAAGCCTTGGATGTGGTCATGAGACACCTGCCCTCTATGAGGTGAGATTGAAGTTATTGAACCCTGAGTCGCTCTTTTATTTGGTTCTTGTGCATACTCTTGTCAGAGTCCGGGGTAAACCTGTCACAGATCTCTTTTTGTGTTTTCATTATCTGTCCTTCATTTGTGAAAATCATATCTTTGTAAAAACACGTTTCCGTCTGTTTCAGGTACACCCCAGTGGGCCGCTCTTTCTTTACCCCCTCAGAGGGATGTTCGAACCCCCTCGGTGGCGGTAGAGAGGTGTGGTTTGGCTTCCACCAATCTGTCAGGCCTTCCCTTTGGAAAATGATGCTCAACATTGACGGTAACTTTCATTTTGATTTTGCTCGAGTCTTCCGGTTAAACATTTGATTTTCTGAATCTCATTATCACGCTCTGCTTCTGTTTGCAGTTTCGGCCACTGCGTTCTACAAAGCCCAGCCTGTAATCGAGTTCATGTGTGAGGTCTTGGATTTTAAAAGCATTGAAGAACAACAGAAGCCCTTAACGGACTCTCAAAGAGTAAAATTTACAAAAGAAATCAAAGGTTGGTGAACCCCTGGGATACGTAAAACAATTAATCGGATCATTTTGCAGTCGGTTTATTGCCCAGCTAATAGAGGATACAAATGTTCTGTCCTGAAATTGCGGAAGTTTGACACACTATCTTATTTCATGTTATTTGTTTAATGACTGTAGTCCTCTCTCCTAATCTTTCACATGATTCCTGCACAAAGGCCTGAAGGTGGAGATCACGCACTGTGGGCAGATGAAAAGGAAGTACAGAGTTTGCAACGTGACACGAAGACCAGCCAGTCACCAAACGTAAGAATCCTCCTGGAGCTAATCCGAGTTATTTTGTCATCGCAGCGATTAGCGTATCTTAAAAAATTTCCATCCCATATTTACAGGCTCTTTTATTCTTCCCAAACTCACTCTGTAGTTCCTTCACTTTGCTTGATTATACTTAAACTGAGACTCACTGTGTTGTTGTTGTTTTTGTGCCGCTTGTTTATCTCTTTATACAGTGTGTACTTAATTTCCTGCCAACTCAGGTTCCCTACCTTTTCTGATGATACAGATCTGGCTGCAGCTCTCATATTTCAGGGCTCGACAGTGCGACTGTTTCACTCGCATTTGCCACTAAAAATAGATGTGTGCGAATTGTAAAATGTATTCAGGGACACATGTGCGCATAACAAAAATCAGCTGAGGCAAAAAATGTTTTTTCATGAAAACACCCCAGTGAAGTTAGTTTTAGGTTGGATATTCGACGGACATTCACTGCAGAGCTACCGGTGTCTTTTAACTCTCCATAACCGGGAATAGCAACAGCAGTGCGGTTTAATCTACTCTGCAACATCGGGTGTTAAATTAGGGACCATCAATAAATTACTGGTTGACGTTCTCAAAAAAGGCTGTTTTCCTTCAATAGCTTTCATGCCATGTGACCAATTGACCTAAAATTGATTTCAAATAATAGTACTAAGGTTGGACAATAAGACACACTTCTTTAGTTCCCTAATTTGTCCTCTAAAAATGTTTGTGTTAAATTTAAAGGCAAATTCTGAACATTTTCTTCAATAGCTTCCATGTCATGTGAGCAAAAGACCTGAAACTGATTTCAAATTATAGTACTTACGTCGACCAATAAGACACACATTATCTGATCAATTTTCATTGTGCCCCTAAAGCTCTTTGTGTGCTTACTTTTTCAACTTAGAAGCACATGCGCTGCTTGTGAAAAAAGTTGGTGTCAAGCCCTGTTTTTCTGATAGACTAGTGGAGCTGGGAGATCATTGCACACCTTTTGGCAATCCTCTGCTTATATCATGTAGAGGTACATGAAGTGCAGTAAAAGCATAATGCAGGAAACGCTCTAAAACCAGAACTTAATTCAAGCTCTATGAATGTGATATGTAAACTAGATGAGGTTGAAATCAGTTTGCACTGTTGTCGTCTGTGAGTCTCATCAGATTGTTAGGATGAAAACAAACACTACATGGAGATGTCTGTACTTTTTTTCTCCTTTTGACGTTGTTGGTGTGCCTCAACCTTCAGGTTCCCCCTGCAGCAGGAAAATGGCCAAACCATTGAATGCACAGTAGCACAATACTTCAAAGACAAATACAAGCTCATCCTGAGATACCCCCACCTCCCATGTCTACAAGTGGGTCAGGAGCAGAAGCACACCTACCTACCTCTGGAGGTGAGCACGTCAATCCTCCTTTACCTCTTTTCTTTTCTGATCGATCACTAGATTCAGGATTAATGCTTCTGCGTGTCCACTCCAGGTGTGTAACATAGTGGCAGGACAGCGCTGCATCAAAAAGCTGACAGACAATCAGACCTCCACCATGATCCGTGCCACAGCTCGATCGGCACCAGACCGCCAGGATGAGATCAGTAAGCTGGTAAGTCTTGAAACGTCAACCATGAATATCGAAGAGTTGCCTCAAGTTTGAAACTATTTCAGGACAAACACGGATTTATCAGAAAAGCGTGTTCAATGGTCACATCAAGATTGTGACCCAAAAAACTCATCGCTCCATCAAGGCGATGCTGGAATTAGAAGCAAAACCAACATTTATGATTTCATCTTATCTCATGACACACGGCTCACAATAACAGCGCTCTTAAAAACATGCCAGTCTGTAACAAATATTCCTTTTAACAATTGAGTCACGTTAACTCACACAAAAGTTTAGTTATTGGTAAGAACCGTTAAGAATATGGAAATCAGCAGCAGCCAAAGCAAAGAAACTTCAAGAGGAAACTATGTTGTTCGAAAATATAGCAACACTGAGTGGCTGAACTCCCAGTTTCTTAACAAGTTCTGAAAACGAAGCTTTGGTCAGACTGCTCTGGTGTGATAAGAAAGTTTCCTCCCATGCTGCCAAGTCTTCAGTGTGACACCCAACACAGGCCCATGGGTGCATACTTCTCTTTTCGGTTGAAATCAATGATAAGTTAAGAAGAAAACTGATCATTTTGTCCAAAATTATAGAGCCGCTGCATTTTTCTTTAACACTACATTTGGAGAAGAACTCTAAAATCCCCAATGACATCTTTGCTTTGTTCATCCTTCAGATGAGGAGTGCCAACTTCAACACCGACCCATATGTCCGTGAGTTTGGAGTGATGGTGAGGGACGAGATGACAGAAGTAAACGGCCGAGTCCTACAAGCACCTTCAATTCTGTACGGAGGCAGGGTAAGTTGATCACCCGGATGAATGCGTAGTCGCTCGGAGCTCATTTGTTATTACAAAGTTTTATTGCTGAATCCTCACCAAGGCTGCTGTCGTCACTCATTTCAGAACAAAGCAATAGCCACACCGATCCAGGGAGTCTGGGACATGAGGAACAAGCAGTTCCACACCGGGATTGAGATCAAAGTGTGGGCAATCGCCTGCTTTGCTCCGCAGAGACAGTGCACCGAACTCTTGCTCAAGTAAGTCAAGAGTTCGCAGCACACAGCATTGTGAACGTGGGCCTGTCTGGGGCTGGTGGTGAAGTTATCTTTTAAAAATGACCACAACCAACTCATGCAGAAATAGCATCAAGATGTCATATTCAATCAATTCAGAGATGTTCGGATACCAATTTTGCCCTCCCAACACCGATTCCGATACTTGTGCTGTGGGTATTGGCCGATCTAGCATTTTCGGCAGTATCGGAGCAATTTCCGTTACTGGTATTGGAATCAGAACAACTCTAATTTAAACTTTTGACAGAGTTGCATTGCCCTCAACAATCATGACAGAACTCCCTGTTTGTTAAAGGTTTTACCTCCTCAGCCCTCATACAGACAGAAGTATTCAAGCTCCACAGGGGCAACGAAATTGCAAACCAAGTTTACTCACCTGTGCTATGTAGGAAAGTTGTACATTGTCATATCTTTGATGCCACGTAGGTAATAGTTTTTGTTTTGTTTTTTCAGTAATTTGCTCAAATTGAATTATTTTCTGTTCAACCAGCTCCTCATTCTGCTGAGATGTTTGTCTGTCATAACTCCCTCCTGAACTCTGAATTGACCCGATCATCTCCTCTCTCAGAGCATTCACAGATCAGCTCAGAAAGATCTCCAGAGACGCAGGGATGCCTATCCAGGGTCAGCCATGTTTCTGTAAATACGCCCAGGGAGCGGACAGTGTGGAGCCCATGTTCAGGCACCTGAAGTACACCTACCAGGGCCTCCAGCTTGTGGTCGTCATCCTGCCGGGCAAGACGCCTGTCTATGGTGAGGAACCAGCTTACATCATGTGCTGTTACAGGAGTATGATCTATTTCATACAGAGATATGTAACTGTTATGAGCCTGTTGTCTCAGCAAGAGGCTTGTAATGGTATTTTTTCCTGTTAGAGATGATGCCGTTAAAGGGTGCACATGCTTGTTCAGCCCCTTTTACTCCTCACTGTAACAGACACATCATATTAATGGTAACAGCTAATTGAGTAAGGAGTGAGAACTGAATCATCTTTAAAGTTCTGCACTGAAACAGTTCAGTAGGAACACATGAACCCTTTACAGTCCTGATCATTTCAACATCAGGAATCCCACACTGTTACTACATGAAGAGATTTGCAGCCAGTCAGAAAATGCTCATGAGCTTAACTTAAAGCAGTGGTTATCAAGTCCAGACAATACAAGAAGCGAATACAGCCATCTGAGACGGGAGACCAAACTTTGTTTACCACACTGGCATCCTTTAAGTCAGTGGTTCTCAAGTCCAGTCCTCGAGGCCCACTGTCCTGCATGTTTTGGATGTTTCCCTGCTCCAACACACCTGATTCAAATGATCAGCTCGTTATCAAGCTCTGTAATGGCTTACTAACGAGCTGATGATTTGAATCAGGTGTGTTGAAGCAGGGAAACATCCAAAACATGTAGAACAGTGGGCCTCGAGGACTGGACTTGAGAACCACTGACTTAAAGGATGCCAGTGTGGTGGACCAAGTTTGGTCTCCAGTCTCAGATGGCTGCATTTGCTCCTTGTATATTCTGAGTGTGATCTTACGTCGTTGGTTTCAGGCTGATGTCTCTCTGTGTGTGTTTTAGCTGAGGTGAAACGTGTCGGGGACACTGTACTCGGCATGGCCACGCAGTGTGTGCAGGTGAAGAACGTTCAAAAAACAACACCTCAGACCCTCTCGAACCTCTGTCTGAAGATCAACGTCAAGCTGGGCGGGGTCAACAACATCCTCCTCCCACAGGGCAGGTTGGTGAATGTAATAACGTCAGCAATGAAGTATGAACTCCGTCATGTGCTTTTTTAAAAACAAAGCGATAACCTTTTTTGTTTATCTTCTCTTTGCATCTTTCTTTCAGGCCGTTGGTGTTCCAGCAGCCGGTGATTTTCCTGGGTGCAGATGTGACTCATCCTCCAGCAGGAGATGGGAAAAAGCCCTCTATCGCTGCTGTAAGTAACATCACACCACGGACATCTGAATCTCACAGAGTGCGTGTAACCTGAGCTCCAGACTCACCAAACAACAGTGCAGCTATTCACTTTGTTTAAACGCTCTGTGCTGGTTTTATGGCCGGAACATTTATGGCAAGGGTGAGTCTCGGCTGCTCCCAGCATCCCCCAAAGCAGCAATTAGCAGTAAAATCCATTGTGTGCTACTTCCCTTAAACAAAGCCAGACAGACAGAGCTGCTGGGGGGTTGGTGGAGGAAATGGAGTATTGCTTTCTTCTCATTCGGTGCTTATATGTCTGTACATCCCGTTCAGGTTGTTGGTAGTATGGATGCCCACCCCAGCAGATATTGCGCAACAGTCCGGGTGCAGCAGCACCGTCAGGACATCATCCAGGACCTGGCCGCCATGGTGAGGGAGCTGCTCATCCAGTTTTATAAGTCGACCCGCTTCAAGCCCACCAGAATCATCTACTACCGCGACGGCATCTCTGAGGGCCAGTTCAACCAGGTGAGACTCAAACCGGTGAAGAAAACAACATCAGGAACACCTGTTCGATTCATTTAGTGGTCATCTTCGGTGGCGTTCACGTGTTGACCTTTTGACTTGAAAACATGCAGGTCCTCCAGCATGAGCTGCTGGCGATCCGGGAGGCCTGCATCAAACTGGAGAAAGACTACCAGCCCGGTATCACGTTTGTGGTGGTGCAGAAGAGACACCACACGAGACTGTTCTGCATGGACAGGAATGAGAGGGTGAGTGCTGTGGCAGTGAAAGGAGCGGCCATTTCTGGCAGTTTATAGTCCAAAGAAAACAGCACCACCAGATCAAGTCCTTCTCACTATACCTCCATACTTGAATGTCCAACAATAGGACAAAGTGTCTGATAATCACATGCTGTGAGAGAGGAATAGTGAAGAGGTCAAGGCAAGTGTTCTGCATTTATATCTTTCTTGTAAAAAAAAAAAAAGTGGTGCAACTTCACTCTCACCACAAGACAGTCAATCTGGTTTGGCACGTCCTTGTAAGTAAAGAGAGACTTCTTTGGCAGGAGCAGTAGACAAAGATATTGAGCATGCAACAAAGCTAAACTGTGTGTCTAAAAAGACTGCCTGGTAATGTCCCTTTTAATATCTGGATATCCATCGTGTCTCACTGGGACATTTTGGTGTGCTTTTGCAGGTTGGAAAGAGTGGTAACATTCCTGCAGGCACCACAGTGGACACCAAAATAACCCACCCATCAGAGTTCGACTTCTACCTTTGCAGTCACGCTGGCATTCAGGTAAGAGCTGAGTCAGGAAGAAATGAGCCTCAAGTTTCCAAATCTCCACTGAAAACATGTTTATTTATGCTGGCTTTTAATACCCAGTAGTGTGGTAACACTTTGACTTTATTTTACTGCATTGTATCTTATTCTTTTGTTTTTATTGTTTTTATTTATTCATTTTTATTTACTATGTATTGTAAAGCACTTTGGTTCACCAAAAGCGTAGTTGTGAAGGGCTGTATTAATAAAGAACATTTACATATACGTTTCAAGTCAAAAGACACATTATGACCATGAAAACAAACAAACAACATGATCAACCAACGTGGCAGAGGAAAGAAGACTGTTGATACTGTGGGGAGCGTTTTACCTCCCAGACAACACAGTAACTCTCTCCGTCTCTTGCTTCTTGCAGGGTACCAGCCGGCCGTCTCATTACCACGTGCTCTGGGACGACAACCACTTCTCCTCAGACGAACTGCAGGTCCTTACATACCAGTTATGTCACACATACGTGCGCTGCACCCGGTCAGTCTCCATCCCAGCACCAGCCTACTACGCTCATTTGGTGGCTTTCCGAGCTCGCTACCATTTAGTTGACAAAGAGCACGACAGGTGAGGATTCAGAGTTGTTCGCCGTGTCCATTACCATTTTGAACAACTCTCCTTATAAATTCAGCATTATCAAATTCTTCTGAAAGCCCTCAACAGTTTTGTTATTTTTTTATGTTGTCGTTTCAGTGCTGAGGGCAGCCATACATCAGGCCAGAGTAATGGGCGGGACCAACAAGCCTTGGCCAAGGCTGTCCAGATTCACCAGGACACCCTGCGCACCATGTACTTCGCTTGAGAGCGCACGACCCCAGGTTGGCGTGGGTGACATCCCACTGATGAAAACAAACTACCCCTCGCTGTCTCTCTGTCAGCTGTAGATAGCATCACAGTGGCGATCTCCCTCATAAGAGACCTGTCAGTCACCCATATGTCTACAATTGTACTTCATCCCCCTGACTCACCCAAACAAAGCCAGCCATTAGACTGTAAGATGCAAAATAATCCCTCATTCGTGGGGTTCGAGCTGGAGGAGGTGTTATTTACAAGTCGTACCTTTTGTGTGTGTTTTTATTTGTCGTAGGGAAACAAAAGTATGTACACTGACAGAAGAACTAATTTCTGAACTCGAGGACAGTATCATTCTACATTTGGGTGATTTACAATCCAGAAGTTCACTCCCCTCCTCTCTCCCTCCTGTCTCTGTTGTTCGTTGGGATGCGGTGCTCGAAGGGAGAAGGATCAAATTCATCACAAGACGAGGGGCTTGTTTGCTGTTTTAAAATGCCTATTGATTAACTCCTCTGACAAACATTCTTTAACAGCCAATCAAAGCAAAGTGCACTGACCAGAATGGGTACTTCAATCAGGACTTAAGTACTTAATATGATTTCTCACATAGGGCACTATGTGATACAAAGTGCCATTTGAGACCACCTTTCTGTCCTCGTTTCTGTGTAAAACTCTGAATCCTTATTCCAACATCTGCCGCGTTTTCAGTATTTGTCCTCGATTGACTCTGACCATCGTTTTGATGCCAAATCTGGTGACAACTTCCACAAGAATATCTTCGCATCAGATATGTCACGATCAACCCTCGAACCGACGCTTAGTTTACCCTGGAGGCTTTACTGTTCAGATACACTCAAAAAACTGCATTTTTATCCCCACCTACCTGTCCTGTTAGTCTGAACTTCAAAAGCTGCACCAGAATCCCCATCTGTAGAAAAATGTTATTGGGACTGGTTCCCAACAAGGACACCTTTCTTATGTACTCTGAGCCGTGTTGATAAAAAGACACATGATGTAGAAATCAACAAAGAGGGGAACTTCAAGAAGTCTTTCTTGTCCCCTTCTGTTTTTATCGTCTAATTTAATTTCAGTCATTTTTTTTTTTTTGTAATGAATATGCATGTAGCCGAGTCATGTTTTAGACATTTAGGCATTTTTGTGATATATTATTTTTCTTTTCGTTTCCTCCTTTTACACACATTAACCCGTCTTTTCTGTTTTGATGTACATAGCAGCAGGATAGTGTTTTCTGCAGTGTTTTAGTCTGAACGGGGATATTTATGTGGCCCTCCATATCCAGACGTTCGGTACAGCAGAGTGAAAGCTGCAACATTTTTAAGAGTTAAAACTGATTGAAATTCCCTCAGAGAAAAAAAAAACGTAAAAAAACAAGAAAAAAATAGCGTTTGCTCCGAGAGTTGGGAGCAGTTGTCGCACAAAAGCTTGGGTTTTATGCAAACGACTTTTTGTGAGTCTTTCTACTATAAAGTAACGTTGGTAATAAGGTATATTTTGAATAAGCTTTCAGTGGAGGCTGCTGAAAATATAATAGAGATTTTTTTAAACTGACCGGCCCACATGTAGTCTAAATTAACACTGTCTATTTGTATACAGATTTTAAATGCAAATACTCTCTTGCCTTCTAAGACTGTCCGAGTCTTACTAATAATCCTAGACATTTCCTAACACCCCACCTAAGTTTTACGACTAAGTTAAGCTGGCGAATGTTCTTGTAATCTTGATCTCGAGGCGAGTAGTCTACATTTTCTAACTATGCATCGTTTTTAACCAAGAGATTTAGCTGTGGGGGTATCTCACGAGAATTGGGGTCATTTATAGAGATAGATAATCAGGGCTTTGTTTTTGTTTTTGTTTTGTTTTTTTAGCATGTTGCATTTAGTAGCGTTTCTTAGTGCTTTTTAGCGTCTTCATGCCTTTCCAACGGGGATGAAGTATTTATGTGGTCATTTGTAACCGTGTAGATTTTATAGCCTGAAAATTGGGTGTATCCTTTGTAACACACAATCTTTCTTAGCCAAACAAGATTACAAACTTTTACATGATGAATATTCAAAAGACACGTAAGCACAAAACAAACAAAAGGACATCTTGATTCTAGGTGCTAGAAGTTTTCACTGTAAACCACCTTAAATCCTCACTGGACTGGTCGACAAGGCTTTTGACATAATGTACGTTTAAAAAAAGAAGCTTCATCACGTGGAGGATCTTTTCTCTCCCACTGACGACCTTTCTGTGTTACCCTTTTTATTCATTATTACCTGTAAAGCAACTAGAAATCCGACTGACTGTGTTTGTGGGGCATTCTGATAAAAAAAAAAAAAAAAATCACGTACTTGATATTTACTGTTATGATGTCAATATTGTTCTTATCGGTGCTGGTCTCACAACATGTAAAATTTGGATGCACTTTTTGATAGCAGAGCATCGGCGCGACTTCTACAGACGCGATCGCAGCAGGAGGCTCAGCCATATTGCGTGAGACACTGGTGTAATTGTACGGAAATGGCCGTGTGTTCTACCTCTTGTTACCTGTTAAAAGTGTTATGGTAACATCACACTGCGGGCCATTTCTGCATAATTACCCCTGCTATCTATCAGATTGGCATTCTTGGAGTCTCGCATTGACAGTAGAGGTTGAAACGCTTGGTGTGCATGATGCTATTACATGCTTATGTAGTTGTGTGTTTCTCCCGTAGTTTTGACTCAAACTGAAAAGAGAGGGTGTGTCTTTTTTCCTTTTTTTTTTGTTTTTCTTTTTTGAGCATTGAGCTGTACGACCAAACTCTTGACGTGTGTTTGTATCCACACGCAGCTTTCCCTCTTTTCTTTCCATTTATTCTATGCACCAGTGAAAAGACAGACTTTTATTTTGACACCAACCGATGCAAAGCCCACGTCAGGTGCGATCAGTGCATATCTCTAATTTGAACAAATGAATCTACCCCCTGTGGTGCTGACTGTTAAAAGTTACTTGAAAGATGAACTAGAATCAAAGGGCACACCATGAAATTCATGTTTAAATGTGTTCAGATGAAATTCAATCCAACTTCACCACGGGACGTTTAAGTTTAACCATGTGATCATCAAGTTTTCTCCATGTATGAGTGGACCAGATCAACAGAGACTGGCTTTGTGTTTAAAGGAGGCTGATGTCAGGTGGAGTGCAGGTGTTTGTTTGTTTATTTGTTTGTTTGGAAAACCGAATGTCTTTCGAAAATGCCTGTCACATTGTGTAAAAGCGTGCAAAGTGAACAAGTGTCCTACAGGATGGAGTGCTGAAATCCATAATCTTTTGACGAGATGTTTTTGTAGTTACTGCTTCTTTGACATGACCTTTACCAGCACCTTAAAACAGCAGATCAGAATGGCATTGCTTTTCCCCTCCCGGGAATAAAACTCAAACATTTGACAGAGATTTTGCACTAAACAAGGGTGGACTTTTGTAGCTGTTTCAGCATGGAGTATTTATCAGGTGGTGAACAGGCAGCCTCTTTGTTTCGATTGAGACGTTGGCTCTTTGGTGCATGTTGATGAGACACAAGCCAACAAGTCTAAGAGCCTCTGTGTGTGATTTCCACCTGTCCAACCAGCATTCAGCATTTCGTCTTTGAGAAATATTCTGCCTTTTTAAAAATCTTATCAAAAGAGTGAGCTTGTGGATGGGTTGCCTTTTGTACAGTGAAGTGGAAGAGAGGGTGCTTTATGCAAAACCGACGCGTCAATAAGAGGATGCCAAAGTGCTGTTTGAAGTATATATGATGTATATATGCATAGAATAAAGAAAGGCCTCTTTCTATGTGAGACACCACCAGACTATACATATCACTATTACAGAAATGTGCTTGATCACCATGAGCTGAGACAAGAATGTGCAGGAAATGTAAACTGAAAACACCAGCCTGGGTAAATTTTAGGCACTTCTTCACAAAAGTAAGGTCGCCCTGGGTGCTTTAGTGTGGAACTCAGAACAGCTGTACTGATGATAATGATGTTACAGGATGTTTTGTCTCAATGTTTCACCTCAGTTTGGCAGACCTCTACAGCCAGATAAGACACAGATCTGGTTTTTAAACAAATGCACATATCATACACTAATAACTTCATTGACAGAACAGTTTTTCCTGATTTCATTCCATGTGTAACTAAGTTCAAATTCGGATTTTAAAGAGGCTGCGTTTAATCCCTCATGGTGGTAACTGTCAGTCTGATCACTTTTAGTCCTCTCGAAGGACCTTGGATCTAAGTGAAATCTGCTTTTGGGTGAAGCCAAAACTCGTACATGGGTTATTCAAAGCCGGTTTCCTCTGTAAAGTACCATGTCCCCTCTCTGCCTCTCGTCCGTCTCTTGTAGAGAATTGATTGCTGATATAGAGAAACCTCTTGTAGAGTAGAGCCTATTTTCCTAGCTCCAAATAATAACAATGAATGTACTCAGAGCCTGCGTGGTTTGTAATATTGTATAGGCTATCCATCCAGTACATTTATTCTCATGTTTGCTTCTTGTGTACAGCCTTTTCTTTTCTTTTTTTTTATTATCTTTGGTGTTTTTCTCCTATCTAGGCTTTAATAACTGCAGAAAGTATTATGTGTTCTTCTTTAATATTTTATGGACTTAGATAACGCCCACATCATTCACCGCTATTACTATTAATACTTCCATTGATTTGCAGGAGGCGTAAACACAGTCTACAGTCTGTCTCGGGATGTTGGCTACTGTGGCTGTAGTTGACGTTAACATTTTCACACTGGTGCAAAGAGTCGTCATCTTTTACATTCTGGCATCATGCTTGTGTGGGGTGCTGTATAATAAGAGCTGTGTGTGTGTGTGTGTGTGTTGTATGTGTGTATATACTATATATAGATGATTGTTGCTTTGGTGTGTGTGTTCGCTTGTTAGTTTTTTTGGCTTCTGCTCAAGCCCTCAGTCGTATCCTCTCATCCTCTGACTTTACAGAGTCGACCTGTAAAATCCTAACAATCCTCCTAAAGCGCAGTGTAACTTGAAAACTAACAAGCTAAAATTTTTGTTTAGGTGTTATGTTCTTTACTTTTGGCGAGTATATGACAACGCAGCTGCTCTTTCAGATATTTAAGATACCGTTTGTAAGTTCAAGGCACTCGGCCAGCTTCAGCAGACCTTTATTTTTCCTGTTCCTACTTTAAAAAAAAATAACTTACTGAAACATAACTTTGTCAGTTTTTATCATCATGTCCACTAACTTACCTGTAGCCATGCAACACTGGAGCAGTGTCCATGAGGTCTCAGCAGTTAGAAGTGAGTCTGAGTCAGTCAGTATAAATTCAAATCTGGTGTTGGCAGACCTAGGGTTCGAAGTCTTGCTCCTTATGTCCACTGACTTGAGCTTTGCCCCTCTTGTGATGGCCTTGTCTCGTCTGTGTCTTGGTTTTAAACCCCCTTTTAAAGGCCAGGAGTCCTGTTGCAGCCATATTTCCATTGTTCAAGTCTTGATAGTAACGTCTTTCACCACAGTAGCAGTGCAACTCTTCAGAACGCAGTCTTGGTCTGATCTTGAGTGTCTCAATATGTCGCCACAGAGCTTTGTTTTATGTGAAAATTCATGCTTTCAAAGGGACACATTTCAGTGACTTTGATGACCCTAAATATCTAAACATTTTATCAGTCAGGTTTCAAGAAGATTTTATTCGAAATCTCCGCTCTTGATTTTGGCAAATCTATCGCACAATCGATCAATAACAGTTCCCATAATTTTGTTTATGACTAAAGAAACGCACAAACTAATGACATCTGTTGGCCTCCATTTGTCAGATATCAAATTATGACAGTAATAATTCAAACTTGTGCAAATCCAGAGGGGGAATTAGGCGTCAAAGCTTGACCATTAACATTAAGGTAAAGCTTAGCCGAGGAATCCAACATTGTTGATGACTCTATAGTTTCTGGCTGCCATTGCTAAACCATAAAGTGGCGTCGCTGCCCTCAGTGGACATAAGAAGTAGAGTTTGGTTCTGTAATTGATCTGACGCTGACTGTGGAGAACTGTTACCAACCTTCACCAAACCAAACCAAGGCCATCCACCTGAGCTCCATGTTCAACCACGGAGGGCACATGTGGGTATTTTTGTATTTTGAAAGCATTTTTAGTCTTCAGCATGACTTGGCTTCTTATTTACCAACTTGGATAAGAAACTACCTCAGAGCAGTGTCAGGTGCTAGCTAATATTAGTCCTAAGTTATAATAAAGGTAACAAAATCGAGAGAATTGTCGCGACCAAACCAAGACAAGCCAACATGGTGTGAAAACACACTACTACTTTCCTTTAACCTTGAGAAATGGGAAAAACCAAGTAATCGTGTACAATTGGTTGGTTGCTTTAGTTGGTTACATTGTAGGGGACCAAATTTTTGTAATTAGGCATCTCATCGTGTCTGTGAATCCTTTATTTTTGAAAAGCAGTCAGCACAACCCAGGACTGTAATCATCACCCGATCAAAACGTGCCATCACCCAGTAACTGCTTTTCCATATGACGGTGTTTTAATATTCCAGTTAATTCTGGTGTAACGACAAGAGTTGGTTGTGATTTGTTTGAAAGATGTTTGTACAGCAATAACGTCGGTGTGTCAGTAGGGAATTGGTGATTTGTTGAATAGCAGTCAGTCCTCTCTGCGCCAATCCAGACATTGCTCAGTGAACATTTAAGGCATTTCGTTTTTTTATTTTCACAGCCAGCTTCTACTGGGTTTGTTTGACCAGAGAGTTCAAATATATAGGTGTCATACAGGATAGAGCCACTCCACAGGATTTAACACCAACATATCTCTGCCATGCCAGTCCAACACTGCAATAAAACCATTTGTTCTCAGTCAATTTCCACTTCTCCTATAATACGCCAGACTCAACGCCATTTTTGTTAAAGCTATACGACGACAGCTTACAAAGGGAACAAACACATAAAACAGTCTTTACAATCGAACAGAACATTAAAAACTTCAATGAAGAAAGGTACATGTGATGTGTGGCGAAGAACGCCAGTCTGTCGCAACTTCAACTGAAAACATCCAGCGGGTTTGTTCGCGTTTTTATGTGTGCCTTTTGTCGGATCTCTCTCTCTTCTCCATCTGGTTTGTGATTCTTTTTTCCAAGACGGATTTGACAAAAATCGTTTGCGCCACATAAAGAAAATATGATTTCCATTTTTTTAATTATCATGCAACCTTGTGTGTAGATGCTGCATAGAACGATCAGTATTTGTGTTTTGCACTTTCAAAGCAGTCTCAAATAAAAAATGCCCACCTAAGGGCAGAAAGTTAAAATAAATAACTGACGAGGTATTTTATGCTATCAATAGGAATTATAAGGAATAATATGACTTTGAAGAGCTTTTCTAAAAAGGTTGATATATCTATATATATTCATGAAGTACCTCATAAGCCTGATATATGCTGCATTGACTTTTTTTCTGTAGTGTACTTCATAATGTCCAATAAAATTTTAATTTCCCCCTTTTATGGGGAGGTTTGAATGTCACTACAGGCTGTGCACACGCCACAACCCGTAAATCTGATCAAGTTCTGTCGTAACATGAGTTTGTTACACCTTGTGGCCAAATGAAAATGTGTCATTTATGCAATTTTTACGCTGATTTCATCACAGACTCTCTAAGTTGTAGCTTCATCATGTTTCTGTGCTCTTTCTTTTTTCTTTTTTTTTTGCATTATCTGTCTGTGTAGCCAAAAAATAAACAAATAAATATCGGGTTAAGTTGACAAAGACGCCTCCTGGGAGGCTGTTATGTGTAAAACACGACTGTTGACTCAGGTATTGTCGTGAAAGGGCTGTATCTGCTTTACTGCACCCCTGCCCCAATCTCCCCACCCCACCTCTCCTGCACCTTTGTCTTAAAATAGCCTTAGATCTACATGTGAGGTCCCTATTTGGCCTTAAAAGTTGAACAAATTATGCACTACAATTTCACAGACTTGACAGAAAAAGCTCCATGTCCGATTCAGACACACTTTGTGAAGCGTTGCCATGTTATCTACCTCCTATGAATGTAGGGGCTGTCCTGGAATTGTAGTCCACTGCAAAACTAAGAAAGCAGACAATCATCTGTAGGTTCTTGAAAATATTTTTAAAAATATATAAATATATATATATTCCTCTATTCATCCATAGAGCTGATTCCAGGACTCTCCGTTATATTTCCCCTCACTGGCCATTTTCATTTCCCACACTGTTTTTTTTTTTAATCGTAAAGCCATGATGGAGAAGCAAAGTGACCAAAGTCTCTTAACGAAGGCAGCCCTGCACAGCTGTGTGAATTCAAACCTCCCTTCATTGGTGTGATTTTGAGCTCAGCTCTGAGTTGTTGTTTATATTTTTCTCTCTCTGTCTCTCTTTCTCTCTCTCTCCTCTCCCTTATTTAAACCACGACATGCCAAAACTGAATTTGCTGTCATTCCTGTTCTGGTGAGGGTCTTTATGTTGCTCATTTATAATTTGTTCACATCCACTGCTAAGCTCCTTGTTCTTGTTGTTGTAAAGTTGTAAGCTTTGATTTCTATTTTTCATTTCCTTACTTTTTTTTTTGTTAACAATTATACTTACAGAACACAAGATATGCTGTAAACCCTGTTAGGACATAATGTGAATACGTATCACTTAATATAGTTCACTCTTTGGCTTGACTGTAAGTTGCGTTAATTAATAAAAATGTTGAAAAACTTTGCTCTTTTTGCCTCTTTTATTATTGTTCTCTTGTGTTTTTATCTGAATCGCTAAAGGGATATTCCAGCGTAAATTTAAGTTATGCTCAAACACACCATAACACAGAATTAGAAACCCCCTTGAAAGATGAATTTTGCCGACTGCTTGTTTCTTTAGTTTTGCCAACTTTAGTAACGACTGCGCTAACTGATTGTTTGTGGGGGGAGCCTTGACGCGTCGAACACTAAGTGCAGCAGATCATTTCCTTGAAGTAATAATCATCATAATAATCATTTTGCACTGCGGACATGGGAGTTCTTCAACCTTAGCATCTCGGTCTGATTGCATTTCCATGAAGTAATGATCAGAAACGTTTTTCCTTGAGCTGCGAAACTGTGCTGCACTTAGTGATCGACTCGTCAGGGCTCCCCCACAAACAAGTGGCCGCTGGAGGAGAGTGGGTGGGTGCATGGTGCAGGTTAAAAAAAAAAAGTCTCTTATGAACAACTAAGATAATCTGAATTCAAAAGTTTTGCAAGTAAACCAGATGTCCAAGAAATTTTACATATCACTGACCTTTGGCAATATCAAACTACCTGCAAAAATGATGTTTTAGGTGCATGATTGTCAAAGAGTTTTTTTCCTTTGGGTACAGCTCAACAGGCATCATTAGTTCTCATAATGCCTGTATGATCCTGTTACCTCACCTATACATCTTCTAAAAATAAGCCACCATATTGGAAATGCTGACTCATAATTTAAAAGGCAGCTGATGATGTTGAGTTATGGCGTATGGCAAGCCATTTAAATATTTAAAAGCTAGACTGGATATGTGTTGCAGATATCTTTAATTCAGTTTCGCCTAGTCGAAGAAAACATTCCAGATATCTGCAACTACATTCTGCCTAGGACAAATGACGTCACTTTTGCCATTCATGTGTATGAGGTTTCTCATTAAAGATATCTAAAATTGTAGTTATCCACTACAGTTGTAGATATCCACTATGTAAACTACAGATATCTGCAACTGAATTGGAGATATCTACAATATGATTTTGCAAAGTTATAATTCCAGGTGAAAATATTTTTAATTCACTTCAATTCAAGATATCTACATGTTCCTTTTCAGATATCTAAAATTAAGTTTTGACTTGGCGAAATAATGTTGTAGACCTTGTTAATGTAACTGGAGTTAGGGATAGTCATAATTCAACTGTATATATCTATAATCAAGTTATAGATGTCTTGAAATGAATTTTGACTAGAGATATCTGAATAGTAGATATCTGTAGATTTTATTTCGCATAGTTGAAATGTAATGACAGATATCTTGAATTAGAGTTTTGACGAGGCAAGATGATGTTACAAATATCTAAGATAATATCTAAATTAGGCCTCCACGCTTGCTTTTATGTCAAGTCACTTGCAAATATTGTCAGTCACGGGTTGTTTGGGCTTGTTTTGCTCCCCCTTTGTCTGGGCTTTACTTTATTTACTTATTTGATTAGGTGAGAGAAAATGAGTGACATATTTGTGGATATCTAAGGTAAAGCAAAGTCATACACATTAATTAGCACTCATCTTAGTGACATCTGAGATCTGTGATTCTGCCCAGTCAGCTTAATGTCATTTCAGTGACCTCACTGTAGATATCTGTTATTCGGTTTTGCCTTGTCAAAACTGATTAACAGATATATTTATCTGCCGTTCAGATGTCTGAAATGTTGTTACAACTAGTACTAAGACATTGATATCTTCATTGTTAATCCCAGATAGTCAAACTTAGATTTTAAGTTTTAAAACGGCTTGCCATTATGGCGGGCTTTTACTCTTAGCTAACAACCACGTCGACTCAGTCGTGCACCGTTTTGTGAATTAACAGAAGGTTTTTTACAGACCACCTTTCTTTGTGTTTTAAGTAAAGCTCTGGGTTTTTGTTCATATTTTTTCTGTTTAGCAGGTGAACTAGATATAAAAGAAAAAACTTTAAAAAGGTAATAAAAAGATGAGGCCAAAAGTCTATGAATTAACAAAACTAACTACATTTGACCAAAAGTGTTTATATTTTGCCCTCAAAATGGTAATTTTAACATTTGACTCAACTGACGCCTTTGGGCAACATTATTTTCCAACACTAGATGCTGCTTAGTTTTAATCAGTCCATAAATGTTGCACTTTTGATAGGTTAACGTGATCCAAAACTAACGCTTGATTTAAAAGGAGACTGCTTTGTGATGTTTAGGTTTATTTGTCATAGCTTTGCTGATAAAAATGTAAAAACATCAGTAGACAGAAAGATGATGTGAAAACAGTTCAACAGACAGCAGGGTTCTTCTCTAATACATGGCACAGACTGGCCTCAAATACATACTGCAAACATCCACATTGTGTCATTTTTCAGGATCCATATGCATTTTCCTAAATTCTGAGACATTTCAGAACAAAATAAACTATTGGACTTGTTTTAGAAAGCTGCGACAACAGCACAAGTCTGGCCTTTTGGCTTTGCTGAATACAATTTTTAATGTGGGTGTAAAATCATGCAGCCTATGGTTGAAATACCATCTGGTTTTCCATCTTTATTTAAAGATCGGGGCTTTGGCATACTGCAACTCTTTAAGATCAGAACCATAGAGAGGGGATGGGTTTGTGCCACATTCACTAATATTAAAACATTGACTGGCTCATGGAAACGATGACAATGCTTCAGTACCTCCAGACAGACACAGACAGGCTGATTAACAGGAAAGTTAACGAAACAAATCAAATGATCATGCCCTGCAAAATACTAAACACTATTTAAAAAATCACAATGATTGAAAACTAGGACAAGAACACAAAACTAGACAGAATTAACAGTGTTTGATCTTGAAAAATACATTATAAAGTTGATCTTTTTACATACTGAAGAAATTGTGCGCATGTGAGCCTTTGAACCTGTATTTCTGCTCGGTTGATCCTGTGTATCACACTGAAAGAAGAAGAAGAGTTCAGGGCTGGCTAACAGAAAACTCTACAGGATTTAAGTGTAATGAACATAAGAATTAAACAGCTACACAGATTTTTGGACATTTTCAGCAAAGATGTGTGACACAGACAAGTTTCTTGGACAATGACTGCTCAAAGTTCCTCTAATCCATCTCCTTTTCTTCTGATTGGGAGCCTGGGAAACGATCTTAACTCCTGGATGTCCATGAAGGAAATCTGACATGAACACTTGAAATCAAACAAATAGAAACGACTATGAAACAAAACTACAATAAATTAATGCAAAAATATGGCCCAAGTGACGTGACCAGATTTTTTTGTTTCATTCGTTGGAATTCCACATTGAATAGAAAGATCTTTCATAAAAAGTTATAAAATAAATAAGCACTCTTTCCCTTTGAGTTTTGAGTAATAAAAAAGTTGCATGGCGTGCAGGCCCGAAAGAAGGAAGAGCGATTATTGGAGAATTTTTTTTCTTTTTTCAAACTTAGGATCTCCTCCTTTTCTTTGGCCTCTGCGGTGGAAATCACACTCATGCCGGTGGGTCACATGACCCGCTCAGAGTGGTCTGTGGGCACAGCAGCCAGACCTCAGTACACCCAGTTGACTGGAACCCACTGCGGCTCGTTGCACAGTTTGTCTACGGCGGCCTGTAATGTCTCAAAGGCTTTGTCCAGGTTGTCATTGACAATGGTCAGGTCGAAGTAGTGGTTGTAGGCCCTCTGAATGCGGGCACTCTCGTCCACCGTCTTCTTCAGGTCCACATCCTGAAGAAAAGGAAAGGTGAGGGTGAGTGACTGAGAGGACATCAATGAGGGGTAACCATACCAACATTCAAGGGACAGGGTTCCTACACAGTTGTAATTTCCATACTTTTCAACACCCTACTTTTTAGAATTTATTTTATTATTTTTATTATTTTTTATTTTATTTTATTATTTATTATTTTCCACACTTTATTTTTTATTTTCCATACTTTTTAAGACCTAGAAATTGACCAAATTTATTTCCATACTTTTCCATACTTGCGTAAGAACCCTGAAGGAAGTTTCCAGATGGATGGTCAGGGGTAACATGTGCCCCTCAGAACTTAGGCTTACATGATTGAGATACTCTCAAATGACCATGTAAGACCTGTGAGTTTGACCTTCATTTCCCACTGAGCTTTTTTTGGTCCAAAAGAGGTCTAACAGATGTCTTAATGTAGCCGAGACAAGTGGTCAAAATCAGGCTACCACAGGTCTAAAAACGAAAGATTTTTAGACATCTTAATTTAGACCAAGTTTAGACTAAATCTAAATCTAGGCTATATCTATACTACACTGTATTTTGCTCAATGGCTATCATAACTATTTTGGTTAAGTACTTGGAGATCGGTTATGTAACTCACAGTTGCTTTTTGAAAATAAATAGTTATTGAATAATGGGTTAAAGTGCAACATCTAAATTCCGTCTAAAAGTATAGAGAATCTAGTTGGTTGAAATTAGGTCCAAAAAAAAAAACTAGATGTCTAATAGCCGTCTATTGCTCAGTGGGTTGTGTGTGTGTGGACATGCATTAGGGTTGTGTACCTACCGTGAGTTGCTTGGTTGTGATGCCTGCGTCCACCACAGCTTTGTGCATGCCCTTGAGAGTATCAAAATCTGGTGCTGCGATGAACACCACATAAGGCATGAACTCGGCTGTTTTCAGCACCTTCAGAGCCTGAGGAAAGGGACAGACAGTGACATGAAGATTACTTCTCTCTCTCTTTTTCTTATGTTCTGCCTGGAAACGCAGGTAAAGGATTCCTGTTCTGACGTTACCTGTGGGTTCACGTCCAGTATGCAGGTGCGTCCTGTGTCCACCACCTCATGGATGGACTCGATTTTCGTGCCGTACAGATTACCATCATACTCGCCGTGCTCAAGGAACCGCCCAGCTTTCACATCCACCTCCATTTCTGTCCTTGTGGTGAAGTGGTAGGAGTTACCGTCCAGCTCTTCATCACGGGGCCGCCGAGAAGTGTCTGGAAAGAAAAAAGGAAGTCAGTTCACGTCTGAACATGTTTCATGAATAAAGGTGTGACTGGATACTGGGATACAAACAAAACAAACATACAGGGTATGGTGGTGCCGAAGCGTGTGGGATGGAGGACCATGAGGCGGTTTTTGAGGCTGCGTCGGCCCACACCTTGAGCACCAATCAGAACGAGGGTCTTCCTCTGGAATGCTGGCACTTTTGCTACTTCTTCATAGATCATTAGCTCATGCCTGTCAAATTCTGAACACAGGAAAAATCTATTTATACAGAGACAGATCCTGAAGAGTTAGAATAAAAATCATGAAATGGTGTCTGACCTGCGTTTTTGGCCGTCAAATACATCATCTTCTTCTTCTTTTTTCCAGCAATAGTTCCACAAAGGATTCCTACAAAGCAAGACAGCACATTATACGACTTGTATGACGTGCTGTTAGAGCATTTGTCCAGGAGGGGGCAGGGTCACACCAATTTCTAAACACTGGCTTTGACATAAATCAGCTCTCAGTGGTGAAGCATAAGAGTAAAAGTAACAGGATTCTGGCAGTGAAGCAGTTCTAACCTTGAGGTAGGAACGCCAAACATACCTGATCCATCAAAGTCTCGAGGGACGAAAGCTTTTCTTTTTTCTTCCAAGAACTGACTGGGGATCAGCCCTGTAGCACCGCCAACCACATGGCACGCCTGGCATAGATTAGATACCAGGTCAGCGGAGTCAAAAACCTTTTCATGTGCATGTGTTTTGCTCTTTCGTGATCATGGAAGCTCACCTGCCACCAGTTTGGATCCTCTCTGTTGACAATCTGAAGGATATCGCCTCTCTTGAAGGCCATTCCCGCCTCTCGGCAAGGGATCAGGTTGTCATTGGCTGGGTTGTAGTCAAAGTACGGCCGCACGTACACCTGTGAGGACCATGTGAACATTATTCAGCCTTAACTTTGTGATTAAAAAAAAGTTAGTCTTTCTTTAAGAGTGATAAACATTTTGGATAAGGTGAGCAGAGAAACTCATAATTGAAAACACAAGAGACTCCAGCTCAGCAGGAGTTCTCACACACTGACATGGTGACAGTGTCTCATTCACACCCTTTACGTCCAACATCCCACTCTGCTCTCGCCGCAGCTGTTCACGCTGCGCCAACAACAGTGACGACTTCTGCCAGTAAGGCCGAGTGCCCAGGCTGGTGTATTAGATTAAACGAGCAGCCAAAAGGAAGCAATAAAAACCAGCCAGTAAAATACAGAGTGAGTGCAGCGCGTCCAGCCACGGGGCAGAATGTGAGTGTGCATTATGTCTCAATCGTTTTTACTGCAGTTCATTCAATTTAAGGACGAGTGCTTCCAAGTTTATGTCTCCTGATGCAGCTTCTTTATTTTTTTCAGGAATTTAACTCAAAAAATGGTTGAATAATGTGCAAATTTAACCAAAAATAATGTTCTTTTCATGTGAGGGAGCATGGGATCACCAGGAGCATGTGAGTCGGGTTTGTGCAAGATAGCTAATGCGACCCAGTTAACAAGTGGAGTGTTATTAATAGGGCTTCCAGGGTCCAGATTCCTGTGCAGGGGATTGTGGGAGGGACTTAGGACAGATCACCAGCTCTGCACCGCTGCCCTGCATCTGCCCGCCATTACCCAAGTCTTCCTGCTTGTGTTTACTTTTCACTCCATGTTTGTGTTTGTGTGTGTGTTTACCTGAGGAGGTGCAGGAGCGTCCCGGTAGCTCGGGAGTATTTTCAGCGTGATCCCTCCGCTGCAGTCTTTCAGCATCTCCTGCAGCTCGGTGGGGTTGTTGCCGACGTCCTTCCCGTTCACTTCTTTGATGATGTCGCCCACGTGGAGCAGACCCTGCCTGTCAATCATGCCGCCGTGGAGGATTCGAGCGATGACAAGGTCGTCTTTTTCCACTCGAAATGTCACGCCCTGCAGGAAAGGACAGAGCGAGTGATGTTTCTCCTCTGCAATCTTACTGCCTTATGATATGCACACACCTTCACCCGCACTCCTTTTAATTCTGACATTTACTTGTGCACTTCATGATTTACTATGTCATTTGTGTACTCACTCAACCCCTCTGGTAACACCCACTCACATATTTACACACACTTAAACACACACACTGTAACAGTCAGACAGTCTTCATTTGCTCACCAGTGGCTCTCCGGCCTTCTTTCGGATGCCGATCATGCGCACGGCATCAGCCTGCATCAGAGCGCTGTTCACTGCTGCATCATTGGGTATCTCGGTCGGGGGCGGGACTTCGTAGCATTTGGAGGCCACCATGTCATGTGCCTCCAAAAGAGACTAAAAGGCAGAGAGGAGAACAGTCAGAGGGTTCCTGAAGTGACTCTGTAGGTACTTTGAAGGAAGTTAAAACTCATTATTTTCCTTTTTTTCATGTATAATAATATAAAACAAACTCCTAATCAAACACAAAATGTTCAGTACAATCAATTTACCATTTTTTTTGCTGTTATCTAATCACTTGTACTGGTAGGATACCAATAAAATACAAGCTTCATTATCATCATTCTTATGTGCAAGACAACAATAAAACTAATTTTATTCTGCTTTAGCAAGAGTACCAAATGCTTCATTACTGCATGTTTTCATTGTTGAAAAACTTCAATGGAAAAACATTATTAGTCAAATGAGATATAATTTCTGTTACCATCCATCATCAGGTCTGACACCTATCCCCCTACAGCACTTTAAAGCTCCTGTGAGGAGATTTTTGGTTTAAATAAAAGAGACTTAAGTTGATATCTGTGCCTTTTTATGACATAGAAAAGCAAAAGAAACCAGAGATAGAGATAAGCAAATGTGGCACCCAAGTTGGGACAAATTGAAAATTCCTCACAGGAGCTTTAAGCAATACAAATTACTGCAGTGGAGTTACCAGACTATCTCATTTGCTTTTCTCAAACTCCTCACTGTGCCTTTAATATACTGTTTAACACACTGTACCTCACAAAGCCAAGGTTTAGAGGATTTGAACCCGATCCTGTGCTCATAGATGCTATTTTCTGATTGTGTCTATAAAAATTCTATTGGTCTGCTCTGTATATGTCTAACATTTATCTGTTTTAAATAAGCAGTCTGCATGCAAAATTAAAGAAATTCACATGTTAAAATAACACTCCCTGTGTTAACCCTATATATTTAAGTGTTATTTTTTTTAAACAGTGAAACAGAAAATAATTCAAGCACAGGGAAATAAGCACTGGAACACAGCATTTCACTTAAATACACATTAGAGCTATATGTAATGTAGAATAATAGCATAACATGCAGGATAGTAACAAATACGGGCAGGACAGCACCACAGTTGTGTATGATGGCTGATCTACACAAACATTTGCTGAGTGTGTAACATTTAAGGTAAGTTTGCTGACTCTGTGACTCTTCTCCACTTATCTATTTATCACTGTAGGCTGTGCTCTAGCTTTTGGCATAACGCTGAAATTGTGGCTACGATTCATGCAACCCAGTGAGAAAAAAAGACAACAAAGAAAGTACAAATTGATGTTGTAAAACAGTTTTTAAAAGACAGGAAAATATGTTGTATTTTTGCAGAATGGGAAATAAGATAATGGGTTTAATTTACAGAAAAAAAGGTTCTATAAGAAATAGGTTAACCAAGCTGTTAACTTTGAGTTCCAGTGTGTGCCCAAATTATGGTTAAAAATAAAACCAGAACTCATCACCTAATGGCCCAAATCTGACATATGGATTACCACCAAAAAGTAATCAATTAATTCATCCCTCGCTCTCTGTTCATCCATCAACCTACATCACAGCCAGCTGATCTGCTACCAGCACTACTTTAAAAATTTTCCATCAAACTATCAGACAAACTGGGATTTTTTTTAACTACAAGACAGAGTTTAACTCTTCATCTACACTCACTGTTTCTGTCATTGCCTCTCTCTTTGCCTGTCTTCTCTTCATCCCCATCGCTCTCTCTCTCTTTCTCTTTCTCTCTCTCTCAGTAGGTCAGAAGGGTCTTATCCTTCAGCTTACAGCATGAAAGGCTCTGATTGGTGCAGAAGTTCTCACTCCTATTGGTCCAACCAGTTTAAAGCCCCTGGTAGCTCGAAGGATAAAGGTTAATATTGTACTGATGCACGAGGAGCACATCCACAATATCAGCACTGGGCTACTGTATCTACAGTCAAAACACTGCTGCTGCTGCTACAGGCTGAAATGAATGTTTGCTCTGGTTCAAACTTTTATAAATAAAAGCCTCTTATTATCACATGTTTTAGAATAAAAGGTGGTTGAACGGTGGGAGTCGGTGCCTGCATGATACTCCCTCATGTTGGTTAATATTCAACCAGAGAGAAAGGGCAAATATTTGCTCAAATCAGCTCTTCTTTACCTTCACCTGTGTGTGTGTTTGTTTGAACACTGATTTCTCCACCTCACCTGGAAGTGTGGCTCCTTGAGGATCCTAGAAAGCTCGGCGGCGCTGTCGTCTTTAACCTTCAGGTTGCTGATGTCGCCCAGGATCTCCGTCACCAGCTCCATGTTATTGTCCTGCACTGCCTCCAGCTTTGGCTCCTCCAGCTGCTCCTGAGCCTGAAGGAGACAGAGGAGTCTTAATAGGGAGGACATAAACAGATGGTAGAAGTACGCCTGGGTGTTATATTTACTTTTATTAGAATGAATATTGTTTTGCAGAAGCTGCTCCTGACATTCTAATAGGTCCTCTATAAAAGGTAAGAGCTGGTTTACTGCAGGAATCTTTCCTCTTACAAGCAAGCTGTCTGCCTGATGCTTCAGTGAAAAGTTAAAGGAGTATTTGTTTGTGTTTAGTCAACTGTTGTGTCTATGTCTTCTGTCTGGTGGGAGGAAGTTGAATGGCAAAAGAAGACAACAGCTTGTCTAGCAGGAGCTACAGCTGTCCTCTGTCTGAACTCCCTACTTGTCTGACAGCAGTGAAGATGTGTGTCAGAAAAAACTCTTTGTAAGCAGAAGCATTTTTCGGATACATGCACCGTCAGTGAAAATGCCCTTAAGAGGGAAATGCATCGCGCAGTTACTGTCAAAATGTTTGTTTGCACCGTTCTCGTCTGTGCAGATGTACCAAGTGTTATACGTTAGTCAAAGTCTCACTGTACTTCAGTCCCAAAAGTTATGGATGTCTGTTTGTGTGCTACCCCAGCAAATGAACGTACCACAGGGCTTTCCATGATGCCGCGCAGGAAGAGCAGGTCAATGTCTTTGGCGCCCGTGGAGGTGGGAGGCTCAGCTGCGTTATCCAATACCTGCTGCATGGCTGGATGAACAGGGTGGGAGACAAGGTGCAAACATACACAAAAAGAGAGATAAGGGGAGTTAGCCGGGTGTGAAAGTCATACAGAGCAGACACACACACATATAACAGAGATGAAGTCGAGCAAAAGTGTCTCCCTTTTTGCTTGAGTAAAACGCAAATGTTTCACAAAAAGCAGAAGGTTTATCAATATTATATCATGATGGTGGAGAGCATCTTTCTGCCATGTTTTACACTCCTTCTACCTCAATAAGAGCCAAATCACAAAGCCAAATAATCTCAAACACAGCACTGAGCTGAAACTCTATCTGAAGATACAAATACAAGTCTGAGATGAGCTCTCAGACTCTCAAACAGAACTGCCTGCAATTTGTCCAAATAAAACTCCAGGAGTCAAGGGTTCTCAGATGATAAAAAGATTCTCACAAACTAATCTGAAGCCTTGAATTCTTGCAAACACAAACAGAGAAAGAGGGAGATGTTTGCACTCTTGGTATCAGCAGGTTAACATCCCTAATGCTAGGGTCTCAAAACCAGTGTAAGCCAATCTAAGACACTTAAATCCCTGAGAACGTGTGTTTCTGTGCGTGCGTGTGTCTCTGTGTCATTATATACTTAAACGGGTTGTAAATATGTCCAGTCAGCACAATGGATAAACACCCTGACCTCTGTTTTACTCCTCCAGCCGTTATTATCTTTAACCTTGGCTCATGTTCTTTGTCATAAACGCTTCTTTAATACTTCAGTCTGCTTTGCACATGTAAGCGGCGTATGCTAAATCGCTACTTTGAAGGAGAATGATGTGTTATGTTGTCTGCGGTATGTGAATTCAGGTTAGACTTTGCCTTACACTGATGCATGTGCAAGTTTCATACAAGATCTGTGAGTATGCAATCTGACACTTGAGGCACATTAAAGCTCCAGAGAGGAACTTTTGGTTTGTGTCAATTTGTGGACGAAACAGTCTTTGCCTAGCTTGTCATCTACATATCATCCAAAGACTGTATAAGGAATGGATGCCGTTGCTTCCTCGCCTGCTGAAGCCACTCCGAGAACAGCACCCTCTGGTGACGGGCTGCAGTATAGGTCATAAATCCTGCTTCCTCCAGCAATCTCTATGGAGCTGTGGACAAACTTTAGAAAGTTTGTAATGTTGACATGTAGTTACTGTAAGACTGGTTTGTGCTCAAGTCCTCCTTTTTCTGTGCAGCTCCATTTTTAAAAGTTATTAGGGGGTTCATGTTTTCAATGATTGACACTTGATACAGCCTATGGGTGTACGAAGATTGCGTCATCACTGCAATTCTCCCGCTGAATGCATACAATGCTACTGCACAAGTGTTGGTTCCAGGAAGTCGAGAAAATCCCAGAAATACTGAAAGCAATTCGGCTTTAAACTCGTATAATGGCGGAAGGTGGAGCCAAGTTGTCCATAGTACATACAGTCTGTGCTGTCATCCTGCTGACTTGTGTCAAATTTGCCATTTATTGTTATAATTTAATTGCACTAAAAAGGGTTGCACTCAATTTTGTTGTACATGTACAATAAAAATAAAGATATTCTATTTTAGTCTATACAATCTAATGTGGATAATGTAAATATGGGACTGTCTCTTCAGCTACTTGGCTGACACCTACCCCTCCAAACCGGTTTTAGGCCTCAAAAATTACAGTATGAGATGCTTAGTCTTGGCTCTGATGGCCTTGTTTGCCTTTTCATACCATAAAAAACTCATCAATATGAGTTCTAGTCTATATTTCATTTATGTCCAAAAACTCCTCACAGGAGGTTTAAAAGCACACGTTTCACAAATAAATCACCTGTAGAGTGATAGAAGATCATGTTAAGTGCTGGTCTGCCATAAATTCTATTTCATTCTGCATCATCTGTGATTAAAAAAAAACACTTTTCATTAGTGAAAATATGAATTCAAAATCAGCTTTTTCGTTAAGGTTGTTGGAGCTCTCATCCAAAATTGACGTGTTTCCATGTCTTGAGCAGCGGCTCATTTAAAATTCCACCATTTTTCAACTTTGCTGCACAAAAAAAAATCATATCAGATAAAGTGGAGCTTGACAGCGCTGTTTCTTTTATCATCCATCATCCATCCATCACGCATACACTTGTCAAAACAGGTGTGTGATTAAAAAGCAAGAGAAGAAGCAAGAGAAGAAGAGAGACGGGCCGAAGAAAATACAATCTGTCTGATTTCACTGAGGCTTGATAAGCGCAGAGCTCAGACAGACTGCATAAACAGCACAGCCTGTGCAAAAACAAACCTTAAATATTTATGATCCTCTTAAAGTAAGAACAAATAAGGGAGGGTGGTTAAAAACTGCCCTGCAGGCTATTAAATCTGACCTCAAAGTGATACACTTGTCGCATGACCACGCAGAAATACAATCCAGGACTCAGATCAGGTTCAGATTTTGTTTGAACAGGCAAGGAGTTCCTCTGGGGAGCCTGACCTATGATTCATGACCAAAAAGTCTACGAGGAAGGCTGTGATTGCAGCAAGCAAATACGCACATGCTTATGCAATGTGTACATAACACATAAGCTACATGTGCCACACCTACAGTTAGTCATCCTCCTGAAATTTGGAAGATAATAGTTTCCATTTGTCTGAACTTTCAGAAGTTGTCTAAAAAGTTCATTCCTGTCCTGCTTTGGAGTGAGAAAGAGAAAGCAGAACAAAGTCTCCTCTTTGATTTCACTTTCAAGAAATCCCACGACAAAACACACAAAAACAAACTCCTACATCTGGATCCTTCCTCACATCTGAGTTTCTGTGCTCTCTAAGTTGACCTTTCCTCACTTGGTCAGCTCATTGTGTCACTCTGTCCTCGACCACAGGAATGTTTGTTCATCCGTCAGCCCTCCACAGCTGCATGTGAGCAGAACTCATGCTAACAAACAACCTTGAGTGAAGTTTTCTATCCAGTGAGAGATTGGAGATGAGCTCAAAACCTCCACACTAGAGTCTATAATCCCATAAAATATGACATGGAGATCCAAGCAACCACCTACCAGCGTCACGTTAAGCCCAGCCTGAAGAAGTTGTAAAGCTACAGATAACAGCAGCAGGCCGGTTACAGTGAGGCGCTTCATTCATCAACATAATGAATCATCCTGCGCTTACCTGCTCTTAATTCCTCCCTCTGGGTTGTCTGCAGTCTTTCACCATCAGTGCACCACTGCCTCTGTATGTTCACCCAGCAGCTCTGGCTGTGCAGTGACTGCCAATGAAGGGACTGTCTGTTTAATAATTCTTAACTCTGTTTCTCAGCGAATGCCACACAAGTCCCCCGAGGAAGGACCTGGCATCCTGGATTATATGAAGTAATATTGTTTCCACGCTCACAGGAAGAAGATCAGAGGAGCGCCTTCACTCGCACAGAAGTAACATCACTACTGACAAAAGTATGTTTCGGCGCGCTGTCTCTGTCGAGCAGGTGAGGAAGTGAAACACCTCCAGGGGAAAATGTGCAACTCTTACAGCAAGCAGTGATTTCATCCAGGGGCACCCAGAGGATTCAGTTACTGTGGGGTACGTGGTGAGATTGTAAACAAAGCAAGCTGTATTGATTCCGCTTTCACATCTAAACACTTTCTGAAGCGACGGAAAGAGCATTAAAGCTAACCAACTGGCAAAGGAGCGAGAGAGGTGACAATATTCAGCCTGGGATGAAGAGACTCTCAGACAGTTCGCCAACAGATACACAAGTAAAAAGGTTGATTAAAATAGCAGGAAGGGCTGAGGAAGGTAAATGGGTGAAATGAAAAAGAAATCAGTCTAACAGTGTGGTCTTCAGCAGACGGCTGTTCAGCATGAGTCTGGTTCTGCTCGAGGTTTCTGCCTGTTAAAGGAAGTTTTTCCTTTCTACTGTAACTTGATAAAAGCTGCAAAGGCTCCAGAGAGAAAAAGGCTGTATCTTAAAACAGGAGGAAACTGAATCTGATCTTGATGTTAGGTCTTAAATGACCAGCATGGTCTGACATCTTTTGCCGCTTTTGTAAATGGTTTTGTTGTGAGTTGCGACACATTAGAAAAGATTGATTCTTTGGGTCTGAAACATTAAAAAATAGCTAAAAGTCATCAATATAACTTGCGGGAGCTAAAACATTATACAACTCGTGAAATTTTTAATGCAACTGTCTTAAATGATACATACACAGATAAGTTTATCAGACAGAACGCCACAAAAAGGGTTTGTAATCCTTGAAACCATCATGCCTACATCTACACGTGGACATCAATCTTTTCATGTGATTTAAAGGCAAAACAAAGTCTACAGTATCTCTACACACCGCACCTCTTCCTCCTCCTTTCCTCACCTCCAGATGTATTTGGCTCCTGGGTGGACTGCACAGCTGAGGGCCCTTCCACGCCGGGCTGTCCCGGGGACGTCATCTCCTCCTCCTCCTCCCGTACCCCATTGGGACAGGCATCCTCCATAGCTGTGACCATCGCCAAGCCCTCCTTCTTCTTCTTCTTCTTCTTCTTCCCTGCTGCCACAAGTATGCTACGGCTAACCACTAGCGAACCACCAGCAGCTCTGCAACTATGTCTTCTGTCCTCCGATCGTCTCGTCTGGCACTGCTGACCCTCTAAACTCCCAAAAACACAGAGGAAGAGAGAGTGAGGAGGAGAGAAAAGAGAGAGCAGGGATTGAGAACAGAGAATGAGAGAGGCAAAGAGACACAAAGAGGGCGACAAAAGAGTGGGATTAAGATCAGGGGATATTAAGAAATGAGGAGGGAAAGAGGAACGGAGAGGAAGAGGAAGAATGGAGGGGAGAAATGAAAGAAGAAAGGACGTGGCTGATGTGGAGATAAGCTCAGAGGGACAGGCATGAAAGGAGGCAGAGAGAGGTAGAAAGCTGGGTCTCATAAACAGATGTGGACATGAGTTCAATGCTTGTCAGTTCCCTCCCTCCACTCCGGCTTTAATACCTTCCTATCCAAACCCTCACCCCTCCTCTCTGCTGATAACACACATACACACACTCCCATAATCCCACAATCCTCTCCTGCTGTTGAGAGCCTGCTTGAGTACCCCTCCTCTTGTTTCCCCTGACCCCACCCAAACTCGAGTTGCCCCACTTGTCTAGACTGCGACACACAAACACATACACACCACTTGAATGTGTCATTATGTAAGTAATCTTACATAAGGAAGTGTTACTGAAGGGGGCCTGACCCTACATTCCCACTCTTTTCCTCCTCCTTTCTCTCATTCACACCGCTCATGGTTTGGACACCCCGCTGCAGGAATGCGCAGAAACTCCCAGCATGTGCAGATTGTGCTTGTGCGTATTCACTCAGCAGTCGTCCACCTCCTTAAAGCAGCATGAATCCGCCTAATGGGAGTTTTCTCTCTCTCTCTCTCTCTCTCTCTCTTTCTCATTTTTCTCTCTGGACTCCCTCCTTCCTTAAACTAATATGCCCTCACCACCTTTCTTTTTGCTAAGTCAGTAGACTCTAAGGTGCTGACTGGATTATGCACATTTTGGGGCTACAAATTAAGCTGCTCAATGCATGAGCCCTAACAGATTTGGCCAAGCTACTGGCCGCAGAGCTCTCTTATAAATATTCTACTTCTTCTTGTACTTCATTTCATATGAAAATTTTGGACATGAGTAATCACTTTACAGAATCAATGTATGCGCATCTTAAATCAGTGCAGTCTTGGAAAGAAAGTCTTTGCCATGCTAGCAGCTTTATGAGGCCGGCACAGGAATGCTTTAAAGCTCCTGTGAGGAAATCTGGGTTTGTGTCAATTTTGGTGCCACCTGTGGACAAAACAGTCCTTGCTTATCTTGCGGCCTATTGCTGCGTTTCAGTTGTACTCGGAAGTCGAAATTTCCGAGCTCCGAGTCGGAAATTCATCTGATAGGCCCCCCGAAGTTGGATTTCCGACTTGGAAGGTCAGACGATCCCTGCCAACCCCGACATGACAATAATGTCATAATCCAAATGGCAGCACAGTTCATCAACAGTAAAGAGTAACAGTGAAAGCTCTTGTAATGTATTTATTAGCAAACATTACATTATTTTAGCATTTATTGGTTTTGTGGAATTAAATAAGTGGTTGTTGTACTGTCCAACGCCTAATTGTGTACACGTTCCTATGGTGTTGGTAAGAGTAAAATACTGTGTTATGTGTTGTTTACAACTGGCAAAGCTAACAACAACCACCAACAGCTGAAAACGGCTAACAACAACTGATAACTGCTAACAACAACTGACAACGGCTAACGACAGCGGACAATTGTAAACAACAGCTAACAACGGCTAACAGTAGAGGTCTATCTTGGTTTTCTGACTTGTTAACTGGAACGCCGTCAAGTTGAGTGTAGCTTCATTCCCAGCGCCGACATCTGAGGTAACTGTAACGCAGCATATGTTCAGGTGGTGTCCCATCATTCCGACTTTTGGCAGTCAAATTTATCTTTTATTGTGGATGTTTTGTAAAAAATATATTTTGTGACACCTACCCCCTCGCACAGGTTTCAGACTTTAAAAATTACAATATCAAACTCATGATCTTGTTTCTTGATCTTGATTGAACAACATTAGTCTTATAGAGCAATTCATCCAGTAGTGACCATAAATGTTTCTGTTGAAAAGTCATGAAGTTTGTCCTGCACATGTTGAGAAATTTCAATAAATGCATGAAACCCTGATCTGATTTTGGTGCGACATACTAAGACAGATCAGCAGATTCTTCAGGGTTTATCCTCATGGGACAATGAATGACTGTTAAAAATGGAAATCAATGTAGTATCTGCAACCTCTGCCAAAAACCTTTAAAAGCTGTGCAGACATGGTCGTGTTGTCCCTCTATTGCTGATACATCCCACAGCTAGTGTCATCCATAACAAGCTCCACCCCTTCAGCATCCATTAAGCTCCTCCCACAGCATCACAGCTGTGCAAGGGACAGATCTGTAGGATTTAATCCACCCCGCCTCTCCCTGCACCCTATCCTCACCAGGACAAATCAACCCCTCCCCCAGCCTAGGACATGGGATTTTAATCCGGCCACAAAAGCACGGGATTAGAGAATCTCTCTATCTCCCTCTCCCGCCATATCCAGGGTTGGAACAAGTCTGCAACACAAATGCCTCTCTGGACTGTCTGGTTTTGCAATGTTATAAAAACAAATGATGAAGAAAAGTTAAAGCAGATACTTAAACAAGCAGTTCTGGATCTACAGTGGGCTGATAAGTAACAACCACCATATTTCTAATAGGGAAATAGTAAACACTTAATGTACACTGACAGATGAGTTTTTCTGCTGGTCAAAGCACAGCAACTGAAGAAATTCTTAGCCTGTGTTATACAAAGAGTCTGACGAATATCAGCACGGCCCTTTAAGTCCAGTGAATATCAACCGTGTAATCCACTAGGACATAGAAACATAAGCAGAAAAAAGCATCTGCTTCCTCACTTCCTTAAAAGTGAGGATTCTTTTCAGAGGCATCAGAGTGCACATCCTCACTTCAAAAACTGGCAGCCCTCCCGGTGAACTGAAAAATCATGTCAGCAAGCAGAAAACATTTTCCTGAGGGCCTTGTGGAAGTTGTGTTTACCTGTGCCAGTCCGTGTAGCCCAACCCCCGTCTTACTGGCTGCTCATCAGTCAACTGTGAAGACCTGAGGACAAAGAGAGGAAGTTTTAGAGACTTATCATTCCCCAAAAAAATCAGTCCTGTTGGCTTTCCTGCACACTAGTTTTCATCATTCTTCTCACACACTCTTACTTAAGCATTCAGATACCTACTCTCTCTTTATCCTCTCTCTCTCTTTCTCACACACACACACACACACACGCACGCTCAGCGGCTGCTTCTTTTTCCCAGTGGATTATCGGTTTCATCTATCTATGCCATTCCCTCCTCGCGCAAGATAGCGGTCTTGTCTTGCAGACGGAGGTTGGTGTTCTCTCAGACTAATGCACAGAGTCACCCAGGACGATTCATTGTCCTCTGCTATCCCAGCACGCCTGCATCATCAGCTGGCACTGTGCCGCAGTCGTAGTAAACCGACGCAATTCTCTGAAAGTAATGACAGACAAGCAATATGTATTCAGTCCCTGAGAGACTCTCCTTTCATTTCCCTGGAAAAGTCAAGCACATGAATACACCCCCACTGTGTGTGTGCTCTGTGCAGAGCTATCCACTGTGCATATCTGAGCATTAGTCTCACGCATTGATATTGGCTCATCAATAAAGTATATCCATATCATTGAAGGTGTTGGCTGAGATGCAAATATAGATGCAGTATGTGTAGAAAAGCATGCATAAAATAACTAAAAGGCTCTTGACTTTGCAAAGCTAGACAGGTCAGCTGTGTGACATTCATGTAAAAAAAGTGATAGTGCAAACTCAAGTTAATGGAGTCTTGCCATGTATGCATGAGACGATGCAGCCTCTTGTCATCAAAAATAAAAAAAAATTTAAAAAGAAGAGGCATTTAATTGTTGGTTTTTGATCTTTCGACTGTACCATGTGGTACTTCTAACTTTAAAGCAAACATAGAGAATCCCAGAGGTGCTCCAGGCAATTAAACTAATTGTAGTCTTTTGATATCAGAGAAATCTACTGATAAAGGCTGATCAAAAAAAGCTTCAAATTCAGTAGGTACACCTTCATATGAAACTTAATGATTCATTATTGAACTTGCTCAGTATTGGTAGTCATGTATCTGACTCTCCTTGGCTTCTAGTTTTAATTCACAGTGACCCTCAGCGTAAACAAAAGGACCTTCTCCACTATATCATCAACATAATCCGTCTAATAGAGCTGTAAAGTCCAGCAGCATTAACCCTGAATAACCATTGTGAAATGAACCATTAGAAAATGCAAGCCTGCAGAAAAAACAACAATGAAATGGTATAATTACAAATAACCGATGACTGCAGTCATCCACAAAACAAAGATTATCACTCTAGCATGCCTTATTATGTGCAGCCTCCCTCTCTCTCTCTCTCTCCCCCTCTTTTCTTTATCATGCCCAAAGGAGAAGAGGAGAGCGCAGTTGCTAGAAAGACTGTCCTTAAGAAAACCCCTGTCAATTTAAAGATACGATTCGATACAAAACGGTACAATACAAAATGATACAATACGATACGATACGAAACAATACGATACGATACGAAACAATACGATACACTGTGATACAAAACGATACGATACAAAAAGATACAATACGATACGATACGAAACAATACGATACGATACACTGCCATACAAAATGATACGATATGATACAATACAATACAATGTGATACGATACAACACACTCCTGAAAAGTGCAGGAATCCTTTCACCAATGCCACCAGAAGAGGTCAAAAGATCATAAAAGAGGTTATAATATCAATATTTGGTAACGGCCATGAAATGATTCTTCTGCAGGAATCGAGCACATATGTTGCTGTTTTCGGTATTTTGGCCCACTCCTACAGGGCATTTTACAAAGTGTACAAACATCCTGGCAATCCAAGTATCTACTCTGAGGCACACTCAGGAGGAGTTCACACCGTTGACTTAACCTCTGCACTTCACACTCTAGTCTGGGTCGTGTCAACCTCAACAGGAAAAAAGCCAAAATACGAACAAAGTGATAAAAACAGGCAGAAAAAGGCTGCTTGCTGTGGGGTTATCTGTTTTTTTTCAAACAGGAGTCTCTTCACCCATTACGCCAATTCGTTCTTAATTGTGTGAAAGGAAAACACAGAATGAGAGTGAGAGTGTACCAGAGGTCAATTCATTACACAACACAGATTAAGATCAGGCTCAGCACGCTTATTGGAAGTGAAAGAAATCCCCTGGAAGAATGTTAATGGAGGAAAAAAGCCACCAAGGTGAATCCCTGTCAAATCATCCAGACGAAGGAGCAGGAAGCTGGCTCGGGCCAATCAAAACGGTCCAGATAGGGAGCGCGCAGGAAAAGGTAGACAGGGTCACGCAAGATGGTTTTGGAGAGCTGTATAAAAGTAGGTAGAAGGAGTTGGAGATATCCAGATGAGTCAGAGAGGTGAGTCAGAGCAAGAGAACGGGGAATAGATAACAAGACTAGAAGAGAAAGAAAGGGAATCTGTAGAGATTATGCAGAGATTGGGCAAAGCCTCTCAAGTTTTTGGAAGGTAAGAAGAAAAGAAAAAGTCCCAATAAACTTCAGGTAATTTCACTTTCTGCTGTGGGAGCGGCACAAAATCAGAAATACTGCATCTGAATGACCTGTGGATGCTCTCACATCAGTCAGCTCTCAGGATTCATGTGAAGAGTTGGATTTTTCCACTTGTTTTAAATGTTTTGACCTTCGCTCACGTCTGTCTTTGCCCCTCTTGGGACAGCGAGGGGAAAAAACTCACAGGAAGCGGTCATTTGCAGTCCCGGCCGCCATTGGCTGCCACAGAGTCAACAAACGCCCTCCGAGTGCCCTCCACAGATGATGCACGGCTCATGCAGGGGGGGATTAAAGAGGGTTTACAGGGTTTGTTTTGTACAAAATATCGTTGCTGTCTCACATGTAAATGCAGAAGTGTGTGTGTTAAAAGCACAGACAAACATCAGCTGGCTGTGTGTCCTTTAATTCCTCCAGTTGTCACGCTAACAGGAAGCCCTACTCTGTCTCTGACTCAGTGTCTCAATGACTACATACTTTGACTCTACACTGTGGGATGGAGTTTGAATGGAGGCTCCTTCACTGTTGGTGGTTAATCACTAATAAACTGCAGAGTCAGGGAGAAAACATGGTGGAAACAAGGTCAAATGTGCTGCAGGGGCCTAAAAGATAATACATCCAATAAAAAACATTCAAACATAGAAGATCCCAAAACAAATACATGACAGCTACAGCTTGTTCCATCCATTTATTAGAAATGTACGTTAACTTAAGCCCTTACATTAAAGGCATCATCTGCAAATTTTCAACTAGTCACTCAGGTAAGTGGAAAGACTCAAGATTTAAAGACCCACTCTGATGAAAATCATGTTTTTCTTGTTGTCTGCATGTTCATATGGCATTTTTCTGATGCTACAGGACATATCGTGAGAAAAATAAGTGCGGAAGTGTTTCTGCTGCATTCAATTTGCTGTGAATCTCTGGCAGCCCAAAACGACAGGTTCAGAAACAGTGAGATTTCCTACGCAGCAAATCCAAGCTCCGCCCCCAAAGCCCTGCTATGCAGGCCAGGCTCAGAGAAATAAAAGAGAACAATCGCGGAACAAGAGTGTGCATTAGCGGATTGCAACGCTTGTAAGAAAGCTAATTATGATATTAACTTTCATCATGTCCCCAAAGACATTAGTGTCAGAGAGCTGAACAGCTTCTATGTTATCTGTTTCTTCTACTACACTGGCAATGTTAGGCTGCAAGCTAACATGAAGACAAGTGTGCAGAGCAGCGCTGTTTCCACCCATGACTCAGAGGCAAATTGCTAATGATCTACTGGAGTTCTGCAGGAGAAAAGCCCTTAAAAATGACACAGGTAACATGATTTTTAGTAAAAACTTCATAATCACAATTTAAAGAACTCTGATAACACTTTAAATGGTTAAAAAAAAAACGATCGAAGTGCGACTTTAAGGCATCTCAAACTTCTATGGTAAGTTTTTCTCTCTACAGTACACTTAAACAAAATCCACTTCCAATAAGAATTTCTTTCAGGCCTTAAGCACCTCCCTTGAAGTGTTTTCCTGCTGCATCATTGCATCATTAATGTATTTCTGCAGCTTCTTGTGCAGATACTTTCTTCCAAATCAACATATTCCTGATGCAGTATTGTTTGACTTTTGTATTCTTTTCAGTTTGCATCATATCCAAACTTGGAGCCTTTCTCTCTGCACAGAAATCATTGGATTGTTTGCCATTGTCAGAATCTGTTCCTTGGGCATCCATCCGGGAGAAAGCATTCAGTCAGTGTCTATATTCCCTTCACCTCTTTTCTCTTCCCCTTACAAAATCTTAGGCTCTGCTCAGCTGTGCACAACAGAGCTGGAGGCGCAGCAGGGCTCTCGGAGAAGCCGTCATTCTCAGTTCCTCTCCATGACTTGAGAATCACAAAGGAGGCCAGAAGACGAGTCCAGATGTCACTTGATTGGCTGACTCCGGGGAAGCAATGGGCAATTAGTAAACCTTCCTGTGAAGCGAGCTGCAGCGCTCCCGCTGCATGACACCAGCATGGCAGCGGGAGCTGGACTAACTCGAAATATTTAGGTGGAGGACGAGTGTATTTGTGAGTGTATTTGTACATTTATGTGCAGGCCAGGGACTGGCTACTCATATGACCAACCTCCTGACAGCCAACTCAATCCTGTCCTGCCCTCACCCATCACCCTCTGCCTCCAGACAAACTCTATGTAGGTCACTCCCTGTGTTCACACAGCCGCTCAAATAAGAGGATTACTCTGCTGGCCCCAAGATGGCCATCTTTGCAGATCAATATCTGCAGAATATTTACAGTTATCATATTTCCAGCCCTGTTTTCAGTCTGTCATTGCAGCTCTTGATGCTGCTGTCTGAGGAAAGTTGATGAAATCAGCCCTGCCTCTCCAAATCCACCGCAAATAATAAGACTTAACTTTCTGCTGATTCATGCTTACCTCTACACTTAACCCGTCACTGCGGTCCAAATCACCACAATTAACACACAAAGGCATCAACTGTTTCATCACCGCACTTTCCCAGCATCACCAGAAATGACCTCATTCTCCTCCTGCTGATGTTCCAGCTGGTAGAAAATCTGTGCTTTGCCACACAGCATGGACTGATACAATTACACATACCTCATCAGAGCCTTTTCAGCTCTGAACCTACAGCAATCCAAATAATGAGCACCTCCTGACATTAGCTAACCCACCACATGGACATCCATGTCTGCTTTTTATCAGCTTCTTTTCCTCCCAGCACCCTTCTGCTCATCATTAGTATGAAGGAGAAAGGAGAGAGGAGGGAAGGGGGAGGGTGAAGTGATGCAACAGCATTTAACTGCAAAGTTTGAGGGAGAGGAGAATGATGTCGGATGAAGACAACTCGATGCGAAAAGAGAGAGAAGGGGGAAAAAAGAAGTCCGTAATGATTTTTCACAGTCATTCTTCCTTCTTCTGTCTTCTGATTGATCGTGTTTTAAATATTGCCGAGACAGGCAAACACATGCAGAGCAGCATGGTATCCCAGAAGCCGGAGCTGCACCAGATCAATAAGACTTTCAAATGAGCTGGTACGCTAACATGATGACGACCTCGAATAAACTCACTGCAGAAGAGTTTTCAACGGTAAAACGATGTTCCCCTCACTTCAGAGTGTTAAAGTCAGCAGAATATAATCAAACCAATAATTAAACAATAAACTGATTAATGCTGCAGTCTATTTAATGTCTAACACGTCTGGAAAATTTTCAGCATAATTTCAAAGGCATAAAGCCATGACTGTAAATGTCTTTTCCAGGAAACTGCAGAGTTTACGGACCTTAAGACTTTTCATTAAAGCTCCTGTAAGGAACTTTTGGTTTGTGTCAATTATGGCACACCCTGTGGACAAAGCAGTCTTTGCTTAATTCATCCTCTTTTTGTAACATTTACTGTTAATATTTTAGATGTAAAATGCAAAAACGTGCCTGTTTCTTTAGTTGTCACCTACCCCCCTATGCACCAGGCTTTAGATATTACAATCTAAAAGTCATCTGTCTTGTTTGTGCGTACCATTGAACAAGGAACACAATATTAATATCAGATCATTTCAGAAACATAAAAATCTCCTCTCACAGGAGCTTTAAAAAATGACAAAAAAAAAAAAAAAAAAACTTTCAAATCTTGTTTTTCAGAAGCCAGAGCTGATCGATTATAAAGGAATTGGCTCATCTCATGATAGACCTAACAGTAAGTCACTGCAGTATGCAACCTCATTTCTTCACATCTGTGGACTTATCTTTTTGACTGTTGCATCACAAATTCAAATTGTGTCTTATGTGTGTAGGTGTTTTGTGTGAGACTGGACAGTCATGAACAAATATATTCATCTGAAATGGTAAGCAGCTTTAAAATCACTGTGATGTTGCATGAAATCTGGTGATTCTGCATCACAGTCTAGAGCAAAAACAGGAAGATGCTTGTTTTTTCTTATCTTACATATAGATTAAATTTCAAAATAAAGCTCTCCCTGTCTGGTAACAGTCATATTTTTTTGAAAAGCAGCTCACTCCTGATTATGTGTTAACACAGTAGAGAGGAGCAGCCTTGTGCAGGGAGGGTTGATTGTAGGTGTGGAGATGACAGTCCTCTGATGCATGTGTTGTTCATAGCCAGGAGCTTTGAGTCACTCAAGTTTGTGTGCATGTGAGAGCGTGTATGCATGTGTGTGTACCTCAACCCCCTCCTCCCTTGTTTTCTGTAACATCTCTCCCATATTAATAATGGAAGTGTAGAAGCCTCTGAGTGCCGGATTAGGTCTCTGAATGACTCACTGACAACTCTCGTGTGTTTCAACATTTGTTAGACTTGAAATTCATGTTTCCCCCTGCCTTAGTGACAGGAAGGAGTATGTAAATGCGGGCTTAGAAGCCCAATGTAGTGCCCAACTTTCCCTTCTTTAGCAGAACAATAGAGGTCATCCTGGCTCCTGACTTACTGGATATCTCAGCTCAGGGACTTCAGATTTATTCTAATGCACTGAAATGCTCCAGTCTGGTTCCCTTCCTGCTTTTGTTCCTCCCATTACATTCAACAAATCTGATTTTGGTGACTCAAATGAAGAAAGACAGAACCTCAGCCCTGGTTGTGATGCGAGAGGATCTATACCATCCCTCTCAGGGGTCTAATGCCGGTGTCAGCTTCCCAGGAAGGATCCCCAAGGATATTGCGTATATCCATGGGCTTCCCCAATCACGTGCAGCGACGCTAAACAGCTTATAAACCTTGCCAAGTGACCCCGTGCTCCTCTGAGCCAGGAGGACCAAAGAGAAAAAAGATTCATTGAGAGCTGCGCAGTCTGTTGTGAGCTGTAAGTGGTTTTACGTTTCGATTGAATGCTCACACAAAGTGCTTTTGACATCGCGTCAGTGCATTATTATTACAATGTGCACTTACATCTCATTGGAGGGCAAATCATAAAAATCAATAGGAGCGTCTGACTGCCAGGACACCGGTCCTTTCTTCGCTGTCATTAAATATCAGCTCAAAGCCAATTAAAGCTTAGTTTGTATTTGTTTTAAAAGTTTTTAAAAGGTATGAGAAATGGCGATGTTCCAGTAAAAGAGCATTTCCAGTGTCTTTCCAGCGCAACACCCCCTCACTGCTGGGCTTCTCGTCTATCATTTCGGGTCTGCGAGGAGGTAAAACCCCCTTCATCCATGCATCCCTGTTACCTGCAGCTCCTAAATCAAGTCCCCCCTCACAGCCGTGGATCGACGACACGGCCACATCGGTGCGCCAAATCCGTGCGCCTCGACCGTGCGCCAGATCCGTGCCAAACGCTCGCTTGACCAGACAACTCCACATTCACACCGATCTCACCACACGTGCGGCCATTTTTTGTTACCCATCCGAGCCATTGTGGCGTGCGCACACTTAGGTTTACAACCCATCCGCTGTTTTCCTCCATTTGATTTGCAGAGAAAGAAAACAGACGCGTCCAGCTCCACAACCGCCGCCAAACGTGAGCTGATAAATGTCTGGATAAACCCTGTTCTCACAGCAGAGCGGGCTTTACAAGGGGGTAAACCTCCCCCTTCTGTCAAACTCTACTGCGTCTCAAACACGGGAAAGTGTCTTTGTCTGCCGTTTGAATGCTGAAGGATGAATGAATTCACAACTCCCTGACCACAAACACGGACTCAAGCCACGACTTACCTGTGAATCGTGGGTGCAAGTTCGCGGTAGTCCACCGACCGTCCCGGTTGGACATTCGGGCCCCCCTCAGCTGTCTGTCCTGGTCCCGCAGCAGACTACCAGAGAACACGACGCCAATCAAAGCCACAAGCCCCGCCTCCCTGACTGACGTCATACAACTTCAACCAATAGCCGCAGGGGTACAGCCCTTACTGAGTGAGTACATGGAGTGGCATGGAGTATTTTCTTTCTATCGCAATTTTCATCTTGTCCATTCACAGAAATAAATGTGACAGTGCGCCACAACGTCAATTAAACACACAACAACAGAAAAATAAACTCACATATACATTGGTATTTTCTGACAATACATCCTTTATGAAACTATGAGATTATTTTATCAAGTAGACAAGATGATGAAGAGTAGTTTCAAAGTTTCATAGTCTACCAAGAGTCGTCAAATCTCACAAAGGTATCCTAAAAGTCAATTTAACTTAGTTATCTATCAATACTGACTGATAGAGTTGATGCTGCAAGCCTATTGGAATTAAATAGCTAGATTTCTCATCTTCAGAGTTGGCACAGAAAGACCAGACATATCATCTGTCTTAATGACTAACCTTTTTTTAATAATCATATTTGAGAGAACTGGAGTTTAAATCAGTGGGTTACTTTTAGTCAAATGCTGCCACCACCTCATGAACAGGCTTCCTTATTATTCCTTATTTTAGACATTTTTCCGTCTTTGGATTTATCTTGCTTCCTTTGACTGTAACAGCTTGATTTGAGTTTAGTCGGCTGGTTCAGAGTCAGGTTACGGTAAACCAACCACTCGTAAAATTGCAAGTAATCTCCCTGAAAATGCCATTTTCCCCCTTCATTTACTGCCCATTTACCCCTCATCGGCCGCATGAGGGCGCCATTAGCCAGCTAATTGGTGGCTTCCGGATGACTGATGTGTCTCTGACCGTGGTGACTGTGTGGACCATTCATGCTTATCGGACCCACTTTGAAAACACTTTTCACGCACTTGCTTCATTATTCAGAGTCATTGAACTACATTAGCTCCACCACAGTCATTGATTTCAGCTGCAGACGAGGTGTGGCACAGCAAGTCCTGGCATGATCCATCATGAGGGAAATCAAGGCAACAGTGTCTGGGATGTCAAGGAAACAGTTGAACTGTTTATCACAAAGAATTCAGGATCAGTGCTTTGTCTATAGACTAACATCAGAGTTATTCACCCTTCAATAATTAATCACACGGATTATGATGTCATTGTGGTGAATCGCTCCAACTTCTATTTTAATCTCTTTTCTGATTCACAAACAGCCTGTTAACAAGGCTCAACATGCTGAAGAATCTACACTATGACTCAAGATACTTTATTCTTACCAAAACATGGCGTTGGATCTTGTAAACAAAAGAAAAGAAATAGCGCTTTCAAACAATTAATCTTTAATAGCACAATAATGCAATACAATCAACACTCCCTCCCCCACTTTCATGGTTTACAAGTGATACCTCTGAAGAAACTATTTACAATTTTATGGCACGTAGGCAGAAGCAGTTGTGATTGTAGCGGATGGGTGAAGGAGGAGGGGCTGACTTTGTGTGGCAGCTTGTCGAGGTAAACTGGGCAGTGATGAGGCGGTCATTTGAGTCGGACAGGTGTCGAGTGAAAGGCGTGTAGAGGTGAGGTGGAGCCAACACTGATGACAGCATCACCACAATGACGGGTCATATCTGCAAAGAGAGGAGCAAAAGTCAACATCAGCCATGGAGAGGGTCGTGACAATGTAGTGGTTTCTCATTCACAGTTTTCTAGAGACACACCTTGACTGTGGAAGAGCGTCTGTGCTTTCCTTTAACAGCAGCTCGGAGACCAGTGTATCCAAAATCTCAGGATTGGACCGCTTTCCATACCTGAAACACACAAAAATGATGATTTGTTAGTTTAAGGGACCAGTTTAGGCCTTCTGGTGAGCAGAAAACTGAACCTATCTCTCTGCATGTCCTCATGTCACACCAATTATGAACTGGATGCAGGATGAACATAGTCAGACTGAAACCCCGCAGAGGCAGACAGGAGCTGCGTTATAGGTGGTTGTATTTCTCGCTCTGTCCCTCAGATGATAAGCTGTGATGGTGCGCTGTCACAGTGGGTGTGCGGTCACACGCAGAGGCATCCCCCTCTGACATGCAGAAGAGAGTTTAAAGACTGTGGGTAAAATGACACAGCATGTTGCACAAGGAAGTCAATTCTCCTCCGTTTCCTTTTCTTTGATAATGTGAAGTTAATGGACAGCAGGTGTTCCCAGAACCACAAGAGTGGGACGAACAGCATGAGCAGGCAGAAGTTAGGGTGGAGTCATGCTTTGGTTGTTGATGTGGAAATGCATTATTATCAGATGCTTTGCAGAGACTCTAATGGAGCAGTTTCCTCTAAAGACTATTAGTTAGTATTTAATAAAGAAATGAGTGGAAATGTGTTTTTTTAATTAAATATACTGGTTTGAATGCACTACATCAGTTTAAGTGCACTACGTACACAAACAACTGTACAAATGTCTGTATTAGTTTCCTCTGAACCATATTTTCTCCTTCAATTTCAAACGTTTACCTCCAAGATCAAGAAAGCATACTTTTTGTATCAGCAGTCAACATTACGCAGTGATCAATTTTTCAGCAGAAACACTTTTACACTAATACACTAAATGATATGCACACAATAAAATCCAGTTAAATGAATTTAAACCAATTCTGTCTCTGATGGAGAACATCATCCCAAAGTTCATATCAGTATCAGTCTAAAATCTAACGTGCAGCAGCTCCCTATATTAGGTTTGAGTTTTTTTAACCCCACGAAGAAGTGTGATTAGTCCGCTTACCTCTGTCTCGTGATCAGGTTGATGTAATGTCTCAAGGCTGAATAATACTTGGCCAGTTCCTCCGCCGGGGCGTCCTCCCCGGGGTTCTCCGGCTTCACCGGGTATCCCTCCGTCAGGGCGCCCAGACAGAGCAGCGCCCACAGCAGGACGCCCAGAGTCCCGAGCCAGCTCACCAAGTTAGGATGCATCTGAGGGAGGAAAGAGGAAAGAGTTGGTCTCTTAGAATAGTTGTTCCTACCAGTTTTAGATAAATGAGTTATTTACTTTTCTTGAACAAAGACTGGTCGCTGTTCATCCTTGGAGTCAGAGCATAAACATGACTCAGTACTTTTAAAGGTGCAAAACAAATAGAAATCAACCAAGAAGAGGTCTGGAGAAACTTTGGTTAAGTTATAAGTCCATGTAAAGGCTTTAAAAATCTAATTTTATGTTACTTACATTCCCAGAGAACGAGTTGGGAGATGTTGCGCTCAGTCCTGTGGCGTCTCTTCTGCTCTTCTGAGCCCTCGGTGCGCTCTGGGTTTTATATCTGTGTGCGCCAAAGCGCTGCAGAAAAAAACGCGTCAGAGCTGCGCTCTGGTTAGCGCAAGACCCTGCCTTTCTTCATGTGAACGTCACCGGTGATGCTGTCCTTTAGTTTGGTTAAGCAAACTCTTTATTCCAGCGATTTAAATACATAAACCAAACAATGTAAACTAAAAATAGAGTGAGTTAATAGGTGTTGTTGCCAATGAGACCAGAGGGGATTAGCAATACAGTGGTTTATAAAGCTGCGTCAGTTACTCTGTAGGACACTAAGCAATAAAGGCAACCAACATGGATCCTGGAGAAACAGCATTAGGGGAAAAGTTACTGTTTGTATCTAACACAACTATTTTTATTGAGATTATAAGTGTTGAGGTGTGCTCAAACAAAACTGCTGCATTCAAACAACCTGTCAAACAGATTGATACACACATGCTCTGTTTGATATTTCTGAGTCTTCTCCATGAGAAAGGTGATAAATTATTCCTTAATCAAGAAGTGATTCTTTTGCATCAATAAGATCAATAATAACATCTGAGGTCACAAAAGAAAGGCGGTGATGTGACACTGTGAGTGAACTTCAAATAAATCTCTTCCAGGCAGCCTCCTCACTGAAAGATGCTCGCGTGTCGATAATCAGCTCTAAAAAGATCTCAAACTGACTGACACAGACGAGGACCTTTTTTTTTTTTTGACAAGCTGTTTGACTGAATCAGTCCACTAATTTCATTTCTGAGTTCACTCCATCTCGTAAAGAGACACTGGGATGTTCAATGGGAACAAAAAGGTTTAAATGTGCATATGGAGACGTGCCGCTCAAAGCAGAACCCAATCTCCAAGAAACCCACTTAATAAGAAAACCCAAATAGCACTTCAAATGAATCTGTATCCTCAAGTGCTTCATTTACCTCCCATTCATGAGTCTTTTGTATACCAGCTCGCAGCCGTATAATCTATCAAAATCAGTATTCTTCAGCTGAGCTGCTTTTTAAGTTGCAGAGGGGATGTGTTAAGGGCTTTTTGTATGACACAGGATGCTGAGAGGAAGACGAGGAAAGAAGCACAAGTGTGAGAGAGAGAGGAGCACAAAGTCATGACCGAATGGTGGTGATGGCAGGCAGGAATTAGTACTTCGAGTCCTCTTCAGGGTACACACACACACACATGCACAGACACACACCCAGTGACTCACTTCAGGAGGTAGAACACCTTTTAAAGCACATAACTTAAGCCTGTTTGAATGTACCGTATTTGAAGAACCTGGTGTCTAAATGAAGCAGATGCTTAAAGCACATTGGCAAATTTGAGAGGTCAGCCAGTGTTTGCTTAAACACAGGGCTGGGTAAAGGTAAGACACAGCTGACATTTGACGAAATGTTGTCCCTCTGAGTACACATCTCATCGATCCTTGAAGCAGGCAAGCGAAAATAGAAGAGGGCATGTCAGACGACACTCATGTCACCTACGAATAAACATCACTTGGAGTCTTCAGTCATTTCAGAGGTTTCGAGAAGCCATGCATACTGAGCTACAGCCTGCACTTATAGTGAAATGTTAATAATTAGTGTTAAATGACTTTTTCCAGTGTGCAGATGTTGAGCAGACAAACTATTATGATCATCGTGTTCACCTTTTTTACTTTCAATTGGCAGGAAAAAGCAAAATCAAGACCAGGTGAATTAAAAAACCTACCTGCCGGTGACATTAATAAGTAAACACACTGTCAATCCAAGTCAAAATCAAGAGTAGAGAAAAAACCACAACTGTCAACCAGGTGTGTGAGCAGGGGTGGCATGTACACCAGTGAAATCTGGCTACCCACTCACCCACCAGAAGCAGGATTTATTTGAACTAAATGTGTGCGATAGGCTGCATGTAGATTTCTTTGCATTTAACCCTTAAAACTTCAAACTATATTTCTATATGCAGTAACTCTATTCTTCTTTTAAGCACAGCAAATATATACACTCAGTTTTGAGTTTGTGAGTGCTAAAATTTTGCAAAATCAATGTAACAGTAGATTCAGCACCATAAAAGTCAACCAAAGACAAATCAGAAATTGATATCAACAGTACTTTACACAAAAAACACAGAAACCTACAATGACCAAGCCTTTTCTTACCTGCTTATCACTCTCTCAAGTCTTGGCTTTCAGAAGAAGAAATATTGGCATTAGAACAAACACACAACGGAAACTATTAAAATATTTTCACTTATTTTTATTACTCTAATTCTTCTGTTTATAGATTTTACAGTGCATTTATGCTGCTCCTGGAGGCAGTTCCTGTCTGGGATGAGACAGAGGGCAACATCACACTGCTCACATCTCCAGGGAGAGGACCTCTGGACTTGCTCGGTCATCCTGCAAAAGACCAGTCAGGGAAATAATCGTGATTTCACTGATATGTCACTGTGGATTTACCATTAAAAGTCTTATTTTTGTAGCTGGGTACGTTTTTGGTACAAACAGGTACGCTTTTGAACACAATGTACCCCTTAGAGATAGTTCCTGAGCAATTGTGAACAATATTCATGGTGCCACATTGGGGCAACATTGATCCAAGGAGTTTGAAGTGTCAAAAAAGCCAACTTCTTTTTGTGGACATTTAAGCAAGGTTTTAAATTCAGCTGCCAAAAAGTACAATTTTAGTGTATTTGGAGGATCTGCAGCCTCATTATCATAGTGGGGGCAGAGACGGAAAAACACCAGCGCATAAGTGAAGAATCATGACTGGATGGGCAGAGAGAGTGGAAGAGAGGAAGAAAATCAATATTTAGAGCAAGTGAAGTCTGTAACTTTCTGAGAGCATGGCTGAAAAATGTGTAAAATGAACATCTAACTTGTCTGGTGTCACCTGGTGTGAAGTTTGGAGACTGTTTTTAAAGGCCTCCCTTAGTATGACTTGAATGTTACCTTACTGCTGCAGTCCTTCATGGTCACAGTGAACTGAATATTTCCGGTGAAATAGTTAAATAGCATCATTGACTCAAACAGCCACATCAAAGTGACACTAATCTCCTTTGTACTCCTGCAGCCCTGAATCCTAACTTTAGGTGTAACAAAATGTTGACAATTTATTGGACGGCTTCCAAAGCAAATATGCCCGTCACAGAGGGATTACAGAGCACATACTGATAAATCCATGTCTTCAGGGAAGCATTTTAGCTTTTTAAACAGCATGTATCCGTGCCACCGGGGGACCAATAGCTTTCAAACAGCCAGAAAGAGGTTAGAAGAAAGTTGAACTTGAGGAAAACAAAAACACAGAAACAGAATCCAGCACATTTTTTATAAAATATTTCCGTTTTAAAAGTACGAGTACTGACTGACATCTAACTCAACATTAGTGAATCACTATGTTTCATTACTGTAAATCACTGTTGCTAATATTTCACAACATTTGCTGTGGGTTCAGCAATTCCAGTTGGGTTTAATGGAGAAAAGCTGCAAAAAGACCGAAATCCAACTGGGATCCGATCAAACGAACATATTTTGACTGTGTACTAAAAACTTTAACTGCCTTGTTGTTCTCAACAGAGCTACAACCAAAAAATGTACAACAAAAGGCGCTTTCTGAAACTTACGGAGATATCCCACCTGTCAAGGAGCTTCCCTGCAAACTACAAACCTTTATCCCCTTTCCTCTATCTTTGTTGTTCTTGTGCTGTGGTGGTTTTGAGATGTTTTTATTTCTTTTTTTTTTTTTTTCAAATAGTGTTTGATAGGCAACTTGACTTCACATTTGGTCTCTTTATGTGTCTGTTTTAGTCCAATTACTATCAGGCTAAGGTTACAAGTTGTCTGAAGGTTTCAAAAAAATATATCAATTGGAAATGGAATAACATTCATCTATGTTTCGAACTATCATTTAACATCACACCACTCAAGGCTCCTTTCAGAGAATATCCTTGAAACAGCACTCACAGAAAGTATAATTATTGCCTGTTCTTGCAGTGCAGCCCTAAAAGAGTAGAAACCATAGAGACTACCAAAACAGGCTCCTGTACTTGAAAATGCTAAATGAGAGACATTAAAGCTTCGAATGTGTCCTCACTGCTATAAAACCAGGTTAATTATGTACAAAAAAGTGCTTACAATATAACAGTATCGAGGATAGATGTCTTATACGTAAATAAGATATTGTGCTTAAAATAAAGGATGCAGTAATACTATATGATCCTCTAAAACTGAAGACGGTGAAACTGTGGCGATCAGGAAGTCAGAGATAGGAATTTGGCATCACCTCTGTACTGGGGACAATGGAGACACAGCCTCTTTCTTTGTGTAAAATTAGTGGCTTTAACAAATACTCACTTCACCCTACATTCAGGTACCTACTGTAGCCATTTGTGAACTAAATCAACCTTCTTTGCTCTGAAACTATATTTTTGTGACCAACTTTAAAAGCTGCTGTTTGGGTCAAATACAAGATTTGTGAAGTGTAAAACTCTGCACAGTAATATTTGGAATGAGACTGAATTCAAAAGTGATCCCATTGGTTTTTTTTGTATGCTTTCCTAACACTGCACACTCAGTAGACTGGTCTGTGTTTGAGGCTCTGTCAGTGTCAGCCAGTCTCCTTTTAATCTAATATTTCTAACATCTTTACAAAACAAAACCGCTGGGACAAACTGGTCCGATTGTGGCGGAAATCTTCTGTATTTCTCTGTGCCGTAATAAAGGAAGAGGGCACGGTGCCTCCAGCCTCAGGGAAGGAAAAAGGCAACATGACGGGGCTAATAGGGAATTAATACGCCATCAATTTCGATCAACATCAGCTCTAATAATATCAATGCTTCTGGAAAGATGGCTACCAATCATTTCCACAAGAATTATTTCCTTAATGAGTCTGAGTAACATACCCACAATTACAGAAACAATGATGCATAGCAGCTGTAAATGTATCTTATTGTCAACACTGTGTAGGAGAATTTCTCGGAGCTCAGTTTGTCGTTATCAGAAATCACATCTGTAGATCACGAGTCCTGTACAGAGCGAGCTGTTAAAATGCAAATTTGTTTTCCCCACCTCTCATCAGCTCTCTTTGGACAATAAGTTTCTCTCCCAAGATTTGTTGAGATAAAAAAGCCTGTAATTTTCTGCCTCTGTGAATCACACTTCTCAAATTCACATTATGTAAAACTACAGAAGGGAAATACTGACAGCACACAGGCAGCTGCTTGCTAACGGACAGGGAGGATGTGGAAAAGAGGCATGTATTGTGGTGCTTTCTTGACTATTACACCTCTTTTACATTGAGTCTGACATGTAAATTGATGCCTCTGTCTTAACTATTGTGCTATGGTGACAATATGTTACTCCTGGTAAGCAAGCACTGCTATTAGAGGAACATCAGCAGCCTCCTTCTCTTTACGTAGGCTGCAGCATCGAGCTGCAGGTGATAAAAGTGAAGAGGTTCTGGAAAAGGATGCACACAGGATATTAACATTTACTGTCAGTGATTTCTTACTTTCTTTCTTGAAATGACAAAAATAAAAAATGACCAGAGCAAATGTGGCTTTTTTTAGAGCTGGTTTAATATGCTTTAATGATGACTTACTTGTTTTTACACAAATGGTCTTAGCATCATTTTTTGCCACCCACTTCCCTCTGCCGTGAGCCACCAGCACTCCAAAAATCATGTCCCCAAATTATTCTCCTTCATTTCCCTTTGACATAAAATGACAGCTTTCAGCGGCAATTATTCAGCCATATGAAATCGTACAGAACACAAGCTCTTCGCCACTTTTATTCCAGACTAAGTACAATACTGACAAGTGCTCAATGAAGAAATGATGTCCTTTGTCCCTCCCTCATTTGTTCTTTTATTGCTCTAATTAAACCCCCGCTGCTTTAAGAGTCACCCTATTTAGTCCCAATGTTTTCATTTATATGTCTTCACCTCTTTTTTAAAGTCCCTTGCGTTCACACACACCGTGAACCTGTGTGCGTATGTGCATGCGTGTGTATAAATGTGCCATTGCCACATCTGCTCCTAGGTAAAAGCATCACAAACGTCTTGTCAAGAGAGAAACACCTTTGGGGTCTTTTGATTGACAGGCAGACAGAAGGTCAGGCTGCTGAGCTGAGGCGGGTGCGCTTGGCTCAGGTGTGCGGGTCAGAGGCCAGAACCTTGGTATTATGAAACCAGATGAAAGTTGTAACCACGTCAGAGAGCGCTTAACTTTAGTCCAGTAACTGCTGTGACCTGTATCATCTTGTTTTCATGTTTACTTTTCAGCGGTAGATCTATGTTGTTAATCACATATTGCTCATACATTTCTTACAGTGTATTATTCTGCATTTCTTTTCAAAGAGTCTTAACTACAAGAATTCATTTTAATATATTACCCCCAAGTAAACAACACCAGGGTAGCATGTATGAATAAATGGCAAACTTTAATTAAAGATATGCAACAGGGGACAAACTGGCCCTCATGTTTACAGAGTAATTAACATATTTAAATACAAGACACGCAGCCTAAATGAAGAATGTCACTGTGTCCGACTGACAGCACTGTCGTGGTTTGGCGTTTTAATGTCTGCTCTGTTGAGAGCACCTCTTCAGCCACTTAAAAATATCAAGAGTCTTTTCAGCAAAGTGTGGTTTTCATTGGTACAGCCGGGTTACATGCACCAGCATGTGGATACATGCTTCATGGAGGAGCAGCCTCATAATAGGCCGTAAATGCAGGATTTTAAGCAGCACTGCTAATGCATCAGAAAGAGGCAGAAAGCGTTAATACTGAAGCATTTTTGCCAATCAGCCATTCATTGCATTTGAATAGTTATTCTGCAGATTATAATCACTTCTAGAGTACCTGTAGAGTATTTATTCAGGTGGCTTGTTGAATGTCAAATTTGTGCTATTAAATGCAAGCTGTTAGACACAAGGACAGGCTTACGGTGCACATAGTCCTCTAACTGAAGCAGCAAATGGATATGTTTTCATGGAAAAGTGCAACATTTTTTTGCCCTACGTAAAAGCCAGAACACATTGTTTTGAAAAGGTTTTGTTTTGTCCAATATTTATGTTTGCTCTGACACTGATATAATGAAATTTATGTATTTCCATGAACATGAATATTCATCCAGCAGCCTGTTAGCTTAGTTAAGTATTAAGACTGGTAACAGCTAGGCTTCCTCTCAAGTATAAACATATCCAAACAGCATCCTTTAAGCTTCAAAATGCATATGTTATATTTTGTTTGTTAAATTAAGGAATTTTTTAGTTCACACCGAGAGGATTGGAAACTTTAGCCCAGGTTGTAAAACTGTGTACAAAATCAATAAAAAGATGTGATGATGGAATCAAATCTGCTCTTTGTGGTGACCGTCTTTCAATGCCAGAGCCTAAATGAAGAAACTTGAACTCCTTAGGTTTAACATCATCTTACTTTGTTGTAAGGTGAACGATTGTTAGGTGACACGAAAAATTACATAGCTGGAACATTAATTATTAACATGACATCCTCTCTTCCACAGAGAGTTTACGGCCATTTTCACTCCATCTGAGTGTGAGTGTTTTTCCATCTAGGTATACGATCCTTTTTTTCCATCACAGCTTTGTAAAATAGTCAAATCTGTTTCCCCCCTCCATTTCCGAGTTTGTCAACCCACTGGGGATCCAGGCAGAGCGACTCTGAAGCTGCTCCTCCGTCAAATTCCAACTGTTTGTTCCACAAAAGAATCACAACTCGCACACACAGTCTAGTGCGTCACAGCCATACGTAGGGTTTTGCATCACATTACAGAGTTTGTGATGGTTTTTTGTTCATCTTTGCCAGAGAACAAGCTGCATTTTATTCGAATACAATTTGACCTAAATAGGAAACTAACTGATGATTATTATATTAAAAGGATACTTGAAAGGGAGTGAATAACATGAAGCTGAGAATTTAGGTTGATGTTTGGGAAGAAAATGGGTCATTTTAAAAGCTAGGCTGTGGGAAAGCTGTAGAAACAGTGCACATTGAGTGACTTATCAGGTATTTAGTAATAAGATAATGAGAACTGTGTTACGTGTCAGTCAAGATTAAACATGCTGAGCTTGTGTTCTTGGAAACACAACAAGTTCAGTTTACCTTAGTGCGTTTGGGACATTGAGTGAAAAGGTTACCAGCTGTTCAGTGTGTACCACATGCTAGGAAGCAGTTGCTAATACATATTTCTAGCAGACAAGTTTATCTAATTAGTCAAAATGAACAAAAATCAGACCAAAGCAATCATATGCTAAGATACTCTGCTAAAATCAGCTCAGTGGATGCTTTTGAAATACTGAAATTTGAGCTAAAATGTGCCTTAAAGACACGTGATTGAATAAAACACCACCAAAAAGAGTGCTAAAGAGATGCTCCAAAACAACCCAACCTTGAAGATAATAGATATGCAACAAAGCAGCAAATTACAGCTAAAAGATGCTGAAATTGTCAGTGAATGGAGCAAAACAACCAAACTCATTAGTTAAACCAGGTTATTTTTCTTCTCGTATCTGGACCTTCCTTCTCTCTCTCTCTATTTGTTTGGAAATCGGGAGAGTGTGTTCTCCCAGTTAAGTGTACATGTGCTTACCTGAACTGTCAGAGGATGATTGGGTGTTTTCTTTTGTAGTAATTGCCTGTTTAGTCTCCTTCGTTTGTTCGCTTATTTGTAGAGTTAGATCTGTCCATCAGGCTGGGCGTGGTGTCCATGGGGATAAGGGCAGTGTTGTTGTTATTCCCTTTAAGCAATGTCCATAGTTAATTACCTTGTAGCATCTGAAATGGGGTTGCTATGGAGAGGCTATTAACCTAAATTGTAATTGTGTCAAAGTAACATGTCAGACCTTTGCCCCTGAGTTTAATTGGGTTGTTCTTTGCCAGAATAAATGTGCAGTAGTAATGTAGCAATGGAGATTGGTTAAGCATTAGTGAATGATGTTTTGTTCTTGCTTTCACAAAGCTGTCCTGAAAAGTGTAGGGATCACCCGATTGGTTAGAGGAGCGTAAGCAGCAGTGAATGTGTGTGTTTTTGTGATACTATGGTCATAGTAGACACACACCTAATCTGAAGTGCGAGCTTTCAGATGGGATCCCTTCCACTCTCTTCCCCCTGGAGGGACCCAGGTGCACCCATGCCATCCCTCTGACGCAGCCTTACGTCTTTTGACTCATGACCACCTGTTCAGCTCACTTACACACATACAAGCACACCAAGTTCCCCGGGGTGATGCTTACATTACAGCACAGGTGACTTGAGATTCACTGGACAGCACTGGTGCAGACACTGATCCAGTTTGACTCCTCATCCTCACAGTGGAAACATAAGGGTGGGTGTGAATCCTCATTTAGATTCCCGTAAATTTTGTTTCATAGTTAAAGACATTGAAAGTGGGCTGCCAATGGAGAAAATAACAACCTGCTTCAATCTGCATTCAGAGCATGGATTAAATCAGCTCTCATCACAGCTGATCTGCCGTGCAGAATGGGATTAATCAATCGTAGACAGTACATCAATCTGCAAATTAAAAGTGACGCTCATCGCCGAACGCGCAGCTCCATGGCTCTGTTGTTATTTTGGTGACACTTCGAGTGGGTGGTTTTCTCTCACCATCAAAAAAATCAATTATTTGAACCTTAAATACGTAAACTGACCAGTTTCTAAAAGCACATCAAGAGAGAAGATTGAGTCAGAGCTATAGTGATCATTTAGGGATGGGTTGGGTATCAAATATGACTCAGATGAATTTCACTGTGAATAATTTTTATTACAATTTTGCAGGTTATTTGATGTATGTTATTAATTCTTCCTCAAAATTATGAATCCAGTTCATTTTCTAGTTTGTATTTACATTAATTTACTATTTGAATGTATTTCGGGCTCTTTTACTAGTCCTGTTTTCTGATTTTATCTTAAAATTTGTTCAAAAACTCAACTGATTTGAAGATATGGATTGTCGTAGTTTTCCGTTCACTGCCCACACTCAAACCCCCTGTGTATCAATGTGTTGTCAGTTGACTGTTTAGTCCTGAGGTGGGATTTAATCACTACTTTCCTTGACAGCTGAATATCCCACAATGTCACGACTCAGACAAAGACTGACTCCTCGCTGAAAGAGAAAAAACTTTTACAGAGAAAGAACATTTGAGAAATTTTGTACATCAGATATGTAGGATTTATTTGATTGGATAAATGTGAATTATCTAGTAATTATAATGAATGGTTTGATGAATAGAGAAGAATGATGCCTATCAGTGTTGGTGTGCTTCTCTTTTACAGTGAGGAGAGTGTGACGTTTGAGGAGAGGTTTTTTTGATCCCTGATCCTGAGTGTCTCTGTTGGCTGCCATCTTCTCTGCCTGGATCTGAAAGAGATGCAGCAGATTATGAAAATCATATCTGATTTGTGGGTGTGATGTACTTGTACATGACTGAAACTGTTTGTAATAATCACTTTAAAAACTGTGCCTGAACCTGTCTCACTGACTGTTTTTAGTTTTGACAACGCATCTGTTTACAGCCAGTCCTGGACAGAACTACCGGTGTTGTTGCATAACCTAAATGCCAAATCCTGAAATAATCAGTCAACAGAATATTAAATCATAAATAATTTACAGCACAAAATGGACTTTAAAATTAATGTGGCACTCTCAGTCATCAATTAAACTACCTTGGGTGTAAGACAAGGTGAAAAATGACTTTCTGACAGGCTACATAAAATCCACAAACTTCACTTAACATGCAGAATATTTTTCAGCAACTTTATATGTCACCATACACTTTACTCTTAACAACAGACTGTTTCTTAATTTGACAAATACAGCTTTATGAAGTAAATTTGCAAGAAAATAAGGTAGGTAAAGGTAATTAATACTCAGAAATATTGCTATAATAGATACATTAGTTTTCTTAATCTATTAAATATGTGACAAAATTTAAGGTGTGTTTTTACTCAACACATCACAAACCAAAAAAACTCATTCAGCACAGCTGCTGTGCTGCTCTTTGCTGCCCTCATATGCCTTTTCAAGGAATTTTTCCACCTCAACTTGAAAGTCTGCAAACACACTTTGTACAATTTTGCAGCAGACTTAACAAAATCTGGGTCACCTGAGCACAGGCTCCATGCATCAAAGATTGTTTTTAAAAAAAGAGTTGCGTTTGCTTTCAGTGGGAGCTGATGTTGCTGCACATTGCTGGGATATTTTCTGATAAACTACATTCATATTGTGAAAACTCTTCAGCCTCTGCACTTGTACAACAGTGAAGGTGTAAAAACTTGGCGGTAAGAGGAACAGGAAACCAGTCATTTTGAATTATCACAAAACGGGTAAATAGACTAATTTAGTCTTGTCACGTGTAGATCATAACAGAATCACAAATGTGTGACTAAGAGGAGCCTCATACAGTTTAGGTACAGCCTAGTGGGTGGAAGCTTACCCTGCATGTATCTGATGATGGGACGATGAGATAAATCCATTCCAGTTTAAGAAATTTGAGAAACTTAAGAACATGTGAATTCACCCTTTGGTGTTTGTGAAAAGTTATAGATCTACAAGAGTATTAAATTGGTTCCACTGCTGCCAGACAAAGATTAATTCAACATTCCAAGACTTGATATGTGGTTCTTACCTGAGCTACAGGCCTCCAAAGCAAGGTAACCATCCAGTAAAGAGCTGAAGCCAGTCAGTCCTCCCATTGCAGCATTAGGGACATCCCTGCCCGTAGGCCGCCCACGTGCCTCCCTCTCCTGTTTTGTCTCAATCTACAAGGAAAATGATATTAATTTAGCTCGAATAATGTCAGAAAATTTTCAATGAATACATGGTATTAATTAATTGTATGTTCATTTATTCTCACCAGGGTTTGATGAGCAGAGCTGGGTTGGCCGCACCCACAGGTGTAGGGGCTATGATACCCAGAACAGGAGTGACCTGAAAAATAGGTGTAAAAGAAGCAAATCTGTTATTAATCTTTTTACACTGTGCCTCCAGCTAGGGTTAATTATGGTCTAGTGACTATACTGTCATTAAGTACAATGTTAACCAACTCACACTTATTGCACAAGTGGCCCGTAGCTTCACTGTGATCCTCAGGTAAGTGTTTACACCTGCAGCGAACTTGGTTTGGCCCGATCCGGGGGACATACTGATAGGCCACACAGAGGCATCCTCTGACCGGGCATGGTAGAGCAAGAGGACGCTCGGAGGGCACCACTTTGAAATCTGTCTTATGTTGCTTGTACCTGGACAAACATAGATACCTCCATAAAGTGTTTATTTCTACATGTGCTAGAATGTAAAGAAGATATGTAAAACACAAATAACAGATAAACAACTGGGTGAAGTGCTTGTTACCTGTGTGCACAAAAACACAGAGTTTCGGGGCCTATGAGTTTGCAGTCAATACCTCCTGGCACCCCAAAGCTCACATACAGCCTGTTTTCCATTCGCTGAGGAATCACCTTCTTTTTATACTCTTCATATTGCTTAGGGGTGAATAGTTTTCCTCCATCATCATCCCCAACAATCCTTTAAAGACGATTCACAAATAAACATGTATACCCCGTATAACTACTGTGAGTAAAGAAGAATATTTCAACATTTGAACACATCTGAAGAGCTATAGTTTGCACTGCTATGAATGTCCCAGTCTGACTATTACAAAGTGTATTCAAAACATTATAGGCTAATAGAAGACAAACCTTCTGTACTCCCAGTAGTCATCCACGGCCTCTGAAGCTGATCTATCTAATTTTATTGTCTCCATTGTTTAGAGGAGTTCGAAACAAGCAGTGAGCGTTTTGCTGTCAGATGTGAGCATACTGCTGTTTACGGCTTTGCAGTTGCCATGGAAATGGGTGTAGACGGCCCTCTAACGGCCACAGAGTGAATCACAAACACAAAACACATATAAAGTGAATTAAATGGAAAAAACTTAGTGTAACATTACCAAAACAAAGGTTGAACCAGTCAGCTTCAATGCTAGAGTCTAGCCTACAACACCTAGCTGCGCTAACTTCCTTCACAATTTGTTTCAGCGGATTTCAACCGACACTTTTGCTATTTGTGAACTGAAGCCAGTTCACAAATTAAACAGACTACCGTTCAAGTGTAGTGTTTAGTGTAGTTTAGTGTACTACTTATGTCTAAACTTTTTGTAAAACATAACCGCTCCCTTTTTCTTTTTCCATGACTTGTAGGAAAGCACACGCGGAATAACTACATTTCCCACAATGCCGTGTTACTGACGCACGCAGCAGACGTTCAGGGGCAACCATGACAGTCAGCAGAATTGCATGCTTGGAATTCTAGCCATCGACTTTTGCTATGAGAGGACCTCTTCGTTGTCAAGACCACTGAAGAAGCACCAGAAACGACTTCCAGAGTGAACAGGCGCTTCAGAACGAAGCGGGGCGGACATTTTTTTGGTTCAAAGTGAGTCAGCGGGCTGCTCGAGGCAGATATCTCCAGCGACAGGAACTATAGCCCAGGGTTGCCAAACAACAAGCATCATTCACTGTCAGCCAGAGGCAGCAGCTGGAGCTCAGACAGGCGGTCCGACCCTGCGTCTGTGGAGGCTGTAAATCCCTGTCTCAGCCTTAAAGTACCTTTCCAGACATCATACTGGGGTAAAGTAAATGAATGGAATGTTTTTCTCTCCTCTCGTTAGAGATATTTTGCTTTTGCGCTCAAATCGTGAAGTTATAGCTCTGCTAAGTTACATTTTGAGCTAACTAGACGTTATTTTGGCATTAAAACAGCTCTAGCTGAGCTGTTGACTTGTACAGACTATTTTAAAATATATTAAGTGTTTAAAAGTCTTGGGAAAGGACTCTGTCTCTTTACTTGTAATGCAGTATATGCCCAGATTTTCTATTGCCTGTTTCATATTTTCTGTTTAGCTCCTGTAAAGAAGAAATTTTGCGCATGCGTTTTTATAGTCAAGTTATAAAGTTGAAGATGAGCATTCAAAGTTTGCTCATAATTTGTATCCTGTTTACTAAGTTTCCTCGTATTTGTGGCTTTTTATGTCAACGTGTAACCCCAATCCACCCTGCACAGTTCAACTAGTTCACATGTTTGCCTGCTTGTCAGTTTGTGGTTTGCCTTGTTTTAATAGTTGCGGTCTGAAAGTCCTTGTCACCTATCATGCACAGTCGAAAATCCTGCTTGTCCACTTTGACATATCACTTTATGTCCTACAGATCAGATGATTCAGTTCATTGCCAAGCCTGCAAGCTGTTGAGTCCCAGGTAGCAGCTGCTTTTGGTCAATATTTAACTTAAAGATTAGCTATTTTGACCACTACTGTGAGCCTTATCACTGTTAATCATCCCATTAAAGACACTATAGTTGAGCTGTTCCCCGTGCAAGTGGAACATTCATTGTCTGCAGCTGTGCCATAAAATGGTGTGCCTTACCTCAAAACAATGATCAGGTCAGGTGAATAATAGCCTGACATGACAGCAAAGACAGGGAGTGTCTGCACACTAAATCCTTTAGGTTGTCAACAAGTGTCAGAGCAGAGATAAACCAAGATTGATATGATCTGTTGACATAAGCAAAGCACAGATAATCCTCTTGCAGGTTTATTTGTTTTTGTGATCTTACTGTGAGTTAATCTTAAACATGGGAAAATGTGAGGTTCAACAGCACAAGGTTCCCGAGAGTTTCTCTGTTTGATTTATTTCGCACACTTGAACTATGATGCTTAAAATTTTAAGCTTCTTAACCAGACTATAATCCAAAAGTTTTAATCTCTATATTTATTGGTAGCATTTCCAAATTACAGCACGGTCACATATTTGTGAACCACAATCGACTGATTACTGCTGTTAGTTCCAGCGTTACTTTACACCTTTCCTGTTGAGTTCTTGCATGCTGATGCACAGTACTGCAGCAGGTCGCTCAAAGGACATGTGTGTATGTGTGTACCCAGACAGAGATAGCGATAGAGACAGGAAAGCATCACTAAACGGATTCTGTTACCATTCTTTTCATAATTTATTTTCTCTGTCAGTGCCCCCTCTCTGACCTCAGCAGGAAGTGACACCCCACACACCCAAGGGAGATCGCAGAGAATCAACTTGGTGACAAAATTCTGGAAACTGAGCAACAATTACCCAATTTCCCCCTGCATGTGCAGAGTGCACCTACTATTTGTCAGTCAAATAATCCCTTTGGAGCCTGAATAAGAGAACAATATGAATATCTTTTGTGCCTGTGCTTCTTCCCACTCTCTGGAGCTGCAGAGTGGGTCCCATGAAATCTAAACTGGTAATCATCAGGTTTCTTGGCATAAAAACATTTGAGGTTTTTGTGCAGCTGTAGCAAAACCCTTTTCTGAATAGTTGCTAAATAGTCCAGGCAGCCACTTTGATGTAGCCACCACAGCATCTTGTCAGTTATAATGAGATGGATTTTGTTCTTCGTCCAGCATTTCTGTCGGTGTGTTTTGTGTGTAGTGGAAAATCTTTGAGCATTTATCTACTCAGAAATCCCCTCTGTCAGAGTGAATAAAAACCACAACACTCATAATGGGTCTGAGTCTAAAATGAATTAACAAAGAATGACTGCAGAATCTCCTCTCAGGTAGTTTTTGGTTGACAGTAGAAAGAGCGTTTGTCTTGCAATTGTAGTGGAATTTCAACACTGCATAAAAGATCTGCCAAATTGATCTCTGAATGCTGACAATGTGAGAAATCTCCTCGTGATTTTGTTTTTGTAAATTTAATCATCTCCATCTTTCTTTTTGTCCTTTTCCAACAGTCAATAATGTCTCCAGATTGCCTTCCTGAACATCAAGTCTGTGACGGTGATTTGGACTTAGATTTTAAGACACCAAGGCACCTTCCCGAGAGCCTCTGACTGCCGGTATCTGTGATTGTCAGCTTCCTTTTGCTTCTACTTCCTGGACTCTGCTGTTGCTCAACATTTTCTCAGTGCCTTGTAGGAGCAGCAGGATGCCGTAGTGGCTAGAGAAACTTTCTGGGCTGTGAGGGTTTTGTGCGAGCACATGTCCTGCTGGAGATAACTCAAGTGAATCCACTGCGAACAAGGAATGCTTTGTAGTGGACTTAACCTCTGACCTCTCTCTGGATACAGACAGCAGAAAAGGGAATTTCCTTGGAGTAAACAACTCTATTTTTTGGTTAATCCACATTCAGGAAAAGACCATCAGCACCCCTCTCTCTTTGCCAGTCCTTGTACCATGCTGGCTGCACTCCTACGGAGGAACATGTCACAGAAATTGAGTGTGTTGCTGCTGGTATTCGGCCTGGCATGGGGACTTATGCTGCTACGCTACACGGTGCAGCAGCCTCGCCATCAGAGCAGCGCTGAGCTTCGGGAGCAGATCCTGGAGCTCAGCCGGCGATATGTCAAGGTCCTAACAGAGGAGAACCAGAACTTACCGGGTGGGCCGCAGGGAACATCAATGGCTGGATATGGTAAGGATTCAAATAGAAGTAGTGATTCCTTTATGTGCTTATTTCTGTTTGTTACATGCTCATTAACCTTATAAGTAATTTGAGATTTTTCCCATCCTTGTGTCACTCTTGTCTCCAGCTGATCTGAAGCGGACTATAGCTGTTTTACTGGACGATATTCTGACACGTCTGGTCAAACTAGAGGGAAAAATTGAACTTGTGGTCAACGCCTCCTCCACTAACACCTCCCACGCACCAGGGGGTGTCCTTGCTTCCGTTCCCGCTGCCCTGCAGAAAGCCTCAAAGCACGAAAGCCCCGGTAGCCACCCTGGGTACTCCCGCCTTCACCCGCACATCCCCCATAGGCCTCGTCAGCACCAAGGAGTATAGTCTTGGTCGAATCATTTCTTTTGTTCAGCACATCACATTTTCCAGCATCTATCCCTGATGTAATCACATCAGACAATTAAAAGGCAATATTAAGATGTATGGACATCAATAAACTTGGTGTGGGCGCTTCTATGAAATGTTCTGCAGACTCAGAGGGAAGAAAAAGGACCTCATAATGCTCTGTCCGATAAGAAGCTGATGTCTATTTATTTTTTATCAAGAATAGCAGATTTTTATATATATATTTGCTTTGTTTATTTTATTTGGCTTGACTTTCAGCATTTTTTTACAACACCATATTTAAATCTTAAGGCAAAAGAAAATGGGTTCAAACACTCTCTACTGGTTCTCATGCTTTATTGTACAATAGCTTAAAACTCTAATCAACATTGTAGACTATATTCCAGTTCTTCTTCAACATATCAAATGCTGACAGAAACATTATACTCAAAGTAGATAGGAGTAGACAAATATCTGTTTTAGCTGGAGCAGTTTCTCAATACTATAAGATTTATTCACATGTACAGTAGTGTGAAGTTCTCTCTGACAGAGCGGTAACCCAAAGAATGTTATTTGCACTTCATTTGAAGGAAGTCAAAACCATGTATCTATCTTTTACTGCAAGACTGTTTGAGGTTTATCCAGAATTTGATGGGTCAATGCTATTTTACCACTAAAAAAAAGGAGCGATGAGGGCTTTGCTTGAGTTAAAATCCAACGTGTCCGCTGCCAGCTGTCTAGAGAAGTTTAATTTAGATTAGGAACAGATTGAATGTACTGGGTAGTCGGTCTTTAGCCCTGTAATGCTGTCAAGTAGTCTGACCTACTGCTTTCACATGTTCAGGGTTCATGTTGCACTGTGACTGTAGAGATTTTCTAAAAATACTGGACTCATTCATCCTTGCCTTTAAGGATATTTGAAGAGTATGGACTTGGAGCTCTTGGATATCTTCTCTATCAGCCCTCGGTCTTCAGTGTGGTTCCTGTGTTACTGAAGTGAATGTATGAAAAATTAATGTGGGCGGTGAACTAAAAAATAAGGAAAATGTGACTTCATAATGTAGTTAACGCATTACAGTGTGAATGTGATGCCTTTAGACTTAACTATCACACTGTGGGTTGACTGTGCCAATTCTGAGTGATTTCATCAGTGTGCTGTGCTTCATAAGGTCAAAGATAAGCTGGTCAGCTGTTGTTGGACACATCTAATAAATAAATCACAAGACCCGTTATTCTCCCTCCGTTTCAGGTTCTGCTCTTAATTTTCATGGATTGAAGTGAATTGGGGGAAAAAATAGAAGTTACTAAAGAGGTTTTTTGTTTGTTAAATATGTGCACAAGAAGGCAAAGACTCAAATTTCATGTGTTTTTATCAAATACTCATGATAAATATTTGTGTATATGTGCACTTAGAATATTTCTTGCCTTAGCTTAGTCCTAATCATTTTGCCACAGATCTGGCTGGTTTATAGGCCCTTTCATTTTACCAGTTCTTCATGGTCCTTCAAAAGCTTACTTCAGAGTAAGGGAAGCTTTTCACCCATACCTCCCAAGGAAAACCTATGTTTTGCTCCAAGGCAGTGCTGGCTTTTTCTATCTTTTGATTGCAATACATTATTGTGGCATTTCAAAAACAAAGCTCAGACTGTCACTGTGATGTGGAATGTCTCAGTCCAGGAACCTGAGATAACCTTAGTAAAGATTAAGTTGCACTTTTTTTTAGGTCTGTTGAGTTTTGGGCACATTCTGGTAGCTTAAAATCTAATCCAATGCTGATTAACCTTACAATGCCTCCTTAACAAGTTTTTTTGGGTGTATGTAGTTCAAAATCATAGTCCACATCCCAGTGGGAGGAAGACAGAAACCTCTTGCTTCACAGTGGAAGGGCCCAGACAGTAATTTCTCACTTGTTTAAGTTCATTTACCTTAAAGTTCATAGCTTAAGATAGGGTACAAACTCCATTAAGAGCAAAAGTTGTTGACCCTGTGATGGTATTGAACACTACACAGGTGGTTTGCTGGAAGGCAGAGCAATCCATTTCATGTCTGCTTGCAGTGCCGGCCTGTTCAGGACTACAGTATGAGTATGAGAAGAAGAGAACAATTAGTTCAAGTCTGTCTGAGACTGAACTTTTGATATATATATATATAAATCAACAGTTGAGTCTCAGATAGTCAAGGAAGGTTCCCTCCAAGAAATTGAAAATACTAATTATTTCAATTAAAATTAAATTATACTTAATTATGATTATTATGATTTTTTTCCAGTGGCCCATGTCCTCCTCTGTATAAATTAAACTGAAAGTGTGGATGGATTGTTTGTCAATGACACGTTAAAAAGGAGAATTACACTCGGTGATAAAAACTGTGACCTATCAGCATTAAGGGAATAATATTTTCTCCTGTTTCTTATTATCCTTATCACATAAAATGATATATTTAGGGCACAGAATAACTGTGCATTTCATATTATTGCTCAGATTAGTCTGTACATCTCTCCAGAATATCGTACTTAGTGGGCATTCATAGAATTAGTGCCTTGTGTTGTCTTTTTCCATTAAAAAAATAAATTATTTGTTGTTAATTTCAGCAGATTTGGACAGGAGAGAGTTTGAAAGATTTACACCAGTCATTATTTCGTATTAACTGTCGTAAATTTTGTTAGGGATGGTGAATTTACTCTCTGAAAACCGTGCAATGCTGTTATGGACAACCCGGATTCGGTTCCGGTGTTGGAGACGGGACATGACGTCAGACTGCAGCTAATGAACACACCGCCCACCTCTCGCGCCATCTTCTAACTGGTAACCGGCCAGATCAAAACAGTGTGTGAAGCCTCAGTCAGTGCAGTCACATTTTACTCTAAAACACGCTTATACAGCTAAACACAACAATGAGTGACGCTGAGAATGGAAACTACGGAGGGCGGGTAAGTAATGGCATCGAATATTAGAATTTCTCCTTTTCTTTGACCCTCCCGTTTGGCTGCCGACAGACAACATAGAGATTTAACATGAGCTAATCTGACAGCTACACCTGAGCTAAAACAGTAACAAAGACGTGGGCTATGCACGCCGTCTTGCTGACATTGATAGTTTAATATAACTAAATTAATCTTCAGGAAATGTCTTGAGCTAACTATGTCCCTTAAAGAATATCGAGTGACTGCTTAAACCCATGCGAAAGCTATCTTAGAAATCCCAGGGGACAGACATGTCTTTTTTCAGTCTGTCCGTGAATATAGTCCTCCTCACACAATGAATAATTCACTAATGGCCCAGGTAGAACGCAGATGACCTTGTCGCTGCAGCCTTTAGTGCTCCTTGGCTAACGTTACTTATTTCCTGCTTGTGCATTTTATAATGTTAGAAATTCCTCACCATGTCCTCAGCCACTTTCCCTTTCCTACTTTCACCCTCTTTTTTACAATTTAAAACATTGATACAACACATGAAAGCCTTATACTTGTAACTATGTTGTAAATTTTCTTATATATTTATTTTGTGGTTAATTTAAACTCAATGTAGTTTATATGTAATTGTACAGAGGCCCTAAGCAGACATGCATCCATACATTTTATTCACTCTGCTTTCACTTTATTCCAGTTGTTTTCTTGTAATCCAGAGTAATGTCAGCTGACATGAACATGAACAGAAACACAAACACAGAAATGGGTTTAGCTTTTCTCAAAACTACAGCAGCATGTTTTGTAGTGATTGACCCCGTGACTGTGAATTGGAATAACGACAACACTTCATTTTGGCCTATTGTGAACTTTGAAGCCAAAAGATTGCCTCCAGGGGTGCTGACATTTGTTCTGTTGAAACTGAAGCATGAGCACAAGCCACCTGACTCAGAGGGTTGCTCAACCCACACATTAACTCGATCAATAAAACGTCGAGGATGGGTACATTTGAAGCGGACACACAGGGTTATGCAAAACTCAGTAGTTCTTGTTTAAGTGTTTGTTACAGAATGCTGCAGGAGCATTGGTCAACAGAGCTGTCAATCATGATGTCACCTCTGCTCTTTGTAACTTAAAATAAAATAAAACGCACTTGTACATAAACCAGCTTAACAAGACTGAACTATAATAATGAGAACTGCGTTAAATAAAGGAAATATTTAAATTGCATTTAAAGTCTTTATAATCTACACTCTTGCCAGTCACCAGGGGGAGCTTTAAATCTTTTGGCTTCAAACTAGTTTCAAACTTAAGACGCCCCTTTTTTGAACAGTCAATGGTCTGGTCTATTATTAGTGACAGTAAAAAAACAACATCTAGACCTCGTGAAACCAGCAGGACTCATTATCACGGGGAGTGAATAACATGCATGGACTCACATCCACTTTGGGCTTCTGTATAATTTTGCTGCATTCAGTGTTCCTTTTTTCATTTGATCAAAGATATTTTCCTTTTTCCTAAACCTATGATCTTAATTTTTATTGAATGTTCTTTTTTCATTAAGGTTATTGATCGTGAAGGATTTGAAGAGTTTTATCCAAGAATGATGAAGACAAAATTTCAAGATAAAAGAAGGCTAATGAAAACATGTACAGAGCAGAACATAGAAGTGGAAAGGGAGGAAATGTGACGGAAGACGGGTGTCAGATAGAAGCGCTTGCAGTGTAATGGCTATAATGAAACTGGTGTCAGTTTGGGTGAAGAGATGAAAAACCTGGAATCAGAAAATGAGAAAACTGAAAAAAGAAGAACGAAGAAGGATAGAAATCCTGAGAGAAGGGAGTAGCGTGTAAAGAATCTGGAAGAATGAATGTGTCCATAGGTTAAGTAAATACACTGTTTGTGTCACAAATGTCTTTTTCTTAAAAGTGCATGTTTTGTCTTTTACTCCGTAATGACCCAGGTGGACATGAAAATAGACTTTTCATTTACATATTAAATATGGCTAATGAATGTACACTAAAAATTGATTTATTCAAATGTTAAAGCTACTAACTCTTTCTTTCCAGTATATAAGCTGTGCTTTTTTAGACAGGTGTACTGTATGTGTACAACAGCCTTCTCCACTACTCTGTTTTACTTTTTTCTGTGCAAAGAAGTAAAAGTGTCTGTCCAAGAGAAAGTTGTTAATATGCTGCCTTGACAATAGGGGTCATGCTCCCCATCTAAATCTGATCGTGGGAGCCCAGATCGAGTGAAGTCGGAGAGCAGGTCTGGCTCCCCGAGCCCTTCCAGAGCCTCCAAACGCTCTGAATCCAGATCCCGTTCTCGGTCAAGATCTAGGTATGTTTTAATCTGTCATCACATATTATTTCACCTTTTTCATCCCTTGTCTAGCATTAACGTTGATGCTTCTCCACCCATGCTCTCTCTTTCTAGGTCTCGATCTAGGAGGCACTCAGATCGGCGCTATAGCCGGTCACGTTCTGGTTCCTATTCCTACCGAAGGAGGTCTCGCTCTCGTTCCTACAGCCCAGAATACCGCCGCAAGAAGAGCCAGAGCAATTCTCCTATGTCAGCTCGGCGCCGTCATACTGGCAGTAAGGTGAGTGTGATGGTAGGGTGAAGTACCAAAAACCAGAGAAGGTTTTATAGGATTAATTTTGGGAGTTTGTTGAGTTACATATTTCTGTTCCAAATCAGTCAAGTTGTTTGTATGTTGCAGGGATGGGCGTATGTATCTATCAAAAATGTTATTTACAGTCACTGGGTTCGTCTGTTTGGTTACCCCAACCGCACACGCGGAGTTAAAGAGAGAGAAAACCCATTTCTTTTACGACGCGGCTGCTGGATTTACTTAAATTGTGACCACATAAACCCTATAAAACATGGGGTATAATAAACTGCATCTTCCCTCTATACACATGGACCATTTATCTTTTCATACAACCCACATGATCAGGGTGAAGACAGCTGCGCAGTCTGTTTATAATAAGTCCTGCCACAGAAAACAGGAGCTAGCACACTTCTGTCTGCACAGTGAGTTTGACTCTGTCAGTCACAAACCTCAGGGTGCCTCGGGTCTAAGGAGCGTGCGACGTATACCATCTTGTGCACGCTGCTGATGCCTGCAGGGTGAGGGCTCTTCTCACGACACAGTGTGAAAAACATTTAAAACGAGTGAAGTACACATATGAACTCCTCCGTAACACTCCAGCTGTTATCAGTTAAGTCGAGGGTTTTTGCATGTGATAGTTTGGTGAAATCTCTATCTGACTAGACAGCAGCTGATGCCTTTCTTTGTTCAAATACTCGCTGGAGCGTGCAGAAGTAGAATTCCACCTTATTAGACAGTAATGCGCTAATTTGTGTTTGGGCTCGCTCACTGAAGTTATTGCTTTTGTTTCAGCGCTCGTGTTGCCATTGTGTTTTCAGGGAAATGAGAAATCGGGCAACTAGAAGACCAGATGGCTGATGTGTAGCTTCAATTGGTTTTTTTGCAACTTGGAGTAAATGTGTAAAGCAAGTCTGGGAGTCCCAGTCAGGGTGTTTAGTGTTGGCTAGCACCAGTCTGCTGGAGTTATCATCCACAGATGTTGTGACTTTTCCATTTAGTCCACACTGCTCAGTGGCAGTGTTTGCTGTGTGAATCAAACATCAAGCTGACTTTGTGCAGCTAGCGGGGGATTGTTGCTCTGTACATGGACCAATAGAGGTCTCGCTCTCCATTGGCTGAACATACTTTGACTTATGAAGGAGATGGGGCACTACTGCTTTATTTGTTATTTAATGGCAGTTAGCAAACAGTTTTCATGTTCACTACTGCCACCATGTGGTGGTGTTACCACACTACATCCCAGTGCTTGGGGGTGTAAATCTCCCGAAACAAGATGATTGGGTTCAATTGACCACAGTTTGATTCAAGAATTATCAATTAAAATAAGAACAGTTTGGTTTGATTCAGTTAGGTTCAATAGGGCTTTTAATAAACTGAGTCATTATCACACACTCAGGCCAAGTTGTCTCACTTATAGAGATAATTGGGTGAAAAACATGAAAATGAATCACTTACACAGATATCTTGGCTCCTCTGCATACCTGTCTTTATGGTTTATGTTAAGTCTCTCTTGCACTTAAAACGAGGAATTTGTTTTCCCAAGACTTGATTTGTGAGGTTTTAGACATCAAAATCGCTCCCTGAGCTGATAAATACTCCCTGTTCAGGCATTTACGCTTGTGCTCTCCTGAAAGGTGAAAGGTCATCTGCAGAGTCTTGCATATTTGAGGTATAACACGGACGTCAGTAAACCTAATCGCAGCCTTGAAAGTGGTCCACCAACCTGGACATTTTTACTGATCCATGGTGCCAGGGACTGGAACACTTGGATGTTAAATATTGATATTAATAGACGATGCTGATGACTTAATCTTTGCACCTCTAACAATAACAGAAACATCATGATTTTGGGAAATTAATTGATGAGTGTTTGAATATTTTAAGAAGATGACCCATCCCCAGTACGTGGTGTACAGTCTGTTTTTAAACAGTTTGAATTATAACTTTGTGAGGCTACAAATATTATCCCATAAGTTTTCAGGATGTTGATTTTATTTGGGGGAAACTCCAGGATCTCGAGTGTACAAAGTGACTTACGTGTTTGACAAAATGTGCATGAAACGTTGTTACATTGATCTAGTCATATCATTGAAACCCATTTAAAAGCATTCAACAATTTATGTTACACTTTGTCCAAAGAGTGAGGGAATTTCTCTTTCTTGTAAACATGAGAAAGTTATTTATTTTTTTAACAAGTTTGTGATTGATGCTGTGGGAAACCACTGTGAAATGACTTTTAATAACCCCTTTTTATTAACCCTCCCCTCCTTTCACTATGTCAACAGAGCCATGACTACACAAAAGAAGCATACAGTCATGGCGGTGATGCTGATGTAAGGGTACGTGGTCCTCCTGAAATACTTTGGGGAAGAGTTCTGAAATGTTTGTTTGTGGGTCAAAGGTGCTGCTCGTTTATAACCAAAATGTAATTTTTCACTGATTTTGCATATCTGGTCACCTATCACCCAAATTTCCTAGCACTGGTGCAAAGTTGGTGTAAGCGGTCATAAAGAACTATTTTCTGTATCTAAAGAACTCTCTATTAATGATATAAAACTAACATGCTATGTTTTGAGATGTGTGTATATGAACAGTTTTCATTAATATCAAACTTATACGGTGTGTTTTGCAGTTTATGTAAGATTAATATGTCTGAAATCAGAGTTGCACCAACAGTGGAGGTAGGGCTGCTATGATAAAAATGAAAATATAACTTTATGTTTATTTTTTAAATGAGAAAACCAGATTTGATGCTTTGAGATGCTTCCTTGTAGTCCCCCCTTACAGCTGCATAAACAAAAAGCATGTGGCTAATCTTCATCAGAGATTGTATTCCTCCCACACTGCTGACATTTTCCCTTACGTTCTGTACCAGTGTGACTCTGACATTTTTAAGAATACCTCAAAGTTTTGACAAAACAGCTATGAGGAAATACTGCAACTCTTTCAAAAAAATGAATTTAAGAGTTAGAACTATTCATGATTAGAGATAAATCTGGGAAGGTAGTCAGGAATAAACCCGTTTACTTAATATCTGTCCTGTCTTTTGTCCACTGCTGCAAACAGAAACTCAAGGACATTCATGAAACAGCGGGAGGGGAATGAAGTGATTCTGTTTATTGTATTACTCTCCCGTCTTTTTGAAAGCTCTGTAAGGGGTTATTAAAGCTGTCATAGTTTACCCACTGAGCACATGCTGTTTGACAGCTGAGTGTTTAGAGGCAAACATTTGTTTCCCCATCCATAACATGTTTATAGATTTTGACCTTCATGTGCCAATCTAGTGACTGGCTTAACCGCTGGGCAGTTATAAGTCTGAGTCTCAGAGGAGACCCCCATGCCTGAGTGCTGCCACCCCTCATCAACAGTTAAAGTTAGTCAAAAGCAGCTATAAGGAGTTTTTTTATTTATTTAAATGAGGGTTTATATTAAATAAACAGATATTTCCATGGCTCAGTATTGTTTTCTGTATTTGAGTCCTGAATAAACACACTCCTGGCTATTTGCATAGTGCATGTAATATTAAAAAAGGAGAAGAAGCACATTTTGCATCCAGTAAATAGAATTTTAAACGTGACTCATTAAACAGATAGATGCTGCAAGCCTCACCATCAACCCTGACCCTTATTGTTGACCGTTCCAGGCGAACCCTGACCCCAGCACATGTTTGGGGGTGTTTGGTTTGAGCCTGTACACCACAGAGCGGGACCTGAGGGAGGTGTTTTCACGGTACGGTCCTCTGGCAGGGGTCAATGTGGTGTACGACCAGCGCACAGGACGCTCCCGGGGCTTCGCCTTTGTTTACTTTGAGAGACTGGAGGACTCTAAGGAGGTAAGGGCAGTGATGTCGGTGTTTAAAACTGATTTCTTTTTTGTCCCCATGCATCTATCATCATGTTTGTAAGATAAAAATATGAATGAAGATGAAACAAGCAGGTATGCTGTTAACTGCACTCATCCTTTGCTTTAGAGCGTATATTCTTTGATTGAATAGCAGTAGGAATAGGCGTTTCAGTGGGCCCAGAGCACCTGGAAGATCAGGCATTTCTGTAATACTAAATATTTAGTCAAGTAATTAACGTAAATCGAACATTTAATGAAAATCAAACTTCAGACGAAGGATCCAGATGAAAGAGGGAAAATAAATGCAAGGATAAGATCATGTAACAGCACTAGAAACATCATTTTTCTTTCATTTACTGGCTCTAAAAGCTGCTGTCACTCACTTTGTTTTCATACCGTCCACCAGAGAGTCCAAAAGTCCAAACTTTTCCCCTCATTATTTCAAAGGAAAGCGTGATTGCACAAATCCACCACTAGGTGTCTGCCTCGCCACAAACGTATCCCAAAGCAAGAAGTGTGCGATGTAGGTGGGCCTTTGTGAATCAAATGCTGTTTATCAAAAAGCCTTTAATAGTGTGATAACATGTTTTTGTAGGCAATGGAGCGAGCCAACGGCATGGAGCTGGATGGGAGGCGAATCCGAGTGGATTATTCCATCACCAAACGTCCACACACACCAACGCCCGGGATCTACATGGGGAGACCAACTCAGTAATATCAACACTAGAGCTCAAGTTTTGACTTTTTCAACTAAACGTGTCTTAATACACGATATGTTTGAAACCACCTAAAAATCCGCCTTTTCTCATTCCTACAGTAACGGCGGTGGTGGTGGTGGGGGTGGCGGCAGCAGCAGGAGGGGGAGAGACTCCTACTATGATCGAGGCTGTGACCGCTATGACAGATATGATGAGTATGATTACAGGTATAGGTGAGTATACGTTTGTGCTCATGAAGTCTCTGGGAGTTTTGAGGATGCCTTACATTTTCTTGTCTCGGCAGTCGAAGACGATCTCCCTCACCTTACTACAGTCGATACAGGTCCCGCTCACGGTCTCGCTCCTACAGCCCACGTAAGTTTGAAGAGAGATGCTAACCTGCCTAACTGAATCTGCTGAATCATCATTAAACACAAAGCAGACTGATGTTACTGTGCTTTATCAAACACGTGTATTAACCTGTTTATTTTTTTATTGTAACTAATGTCCTGTTTTCTCCCTGCAGGGCGATACTAAAATGCTCCTTTTGGTGTTCAGCTTCTCTCCAATAACCGAAGTGTGTGATCCATTAAAGTGTTGAAGGCATTTTCACTGAGCATGTCCATCAACCCACCTCTTAAGTTTGAGAAAGCTCTTGTTTACATGCAGTAGATGTCTTAATTTTTCATGTTCTGATGCATCTGCGTTGAGTACGAGCGAAGAACCCCGACAGCTGTTGATCACTGTTCAACCTGCATCCTCCTCCTTCATTTATGACTTTTTTCTCTCATGCGACATATAATTAACGTCACTGCTGTAATCACTGTTGGCATGCACATCAACTTTAGTAAATAGTTTGATAATAGTGAGTTGAGTGATCATCTGAAGAAAAGAAACAGGACTTCTGAGATTAAAGTTACGCATAAAAAAATGTTTGTTTTTTTTCACTTCGCTTTGGTGTGTTTACTACAGCCATACAATCCCCAATTAGGGCAAGAAAACACACCTGTGCTTGTACTCCACTGTTTACACATGTTCTTTTTAGATCAGTGGAGTGGGTGTCTGAATACTCGAGCAGACACCCACTAAGGTAGTTAAGTGAGCCCATACTGGCTGGTTTATTCTCAATTAAGTTCTGCTAAATGCTAAATCTGTTTCAGTTCAGTGCCCCGGGTTGCTCTGCTATTTTACAACCTTCTTTCTGTAACACGTGTCCTTAGAGAAACAGCTCTTGAGGCATTTTTTGTACACAAGTGTTTATCTAATAGGAAGTGGGTAGCAAAAGCAGGATTTTGCGGCCTAATTTTTTAATCATTTTTCACGTGGCTTGATCAAAAAGGTCCATCTGTAGTCATCTTTCCCTGTGATAACAGTCACAGTGAGACCGTAAAATCCAACACTGCAAAATGACGTGATGCTGCCCCTTGTTGTGTTCAAAGACAGAAAAGCTGGGGATTTTTAAAATAACATTAATCTCTGTTTTGAGGACATTTTTATGAGTGTTTAATACAAGTACTTGGTGATGAATAATCTGAGTTGTGTTTGTTTTTATAGCCTCTCATTATTTTTATTTTTTTTTATAATCTGGTGCTACTAAGGAGTCTCGATACTATCTTGTCTATTTTGGGAAAAAACACCATGTCTTAGCGAAAACCTGTCACACAATCCCTGTTGAACAATCCAGAATATACTCTTAAATAACACATAATCCCAGTTTAATCCAGCACTGACTGCATTTACTAGTATGTAGCAACTTGGGCTGTAAAAAAACAAGTGTTTCCACCATCAGGTGTCAATTCCCTGCTCACGTTCAGTCACTTTTTCTGCGTCGAAGGAGTCAAATTTGTGTTTCTCTGGAGAGTTTTATGATCATGTTTGACTTTTGTATGGTTTCTTTCTTTCTATGGCAATACAAATACATGAAAACTCTAAAGTTTGCTGTGTCTTCTCTGACTCCTCCTGCATGAAATAGAGGTTGAGTCGGTTGATTGTACAGGTTGGAGTTGATACTTTAAGTTTGTGTGGGAGAGGTGAGAAAACAAGAAAGTTTCACAGAAGAGCAGCAGAGCCAAGATGTTACGCATTTAAAGTTCACAGTAATTGTAGGTATTGAATATGAAGAATAGATTTACCCTCATGTTGAGCTTTTGCTCTTAAAGTGACACCAATGATGACTGCGACAAAGAGGACTTTTGACACTTTTTATTGAGCGACTTTAAATCACACAGCATGAGAAGACAGATCAGATAGAGCACTCTGTGTCTTTCTTTTCCTCCACATAAGACAAGCCTGTATAGATCAAACACAATCACTTTTCATCCACAGTAAGATTCAGGTTTAGATACATGACTCTGTGGGGGCAAACAAGACGTGGAAGCACAGTGTGCTAATCAGCAAGGTAAACTGGAAGAAATGGAGCTCCCTTTATCTGTAGACCTTAGCCCCAATAATGTGGCACTTCATTCAAATGGGGTTAATAATCACTGCTGACAAGTCATGGGGCCCCTCAGAGTTATGCATTCATTCACCCAGACTCAGATAATTCTCCAGGTTCCAAGGTAACCGCTCACTGGAGAGATACAAGGGTCAAAGTTTAAGGTCTGCCTCTGCTAAGACTCAACAAAAAACACCAGGTTCCTACTGAATACATCAAGATTCAAACAATAGACTTTGATCAGGATGTTTGTCCTGAAAAGTTTGCATTAAGAGTGAGTGAGAGTAAGTTTTCGTGCCACTTTTTTGTTGAGTTTATGTTCAAGAAACAGCTACACTTGGTTTTAAAGTGATTTTTCTTCAATATGAAACTGTAGAGATGACACAGGGGTCATAGCGGGAGTTATCCTCCAAAGGGGGACAAAACGAGGGGATTGTTTTACATGATTGGGAGTGCATTACATCTAAGGAGCTGTTTGGATTTATTTAGTTTATGTTCTGGTTCAGTAGCGGGACAATATTAAGAGTGATGTTAACTTTCACATAGAGAGAACATCTGCTTTACAAAAAAGGTAAAGAGCATGAATAGTGTGAAATCTGCATGCGTTAAACTTTGCTATACAGACTTAAGTCTCTTCTGCTTTTCATCAACTTTGCATTAAAGCTGTTTAAATGCTCGTATAAGTTTTATGATGCATCTGATGTGCACACCAGGTACAACTTGCAGCTTTAACGTGCTTTTGGGATGAACTGAGTCAAGCTCTGCTAACGTACAGGACAATGTCTGAAGGTTAACAAGCAGCATGTGTATGTTTTCTATATGGGATGGACATAGGAGAGGGGGGACAGGCAGGAGGGGGAGTGAGGGTTTCAAGCTCCCTCCTCAGAGCAGTAAACATGAGGCTCCACTTGGAACAACAAACATTTACAACTGTTTGCTATTTCATCATCAGCACACACAGATTTTTCTTAATCACCAGGCAGAACTCTTCAGGGGACAAAAGACGTTTCAAATCCCCTTTTTTTTTGCATTTTTATCCACTTCTCTAAAGTTTTTAATCAAAAAGTTGGTTTGAAATGTGATTTGAAGACTACATTTTAGAATTTCAACATTAATATAAGCACATCTTAAGAAAATGTATCCAGATTTGGTGTAAAAACAGTTTTTAAATGGTCAAGAATTCAGTAGGAATAGTGTTTTATTCTCTTTTTAGCTAAGGGCTACCATCTGTAAACACAATCAAATATATATAGTAAATACAGAAAGAGTTTGCAACCTCTGATTTAAGCTTTGTTCATAGATTAATCTCACATTTTAATACATGAGACAATGAACAGGCTGCAGCAATGTCCATTTCGTCAGCAAGGATGTGAAGCAGTCACATCCTCCTCTCTATCTTCTCTGCCTCCACTGAAATTAGTGTCCAAAAACATTCAAATAATAAATAATAACCTTTAACACTTTTATGTCAGCCCAGTTTTAACATACAGGGAAAAAACAGCTGCATTAAAACAACAACTTTCAAACTTTTCCAACGCAAATATGACAAAAATTAGTGCTATTCAGATTTGACAAATCATGCACATTTAAAGTTAACATAATTTCATGTCAATCACAAGTGTGAAGCACAGCAGTACAGGTGTCCCTCTTCTTTAAAAAAGAAAACAAAACAAAACAGGATTTGAGAGAAATTGATTCCCTTTTACATTTTTTTAAGACAAATTCTTCCTACAGAAATTACAGTGAAACAAATCAATCAAGACTCTGTTACCAGCAACAACAACAGCAGCAGCAGCCAGAGGGGACACATGCTAAAGCCTGGACATATAGTGTAGCTAAAATGTGTGACCAAGTCTGCAAATATTTATGTGACTAAGCGTGTAAACTCCCTCTTCCATCAGCCTTATGGTGCTGCAAGAACCGTGGTGGAAACCTGACTAAAAGCTCAGCAGCATGTTAGCAAAGAAATAAGATTCAAATCACACAAAAATATTTAAATCAGTGTATGTTAAATAGAGAAATTATTCACTTTTGATGAAGTAATCTGCAAATACAAAATAAAAATCAAGCTTTCTTTGTCCACACACACTGCAGTGTGTTAAATACAGTGTGTGGAGAAAATATTACATATAATGTTCAGAAGAAAAGAAATATTTCTTTCCAAATAAAAACATAATTGCAGCCACTTGTGGATCTGAACTATAGTGTTACGGCAATACGTCAGGCTGCTACAAACAGATATTTTAGTTTATTTAACACAAGAGGTCAAAAAATTCCCCCTAAAAAAAAATCTTAACATTTAAATAATCTGACATATCCTGGAGGGTTTACTTTTTCATATTAATTTCCAGGATTTCACTTAGTTTTCCAGAAATTGATACAAGTGGCGAGAAAACGAGAAAAAGCGTTGCTTATTTCTCGGGCACATACTTTTAGATATAACAGAATTATATACCCAAATGTGTGTGCCTTTTCTCTATTTTCCTGCCCATCATTCTCAGGCTGTAGTCTGTTTTAAGATAGGTTTCTTGACTTGTCTTTTGAGGGGGCACAAACCGCCATTTTCTAATGAGATGGAGGGTGTCATCCCACAGGAGAGTCTGAGAGGAAAACGCATCCAGTTTTTTGTCTTTTTGGAGCCTGCCTGAAACCTCTGGCTAAAAATAGAAAACATATGTCTGGACTTCCCCCCCAAAAAGCCTTGTATTAGCATCGATAAGGACATAGTTTCCATCAGTTAATGGTACTGTAAGGCTGTAGATTCTCCTCAACATGGCGCACACTACACTGCGCCCTGGCTGCGTCCGAAGCGGTCAGTCAGTGGATTTAATGGTAACAGCTCAAGTGGAAAGACAACATAGTAAAAGATTAGAGTCGGCTGAGAATAAATAAAAAATAAAAACAATCTCACCAGAAACCAGAATCCCTTGATTCAGAGTAGCCTAAGGGCTTTGTCAAAGAGCCTCGCGCTTGGCGACGTAGACTATCTACATCTTGGAGTGAGGCCAGCAGCGCAAAGTTGGGCTATAAACTGCGTTTTACTTAAACAATCTACATCCCCTCTCCTCTTTCTGTCTCTAGAAATATCCCAGACTGTGTTTCACCAGATCGATTTTGTCAGTTCTTGTTCCTGCACTGACATTAACCGCAGCAATCTTCCCACATATAGGATGCAGTCTAGTCTGAAACTTTATGTCAGTTTTTTTTGCCCCCTATGGAATTTGACCATAGCGAGGAGTCCAGAAACTGGGGGCGGGGAGACTTTCTGTACATTCCTCAGCGATACATTCACTACTCCTCCTGTAGAGAGAGTGCAGCCACACACGCAGACAGGCTGCAACCACGCATCAGTTCATTTAAACGGACAAGGGGGAACGAGCACTCACATGACTGCTTTTTACATACATGCGTCCACTAAACCGTAAATAAGACTCTGCAACACTCAGAATGACTCTTTTTATGCATTTGTTATTTCATTCGCGGTTGAAATCAATAAAGCCGAATAAAGTGGGTTAATAAAAAAATTGTATGAGCCTAAGTAGGCCAGCGGAAGCCGCTTAGGTTTAATAAATTCCGTGTATTGACCCATACTGAAAGAAACATGGATCTAACATGTGGGTTAGAACTCTTTAGGAAACTTTTCCGAGGCTGAAATTTGAAACAAATTATAAGACAATTTAAAAGTTGTAGTAAGTACACTAAAAGTGAAATTTGAACACTTTCTTTAATTCTTTGACCACCAAACACATGTAAAGGAGTGGCACATGAATGTAAACACAGTCTAAACTTCCTGAAAAGTCCTGCAGACCTCTGGAAAGTTTCGCGGTTTTACCCGCCGGCTCGTGCTTCGTTAGATCTTTATGACTTATGACAAAGCCCAGCAGATGAAACATGGGGAGAAATGCATAATTGGCGCGCTGATTCATATAGAATAGTGGAGCCGAGCAGCCAATGAATGGGCGCGTTGAGGCCGAGCCAGCAGCAGTAGTACGGAGCGGGTCTGCAGCCCTCTGATTGGTCGGTCTCATCAGCCAATCAGAGAGCTCTGTGTGTTTGTTCAGCAGCAGAGGAGTAAACCCACTGAGACAGCCGTGGCCCCAGTTTGAGTCAGTGGCTGAAGGGCCCACTAACCCAACAGAGCTTTTTGTAACCTGCTTTATATGAGCATGCACACCTAGGCCTTTTCACTGTGCAGGGACACAGAGCTAATATATAAGCTAAAAGTAGAGCACTTTGAACTGATACAAGCAGGGCTGTGTGGAGATTACACCCACCTAAACTTTTGAGCACTTTTTCTCCTTCGAACATGTGCTAAAGACAAAAATATTAAGCTGAATAAAGCTACAAGTTAAATTTAGGAAATTATAGAAGTAGGCTGCAATCAAAGCATTCAATGGAAAAAACGCTTTTCAGTGGTAAAGACAGTTTATTGACTTTTTTTAAAGTTTACATTGTCACTTCCTGGCTACAAAACTTCTTTGATTCACGACCCATAGCTCACAATAGACAGCTTCTATCCTGAAGAATATGGCACAGTTTAAATGCAGGAACTCATTGAGGTCTTTAGCAGTCTGGCACGCAATATCTTGAAAGTTATAGGATCAATTTGTTTTGTTGAATGAACTGCTTACATTGTACACAACAACCCAAAAAGATTACACAGTTTATAGAGATCAGAACTGAGGTAAAACTTCAGTATGAAAATACTAGGTTTAAAAAAAGATACCCAGGTGTGAGCTTATTAGCTCCCAAAACCCATAGCTTGCGCACCATTACGCAACAGGGTGCAATAAATCTCACATTTTTGTCTTTTTTTGTTGTTGTTGTTGTGGGTCACATAATAAGGTGCTGCTGATCCTGCATTTTTGTCATTTTGAAAAAACACTCACTAGTGCACACAAAAAAAATCCACCAGCATGACACTGACAGCCTTTAAATGGGTTTAAAATGACTAAGGTGTTGATCAAGCTTGGACAGAAAGGTAATATTGATCAAGTGGACCCTGATCATGTAGCTTCATTCAGTGATATAGCATTTGATTTGTTTGTCTTCAATAAAGTAAAGAGCAATAAAGTAGTCGCTTGTTTATAGATAGATAGATAGATAGATAGATAGATAGATAGATAGATAGATAGATAGATAGATAGATAGATAGAATCCTAAAAATGTAAATATTTTGCACATTTCTGTAAGACGTTCTGTATTTACATTTGTTTACCCCCTTTCAAATCCACTGTCTGTCTCGTTCACTTCACAACTACACCATTGTGCGTAAATTCTCGTTTTTGGGGTTGTAAATTTGGAAAAATGAGAACACACCACGCTGTAACGAGAATACAGCCCCTTACCATCAACAGGTACGGTTTTAGCCACCCTGCCCCCCTGCAACATGGCCGCTCTCTGCAGAAAGCTCTACGCGCAATCAATCCGCCTCTGCCTGAGATTTACTAAACATCATATTGTCAGTTTTGTAATATTATCTGGATGTAATCAGCACGTGCTTGAACCTAGCTGTGCAATGCATGGGACGCTAGGGGCACTTGAGTGTGGGAGACCCCTCCCTCTAAGAGTAAATGGAAGTCCATGCCGAGGTATAGCAGGGAGGATTCGCCATGTGCATGCAGACCGCATGGCCGAAGATTTCTCGCTCTCGACGCTCTCAGCCTGTTCGATGGACCAAACAAGTGGCCTGGCGGCACCCATCTCGCCTGAACACACCCCTGAAAGCCATTTTGTGTGACCACGAGCAAGTCGGGCCTGCTGTTGGACTTTGAGTTGTGGATCAGGGAGGGCATGGCTCCACTCTAGCTGGAGAAGATGGATGCCGTCATGTGGATAGTAGTACGTGTCATTCCCACATTGCGCGAGGGCCCACTGACCGGCGTAGTGCCCTCCCTGGTCAAGATTTTTAAAATTAAACATATCCAGCATGTAATTTAACAATATAGTGCAACATCACTTATGAAGTGCCCCACCCCCTTTTCCTCCCTGTGTGTCATCAGTGCAGCGCACTTAACACAGCCGTGCGCACAAGCCCCCGCAATATCAGCGTCTCCCTGTTATGGGCGTGCGTGAGCGCACTGCCGCTTTACTATTCCTCAACTGGCCAATGAGAATCGAGTCTTTGCAGAGAAAGGCACACGAATGTGATTCTAGTAAAGATACACTGGGTTCTCACGGAATCCCTTTACGCACATAGCTCGCCAGGTTTTTTCCCAACACCAATCCACTCTTCCCCCTTTTCTCCACTCCCCTCTGCTGTCCCCACCCCAGATTCCCGTGCAATTTTCCCCAATCCCAAACACTTAATTGAGCAATTGGGATTCCTCACGTGTGGGCTGATTTGTAGTTTGAACACGTGGCTCATTCAAAAAAGCCGGAATAGCGGAGGATTTTTTTCTCCCCCTTCTTCTTCTTCTTATTCTAGGCTCTAGACTTAGAGGCGGGCGCCAGCCTTACCGTGTGTGACATTCTCTGTCTCTTTGCCAAGGGGTTTGGAGGAAGACACAAAGTAGTTTCTCCTCCTTTTCACCCAGCCCGCCATCGTTTGGAGACACCAGATTAATAATTGAGCATTTATTTATTGCGCGATAGAGACAGAGGGGCGAGGGAGAGCGAACGCACTGTGAGGCTGCCAGTTTAAATCTATCTGTGGCTTGAACGACCGGGAAGCACGCCACAGCCACTCCGTAGTAGTAAAGGCGATTTAGGCTACTCCAAACACTGCACGTCCGAGAGTGCAAATAACTATCTCTCCCTCAGCGTAAAGATTGTTCCTTTTCGGCGCACAACATGAATAAGCTATACATTGGCAACGTGAGCGCCGAGGCGAGCGAGGAGGACTTCGAAACTATCTTTGAGCAGTGGAAGATTCCGCACAGTGGTCCATTTCTTGTCAAAACTGGCTATGCGTTTGTGGATTGCCCGGACGAGAAGTCTGCAATGAAGGCCATCGATGTTCTTTCAGGTGGGTACAAAAAAGTGGCATTTGGAAAGACGCACGAACTGCTGTAATTGTGTAGAGATTGCCGTTACTCGGGTCCTGTAGGGTGGGGGTGTATCCAAGCGTTTCTTTCTCTCACACAACCTTTACTTGGCCTTTTGACACCGTGGGCTCAGACAAATAGCTGCCCTGGGTTTGAGTGAAATTATGCCTTTGTAATTTCACTTGAGTGTTGCTTGATAAAATGGTCGAGTAAACACAACCATAAGGATGCGAATACTAAGGCTTTCCTAATGCAGGTTGTGTGCCGTTCAGGGCAGTGGGGCGACTATGCAGCGGGCTGTGAACGCCGTGAAGTGGACCTTTTTGTGAGCTTTATCACACAGCCCACTTTGGCACAACAGTGGCAGAGGCTGAGGAGTGTTGCCTGCTTTAACCAGCTATAGTTTGAACTTACTCTCTTGTCCAGGTTTCAAACTACAGGCCTTCTGCTGTGTCCACAACTCGCTACATTGTGAAGCCATTTCGCCCATGCTGACACACCAGGTGGTTTAATTGTGCTGGTCAAATGTAGGCCAACTAACAGAGCCTTGCGACCGTTTCCTTTTTTGTAGTATACACCACGTCTCGTGGGTTGTTATTTATTTAAAGTAACGCCTGTTCATACAGGCTACGTTAGGATTTAACTTAACTCTGTTCACATTACGTATTGGGCTAAAACCTAGCTTGTTTGTGTCCTCGTGCAGTTGGTGTCTCGCTCACTTCAATAACTGTGTTGCTTACATCACACTGTGTTGAAATTATCCACGGCTATAACGTGCAGGCAAATTAAAGCACACTATACAAAATGAATATAAACAGTGAGTGTAAACAGACTTCCCACACGCCTGAAAGTGGGTCAGTTTAATCAAATTAACAGCTGCATTTTTTATTATTTTTTTTAGGTAAAGTTGAACTTCATGGGAAAGTTCTTGAAGTGGAGCACTCGGTCCCTAAACGTCAAAGGTAGGTCGAGTTTAATTTTGTAGTGTCTAGTTCAACTCGTGGGAAGTGTAGCTTTTAATTTCAAATTATTTTCTGCAGGATATTTTTTCCCCCAACTCAGAATAGTCTTGGAGATGCTACTGCTGAACATAAATCAGCGGTGTGGGCGATTTTCTTGTAGATATATGCACTATGTCTCTTTTCCTAAATGCTCTGGGGTCAAATAAAAGGGGCGTATGGTGGTGTACTCCCTCCTCTCGCCATGGCTGTGGGTGCTCCTGAAACCACCGTGCACATGCCTGTATCTTGTCGCCCATCCCCTTGTATTTCATGTATAGGTTTTGTACTTGAACTAATGTGAGCTCAAACCTCAGGGCGATAACTAAAAGGGTGGGTGTGCTTGCTAAAATGTGTGCAGAGTAAGTGCAGGCGTACAGGCCTTGTGAAGTCGTCCATTTGAGAAGGATCTGCCCGTCATTCTCCCTGCTTGCCCTACGCTTCCGCCCTCCTCTGCACATTGTGCTGCTGTTGCATGAGATGGACTCCCAAACGCGACTGGAATGAGAGGTTTGGGGCCCAAGTCACTGAAGACCTGAACTCCTAAGTTACCCCCACGTAAACACACCGGGATGTGGTGTTTCAGTGTGTGATTCACTCAAAGAGTAGCAAAAGTGTGTTTTTAAACTCATCGTAATGTTATTTGCTCTGAGGACGTGCGTTTCGGAGGCTTTTTGGCGTTGTGGCGTATATTTTCATAGTGACGCAATTTTCTTATATAATTAATATTTGTCGTAAATTAAATGAAAATGGCTCTTGCTTTGTTTTTAGTGTTTTTGTTTCTACGAGGCATTAAATGCATGGCTGTATCTTTAAAAGTTGGTTCAAATTATCCCTGATTCACGTAAAGTAAAATGTCTGATTTTTCATGTCGAGGTGAAATGTGTGGGCTTCCAGATAATTCAACATGGCTTCTTAATTAAATAAAAAAAGTGCTGGAATCTGAATTTAGTCAAAGCAGGAGATTTTTGGACACATTCACGTGTTTTCCACCTGAAGGTCACACACGCTTCCTCTGCTTGTATGTTGGCTGTTAGCTTAAATTGTAGCTTGGATAAATACCCTTAATAAGCTACGTGATGAGCTGTGCGTCAAATCTTGACGCCTTCCTCCATATTTCCCTGATCACGAAAAGCTGGTGACGTTGCTGAGTGTTAGTGCAGCCTGCAATGGCAGCACCAGAGTCGAGTTTCAGCCACACTTCAAAAAAGTAAAAACGTGCCCTCCCTGCACAACATGGAACATAGCAATAGTGAATGGGAACAGTATTCTGGGTTTATGCTACACACACACACACTCAATCACACACACACACACTCACACACACACTTGTACACTGGGGCCCCTCTTTGCATTCCAACCTGCAAATATCAACTGGGGGCTGGGCCAATCACTGTGGCTTAACCTTTGAACCCCCCAGGAAGGGGAAGTGCTGTAGCAGACAGAGATCAAGGAGGGGCGGCTGCAGTTTTTGGGGCTCATAAAGCTGGAGCTGCGTGGGGTGATGTGCACTATGCTATTGTGTTTGGCAATTCGCTCTGGCAAAAATTCATCTTGATATACATTCCTTTTGAATTGGACATGGTTGTGGCCCAAAGCCCACTAAAATTATCTCCAGTGTATTAGCAAAACATCTGCTGCTTTCTGTGGTAACTCCTGAAAAATGAAACGTATGAATTAACAGCACATTAAAACACAAAAACAGGTCATTTCACACATCTGGTTTATGGATATAATTATTATCATAGTTATAAAATCTCAGCCATATTATCAACATATGTATACCACTTTGCTGGACATCTCCAAACGTATTATTGGCTTTTTAAAAAAAAAAATGGAATCTGGTATATAAAGATCACACCCACATGTTCTTGACAATGTCCTAAACCATTTTTTTAACTCAGAGGACAAGTGTATTGCAAACTAAAAAAATTGGCATCCACCATAATCTAACAGGTGTATTTACATTATTTAAAAGCTAGATTTGAATATTTTTACTGATGTGTTTAAAAAGGCATAATTAAAATTCAACTGAATTAAAAAAAATTATTCACAAAATACCTTATTGCAAATACTTTCTTGACTGAGCAGTTTCCATTTTTATCTTAATTTCTAAAAATATTTAAAATATATTTTCCAATTTGAGTTGGTTTTAGGAGTGCCGGTTTCATGAGCTCTGACTTGACCTGTGTCTCCTCCTGTTGGATAAATTAACATGTATGTAACTTTCCCTTCCTCACGTGAATAGACTCGCTTGGTCACATGTACGGAAAGAGAGAAAAAAAGCATGGCTATAGGAGGGGTGGCCCCAAGCGTGTGAGCGCATATGTGTGTAAGCGTGTGTGCATGAGAGCAGTATAGAAACGGATGTGTATCATGCATGTACAACACTGATTTCTCTTTCGTCATACGTAGCGTTATAGTTTTGTTTTGTGAAGTGGCAGTATTTTAATTTTTTTGCAAAAAGCTCTAGAGAGAATAAATTTAAATTAGGGCGGTGGGTCAGACATTATGGCTGCTGTTCTTTAGAAATGGCTTCTTGCTCTTTTTCAAGAGCTCTGGGTCATAGGGTCACTGTGGGGCCCCACCTGCGAAAATCCAGGATTTGGGACGAAGACTCGGGGTGCCATGGAAATTATGAATGTGGCCCCTTGTTTAACTCGGACTACTGGCAGAAGTCTCCAGCTCTCCCTCCTACTAGGCTCAAATCAGTGTCATTGTGTTTTTAGCCTGCTCTTCTGTACATATTTAATCTATCGTCTATGTGGCGGTGAAGAAGAAACACGTGTCATCTGTACAGGGGTTGAGTCATTTTGAACTGTTGACATTCAGCTAATTGGAATTCTCTGAAGGGAATTTCAACCAATCCACCCAAAAGTGTTGAACGTAGCTCACTGGGTGCATTTAAGGCCTGTGAGAGGGCAGCGGAAACCAGACTGTGTAGAGTTCAGTCATTCAGAACCTCTGCGTGCTGAATAGTCAATGGCTGTGGATGGATGGGCATTAAGCACAGATCTGGAGTGTCCCACACCGTCCCTGATGGTGCTGACGTAGATCACAAAAGCAAAGATTGATAAAAAATGGAGTTGAACTCAGGTGTGGTTTAGTCTTGTGCTGATCTTGTGAGTTTCCCTGTGGTGTGTGTTTGTGTGCGTGTGTATGCTTGCATATGTGTCTACGCACGATCTCGTGTCCTCATGGAGGAGGCCCATAGTGTTAGCTGAGTGGCGGAGAGGAGGGCGAAACATGTCGAATATTTGGTCCAGTTTTTAAAAGTAAATAAGGAGCCGGGTCTCCTCCTGGCCATCACATGACGAGCCAACCCCAGTCACTTCTGGACCTCCCCTCCTTCCCCTCCCTCCCACTTTTAACCCCGCTCTACATGTTCCTGTCAGTGGACTTGTCCGTGTCCATGGTAACAGGGCCCCACCCCCACCGGGCAGAGAGGGCCCTTGTTACCCTTGCCTGAAACGGGGCTAGCAGGGCTAGTTTCCCCCCCAGCCCACATACACACCACACCCCTCTTGCACCGCCACCCCCCTTCCCCAAATCAAAGGCTGGGACTGGGGAATGTATACCGACCCCAACCCCCTCCCTGCCCCACACCCTGGCTGACTTCTTCTGTGTGTGGAGCTATAGGTTAATCCGACTGGAAGTGCTTGGTGCATTTGCACATTTCGCATGGCGTTCCCACCGCAATGCAGAGCATACAGAATGTGAGGGAAGGGGGGGGGGTCAGGATCAGCTAGGAATGGCACTGTGGGCCGGAAAGGGCTGGGATTCCTCTTGGAAGTTATTTGGGAATTTTCTTTACTATTTGCCCATTTAGAATGAAGTAGTTCCCTAATGTCTCAAATTAAATACGCCGTTGAGCTCCTCTTTGCTCGATCATGGTCGCACAGGCTAAGCTGAGAAATCTCAACTGCTGCAACAAACCTTGTTGCACACGTTTGGCGTGTTTGCAGATGTTGTGTAATTTTTAAATTTTTTTGAATAACCTTTTTTTGTCCTTATTAAATTTGAATTCATAGCATTAAGTAGTTTATGGAGGCTGCACATTGTAAGGTGTTATCTTCTACACAGCAGATTACAAAACAACCATTACAAGTGGAGCAAGTAGATGAGCTGCATTTTTAGACATCATTTAACAGCTCACTGAAGCCTGAGGGAAAGAACAAGAGACGTGTGGAGTGTTAGCTGTGTAAGTTTTTACACAGGAGGCACAAAATTGTGTCCTCAAACTATAGAGGCTAAATGAGCTGCATATGTATCAAGTATGTGCAGGGTGAACGTAAGGCCGCTGTTGAAATGGGTTGGGGTCAGAGTCTGTGATTCCACATTGTGTGTGTTCACGCTTGAGTTCTCTCTCTCAGCCATATGTACATTTTGTTCCTTTAGGTTTGTGTGTGTGTGTGTGTCAGCGGGCAGGGGGACTTTGGAGCGGCCTGCCCCCTTCTCACATTTTTATACAACATCCACATGCAGGCGGACACTTGTGAAACTCTGTGACTCATTGATCCACAAGTTCCATTGTCTGCATGACCTCCGCACACAGCCAGTATACTCATACGCATTCATAACATGGTGCTGTACACAAACTCAGTAAATGGGGAACCTTCAAGCTAAAAGGGTGAATTGGGGATGTTTGTCCTGCTTGTTTCTAGCACAGCAGCACCATTGTGGCTGCTGCTCTCCACTTGCGTCCGCTGTGTGCACACACTCCATAAACAAGCATGCAGTTTTGATCCTTCCTATGTAGTGTGACGCTGCCGGTGGAGATTCCCCTCGGTTTCCTTTTTTTTTTTTTTTTTTATTCTGTTTTTTTTTTTTGCACCTGCACACCCTTCCTCCCCTTCTGACGCCCATTTCTGATTCAACAGCTGGACGCTCCTGGTTGAGTGTCTTATTGGTTGGATTCACAGCGGTTGAACCCCTATGGTGCAGTACTTCAGAGCACATCCTTGACTCGAAACGTGTAGACAAAACATTCTGATACAGCATATCTTGCCTTTTTCAGCCTGTTTCTCCCCTCGCTCTGCTCTCCTATGACTCCTTTGTCCACCCTGTTTCCTGCTTATCTTGTTCGTCTTGCCCCATGTGATACCAGCAGTGATTTGGAATTAAGGGTGTGGTGCGTTTTAGCTTAATTTTAATTTTGAGCACCCTCAACTCAATTTAGGTCGCCCAGTGGTGATTTTAAATCGCCCCTTTGCCTGCTTTTTCTCCATCACTTCCTCCCTGGTTTTACCCAGGGTGCCTCAGTGCACCTGCTGGGTTGGGAATGGAATTAAAGCAGAAGTCATATCTGCAGCTTCTCTACCCTGGTCTGTTTCACGAGGAAGGCTGATAGGGGGAAAAAAAACCTACTGTGTTTTTGTTGTCCTTCATTTTGATAAGACACCTTTACAGTCATTTGTATCACTGTGCCTTTGGTATTATCAGCTACTAACTATCTTTTCTCTCCCTCTTCCTCACCCCCATTTACCTTCATCAATTCCCTTCTCCTCCCTCCTCCCTTATCCATCCCCCACCCTCCTCCTCCCTTGTTCTCCCTCCAGGAGCTGTAAGCTGCAGATCAGGAACATCCCGCCTCACATGCAGTGGGAGGTGAGTGCTAACGGGCTTCTGAATGCTTCCAGGGCGGGGCACCATCGGGCAGTCCAACTGGGCACTCGATTAGTGGCCACTGGAGTCACCTCTGCTTCCTTTTCGGGTTTTGCTTGAGTTTGATAGTGTGTTTGACAAAGGCAGCAGATGAGGCAGGTGCAACACACCAAGCGGTGGGTGGAACTGTGATTGTTGAAGCAGAACTGATTGCAAATACAAGTTGGAGATGTGATAATGAAGATTGTAAGATGCAAGTTTAAAATGTAGCTGTTCGGCCCATCAGGGGATCCAGTTTGAATTTACATTTGGGAATTTTAAAAGGATTACATAAGGAAGGTGTATAGTGAAAGTGGAAGTTCACACATGAAGACAATTACAGCAGTCACGTGGTCTTTGTAGCAGGAGCTACATGTGTTGGCTACCAGGAGGCTTGTTATTAAAGCACAAAGATTCCTTGACTGTTGAGTTGATTTGAATTGATTCTCGACTTGCACCGGATCTGATGTGGGGGGAAAATGACGTAATTGTTCTGTCAGGCAGTCTTTTGACACGAAACTGTACAATCTGGGTTGAGCGCTGGTGCGTATTTAAACCATGTGTTTCCTCGCAGTTTAAAATAAAAGCAAAACAAACCAAAAGAGTATTATTGAGCTGTAAAACATTGATGAGATGAGAGGTTGGCGTGGCCACTTGTCGACCAGAGTGTGTACGTCTTCCCGGGTTTATCTGCTATCATTTTGCTTTGCTCCTGTCAAATTTAGACAGTTGATTTGATAAGGCTCATTTGCGGTTATATTTGTACGGCTGTCATGCAAGTTTTGGGTTAATGAAGGTTTCCTTGTGTCTTTTTGATATGAATTAGATTGACAAAAATTAAATTATTTTAATGATATTAAATCAAGAATCAGGATGTTAAAAAGAAGCTAAAAGTTTGAGGCTTAAATTTAAAAATATGACTCATCCAAAAGAAATTAAACAATGAATTAAAAAAGTGTTGTGGAGAGTAATGATTGATAAATATCCAAATATGACAATCATTAATGCAACACACACCTCAATTTACAACTTTATATACTTGACACACATGGTGCAACTCTCATTCTGCTTATATGTGTGAACTTTCCAGTGATCCAACTGAATTGACTGAAAAAAATATATATTTTCCTCATGTTTTAAAAAAGGGCTAATTTTATTTCAATAATATCAAACAAAAAAATCCTTAAATTGCTCTTAAAAATAGTGGCTGCACGCAACTTGTTAACTGACGTTTATGCTAAATTGTGTGGGTCAGTAGAACTAAATTTGGATTAAATAGAAGCTGCACCTGTTTGTATTTTAAAGCAGAAAATTAAACCCTCAAATTTTCTTTGACCGATTCTTTAGACAAGCATTTTAAATAGTTCATGTGTTACTGTCTGCTCCACATAACCTGAACCCATGAGCTCGTGGCTGGTCTGGGATTAAAACTGAGTTTACGGTGTAAAAACTGCAGCTCAAGGTCAGAGTTAAAGTCAAAGTCAGTCACATTTTTTTTTTTCCAGGAAGGGTTAAGGGGCAAAAAAGATGCCACGTAAAAATGAAAAATATCAATAGAGCTGGTGAGCTGTAACGTGGTCAGATTTCAAGGCCACTGCCTGATTAGAGAAAAAAAAGGGTTAGTGTTGAGCAACAGTCTTGTGTCAGTGCGTGTGTGTGTGTGTGTGTGTGTTGGTGTGTGTTTATTGCATGTCTTTTTCTCCCTCTGTATGTGATAAGAGTTTAATTTAAAAGTCCTCTGTAATGCAGTGTCAGCGTGACATTCTTCTGATTTTCTGATCCGCTTGGCACATCTACACGTTTTTGCACTCTTATAAATTTCAGCGAAACCTGTTTTCAGAAATAATTTGTGTCAAACTTCTTATCCCACTGTTAACCTCCATGTGGGATCTTATGTGCCATGAATGCAGTTTTACGTGACCTTTTTTTCCCCCCTCCTCTGCAGAGGTTTAGCTTGGTAGCGTACGCTTACAGTGTTTCAGCTCAACCTTCTGCACCATACAGAGCATTAAAGCCAAATGGGAATTTTCTCCTTGAATTACAAACCATTGTTTGTTAATGTTTTAAAGTATGAGCTCTAGATTTCATGATTCACTCACTGGTGATCAAAAGGCTACGGACAGGCTCAGTGTTTTGTAATGGTGTGCTCGATTTGCCTACACATGTCCCTCAACTGCAGCTTCAGATCCACCCATGTTCGTAGCATGTAGCGAGCGAGCTGTTTGCCTTTTCAAAAGGTGACATGGAGGTTTGTGTCCCTCAGGAGGGGGGAGGGGTTGAAGGAATGCAAGAATAGAGGAGAAAAGGCTCTTTTGATGCAAAGGCCTTGAATGTATCTTATCAGGTAGATAAGACAATGGGTCAGAGTGTGTGAAGCCCTGCAGCGAGAGAATTCTGGTGTTAGTAGTGGCGTGTTCACAAGCTGTAGTGGGTGGGTGGGCCGGAACGGTTTCCCCTTCCCCTCCATGTGTGCCGATTCACAGAATGTGTAGCATGAACTCGCACCCCTCCCCCAGCCCCTGCTTCCTGCTGGAATGTACCCCACCCTTTCCTGAATGGCCTGGATTCCCATTGGCCGAGCTGGATAGACGGACAGGCAGAGAATCCAGCAAGCAGCCGGCGACTCTAAGCCTGAGGAAACTCATAACGGTGCTGAAGCAGCCAATGATGGAGAGGAGATGGCAGGGAGGCGGGAGGTTGCATGCTTGGTTGGTGGGTTGGTGGAGCGGGGGGCAGGGACGCTGTCTTGTTGGCCAGAAAGTGGGGTTGAGCTCTTGGGGGTGTGGCCTTGCGTTGGACTGAGCATGGTCGGATGTCTTAGCTTAGCTTAGAACCCTCGCTCCCCCTCTCGCCCACAGTTGATCACATCTATGAATTGAAATCCTCTGGTCTCCAGGTTTGGGCAGTTGTCCAGCGTTGCGTGGAATTTTTATTTGGACAAAGACCCTCTTATTTGTTCTTTCTATTTCCGTATCTTTAAGTCAACTTCTGGTTTTGAATTTTTAAATCCTCTTTTTCCAGCATGTCAAAAAACCTCAGAAGTCAAAGAGAAACTTATGAACGTGTGTCCCTGACTGATTAAAACCAGTGCATGCTGCTCTGTTTACAAATTTAAAATTAATATTATCTCTTAAAAATGATGATTTTACCATAAATACGCAGGTTCTTTTTTAAAATAGACATTTAGAAGCAGTCAAACCCACTCAACACCCAGAGCTCCTTGTTGGTTCCCATAGGAGAGGGTCATAATTTGAAGTAGAAAGGCTTTTACAAGAAGGCTACAAATTTCTCTACGTAACTCAACATTGAACTCTGGGGTTCAGAATTAATGGACTGTGTCCTGGCGGTGAGTGGGGCTGGTTCCCACAGATGAGCTCCTGCTCTTAAACAGGTTCTGGTCAAATCCCTTCAAAGTCTCCAATAATCATGGCCTATCTTTCTTCTTCTTTTCTTTCTCTCTCAGGTGTTGGATGGTATGCTCGCTCAGTATGGTGCGGTAGAGACCTGTGAACAAGGTAAATATAACTCTTTGCGTTAAATATATTCCATTGCATCGCCCCGCTGCTTTAAAATTTAATCATTTATCCGTAGTGTTAAAATGCACAGTGATGTTTTAAAAAAAATCGCAGGAAAAAATTACAAAAGATTGAATTTAATTGTTTACCTTTGCAAAAGTAGTCCAAGGTTTTTAAACTGTGTCACTGTCACTGCATGTGTGTGAATTGACTCTGCTGTGTGATCTCCCGCAGTAAACACTGACACAGAGACTGCAGTAGTCAATGTTCGATATGCAGCCAAGGACCAGGCCAGGCTGTGAGTACACACGCACACCGTGCACAGACACACACAGACACAGACACAGACGCACATGCAGTGTAGTGTATTCACGCCATAAAACCCCCGCTCATCTGTCTCCATGCCTGTGATGTGGATCTTCTGTAGTTTTTTACAGCCTCCTCTTCTGGAAATGACACCAACTCTCTCTGTCTAGTGTTCTTACATTGCACCTGATTTCCTCCTTTCCAAAAACCAGTCCACTTTAATTTGACATGCAATGATGATGGGGATGGGAAGAGGGGGGGGGGCAGCAGTTCATGTGTGTTTTGTCGGAGAGGGAGGGGGTTAAATTAGCCATCTGGTGCCCCCTGGTGTAGATGAATCTTACTGCAGTGCTGCTCTGCACGAGTGGTTGTAGGAGTCTCCAAGCATGATTGATTGTTTCAGTGCAAATCTAAATCCTGATGCTGACACAGCAGACATGTTTTGAGTCTGGATGCTCTTGATGTTGGAGTGAATTTCTATTGGCTCATGAAAAAGGATGTTTAAACCGCTGCCCCTCTGATTTGTTGAGCTCGAGTTTTTACCCTCATGTCCTTTGTGACCGTCACTGCTGGAATGGAGTGTAATCTTATGCAGTACTCTCATGTTTGAAAAGATCCTTGCTCCTTGGATACTGAGTGGTAGAATAGACTGTAGCCAACCCTAAAGCTTCATATCCATTACCATGACTTGATTTCATCCTGCATGATCATTTCCCTTTACCTATCGAGAAGCGATCAGGAGTTTAAAAGATGTTTCTTGATTCTCTACAGGGCGGTGGAGAAGCTGAATGGGTCTATGATGGAAAACTATGCCTTGAAAGTATCGTATATCCCAGATGAGACAGCAGTCCAAGAAGGTCCATCAGCAGGAGGCAGGAGAGGCTTTAACGCCCGAGGAACCCCTCGTTCCGGTTCTCCAGGTCTGGGTGCCAGGCCCAAAATGCAGTCAGACATCCCCCTGCGCTTGCTGGTTCCCACGCAATTCGTCGGGGCGATCATCGGGAAGGAGGGCTGCACAATCCGCAACATCACCAAACAGACTCACTCAAAGTACGTAAACAGAGGTCAGAGTTATACTGAACACTGCTAATGTGCTGTTTACTCTGTATTTGAAATACCACCAACTTCTGTCCTTTCCACTTTGTATGACAAAGACGCTCATGGATAATGAAAACAGGAAAAACTTTGAGAGATAAAATATTCATAATTTTAAAATCAGTGCAAACCAGCTCCTTTGATAACATTTTAACACTGTTCACAGTATTTAGTACTTGTCAAAATCCACATTACAGTCTTTTTTCAAAAAAACACAATATAAATGTAAAATCAACATTTTGAACAGATTTGGTGCATGTTTCTTTTTCAAGGAAGACCGGTCCAAGAACAAGCAAACACGTAGTTTCAGTCAAATTAAACCGAGTCTTTGCATTAAAGATTTAAAATCACAGAGCATTACCCAAGTTTGGAGTGAAGTCTAGTCTGTAAGTTATCCCAAGTGAAAGTTGCAGAAAACCTGGAGGCTATCTGTCCAAGGAACGAAGGCTGCATGTCCTGTCCTTGGGGACCAGGACAGAGGAAAAGGTAGACTGGGACTTTGCCCAGAATGGCCCAATAAATAAAAGTGTACCAGTGCGGGAGTCGCCTTGTGTTGAGAGCAGGCCACTTAACTTTGACATAAAGAAACACTGAGGTGGATCAGAAAGCCACAGTCTGTAATAAATCTCAGAGCACCATGATGCACACTGTCCCGCATATGAAGGCTCTGAACAGTGGCGTGCATGTGTAACACATTACCATAATCATCAAGGATTGGTAAAAATGCACTCTCTTTTAACACTGAAGAAGAAGGACTTATGTGTAAAATATAAACCCAACAGAACCTTCAGCTTCTTGTGGCCATATACTGAATGTGCCCCTTAAAAGATGATAAGTATTTAAAAGACGAAACCTGTTTCATGGCCGTCTTTGGTCAGAATTTTCTCCGACAGTGCTCTGTCAGTTTTTGAGGATGTAAAGACCATGAGTTTTGTGTCGTCTGTCACATAAAATCAGGAAAGGCTCATGTCTCACAAAGTGACTCAAACAAGAGGACTGGATCAGCACTTAATGAGCATGCCTTACATGTATATTGCTCATAGTCTCAGAAAGCTCATATGCCTGTGGCCAGTGTGGTATCTTCTTTTACAGTAGGACAGAATGGTTACGTCAAGCTTGCAGAAATCAAGAGAGTACAGTCTACAACTCTGAGACAATTAGTATGATTCAGTATGATCCAACCAGCTGAGAACACTGTGACATTAAAAATTCCCCCCCAGTGGCCTAAATTTCAGTAATTAAGCCTCTCTTGAAGCCCAGAAAACGATTGTTTTTACCATATTGTGAGGTTGTAATGTCTTTCAAAAAAGGTAACATCTAATTGGCTTCTTTGTTCTGCAGTTCAGTGAGTTTTACCCACAACACACCTTGTGATTCATTTCAACACAGGCAGTAGAAAATGTTTCATGTGGTGGAGATCATCGTTCTGCATTTCACAGCAGAGTTTGTCCTCTCAGAAAGAGGATTGTTGAAAGTGCAAAGTGACTTGGGGAGTTCCCCAAGGTTCAACCCTCGGGCCTCTACTTTTTTTATGTAACTGTACCACCAAAGACTGCTTACCACACAAGTTATGCAGAGAAAAAAAAGATTTCAGTTCCACCAACATGTGATGTAACACTGAATATAGGCAGTGAGGGGAAAAGCAATTAGTTGTGTTCGAGTTTCTCAGTCAGACTTGAAACGAAGAGGTTTTTACGGTGAGATTTGTGATAAGAAGTTACTTCACAGCCTTTGGTGTCAGAGTTAGGAAACCCAAACTTGTTCATATTGGTCTCTAGCTGATTTTACTGTGGTCTAAATGTTCTCTGTAACATCATAACTTTGATGAAAAGCTGAAAAAAACAAAACAGAATTGTATAAAAAATAAAAAACAGCCGCCTGGATTTGTGCACTACATATCCGGACTAAACTCTCAGAGATCCAGAGATCTGATCAGACTCTGTTCTTTTAAAACAGGGCTCAATAGAAATGCTCAGCCAGGCAAAAGAGTCCTCAGCAAACTTTGGGATGACTTGATTATATCATGATCTACACAGTGATTGTTCTGCATTACAAAACTGTGTTACACTTCCATTTTTTTCCCTTGTTGCATCATTTTTCCACAAGTTCTTTTCAAAGTTTTCTTTTTTAAAAATGTATAGCTTTTCTCTGACTTAATACCTCATGAAAACTCTCAAAAAACTGCGTCAGCTTGTTGCTTAAAGGTGCCGTTATCTGTCCCGTCTCTCTACAGGATTGACATCCATAGGAAAGAGAACGCAGGTGCAGCAGAGAAGCCCATCACGATTCACTCCACCCCTGAAGGCTGTTCGAGCGCATGTGCGGCTATCATGGACATCATGCAGAAGGAGGCCATCGACACGAAGTTGTGAGTTTTGAGACGTAAAAGAATCAAAAGCGTTTTGAGAGTTTTTCTTTGGTTTAACTGGGTCCAAAATCCTCTGAAAACCTTATTTCTAGCACAGAGATTTACATAAGTTTTCAAATTTAGCCGCCTTTTTGTGGCTACTTTTTCAAACAGTGTTTTCATTGTTTTCCTCCTAACAGCTCAGTTTAAGAATAATGTCAGATGGTATGTGGGAATGGTATTAAATGCATGCTGTGAGCACACGATTATTAGCAAAGTTGAGTGTTAGATCAATGCCAAGAACTCATTTGTGAGGCCGTTATTCAAACCTGAAGGTACTTTTGAGCTTTTAAGTAGTTTAGGGTAGACAGAAATAAGCCTCAAGCTTCAGCTTTTCCTTTTTTTTGTCATTGAATGTGCGAACTTTATCGTGTGAAATGGAAAAATGTAAACTTGCAAAGAAAATCCTTGTATTTCTAAATTTAATATTCACACATACTCTAGATTCTCTTTGAAAGAAATAGTCATTCAAACTAAACAATTATTGTGTCTCGTTCAGTACTGAGGAGATCCCACTGAAGATACTTGCACACAACAACTTTGTAGGAAGATTAATCGGTAAAGAAGGAAAGAATCTGAAGAAAATCGAGATGGATACGGGCTGCAAGATCACAATTTCATCGTAAGACTTTTTCTCTTTTCTTTGTAGCCTCTGCATCCCATTCATGCTCAATACATATTTAATGTTGTATTTGCCGTGAAACTCGCGCATCACTTTTCTTATTATTATTCTCTTTATTTTATTGTGTAGTTTGCAGGAACTGACTTTGTACAACCCAGAGCGGACCATCACAGTGAAGGGCCCCATTGAGGCGTGTGCCAGAGCTGAAGAGGAGGTGATGAAGAAAATCAGGGAATCGTACGACAGTGACATGGCTGCTATGAATGTAAGTATACTCGGTAAATACGAAAAAAGGCTTTGCTGCATGATGGAGAATAACTTCACTCATCACTGGTACACACATCTGCTACAGAAGCCCTTTGTATGCTAAATTACTGTGATATTAATGCACAAAATGTGGCAAACTCTTAGTCCCCTCTGCTTAAAAAAATCTTACACTGCATGACCACTTTGCTATATATTTATTTTTTTGGAGCAAAAAGACTGAAAACCTGGGATATTTGATTAAAGCTGCTGTAAGGAATTTTAGATGTGTTGGTTTTTGGTGCCCCCTGTAAGCAACAATGTGGATGTGATCACTTCTAGTCTTGTCCTGTACAGCCGAGATGGTGTTTTCTGCCTTAAAAAAATCTATGCATGCTTCCTTTAATCCTAAAAAAATTGCCCAATCTGAAGATTTCAAAGATGCTTTTTCTTCAGTCGTCTTAAATGTTCGAATAGATCCTACTGTGGCTGCCTTTTAACCAAAGGCCTACAGGTGTGCACACAGGTTTAAATGTGGGAGTATCTGTGTTACTATTTCTGCTGTTTTTGGATTAACAGTGGTAAACCTGTTAGTGTTTAATTTGAAATGAAACGATACGGGGTATTGCACAGCGAAGGAGGTGATATCTCAATAACATGCACAGAGGTTGAGAACTCTTAAGATTGATCTTCAGTCAGAAAAGTAGCACTAATAAAATCGTGACTGTCACTTTTCTAAGTGCATGCACTCCTGGTTCGCTGTCCGTCGCTCTTTCTTGACCTCCAGCTGATTAAAAATCTGGATTTCAATAAAAAGCTACTGTGTTTTGAATTTGACACCAGTTCTAATAGCAGTAAATCACATTTAAAATTATGTTTGAGTTCACTTATTTCTGATCATTCTCCAGTGCATCAAAGTAAACTCCAGACATTATATACATTAAGTTCATAAATACTTCTTACATGTCAGCAGTCATAGAAATTCTGCATTAAATCTGGTCTTTTTTTTTTGGCCTAACGCAGATCACATCTCTTAAACAGAGTATTGGAGCGACAGTCAAGATTTTTTTTAGGCTTAAATTTTCTAAAAACTCCTTTTCCTCTTGAGAAAATAGAATGGATCAGTCATACTGTTACAAAACTAAAGGCATCGTGTAACAAGAATAAAGTCATAGTTGTGTTTTAAGGTGAGGAGCTTGTCCCTGAATGAGAAATGTGGAGCGTCTCTTTAAATTGTACTTGGTGTTTTGACACTTCAACTGTCACAGGTGTAAGTATCAGGACTTGAAAAGACTGCAAATATCTAAGTTGTGTGGTGCCCTCCTTTAACACTGCATTACACTGCTGACCATTGACTTAATTGATGGCTTTAAATATGATTTCTCCATGACTTTATTCTTGTAAGAAAACAACCTTGAAAAGTGTGAATAATTTTTATTCTAAATCTAAAACCTAAAACCCTGACACACACACCTACATCTCTTGACATTTTCTACATACAATTAAGACTGAAGCATTAAAGCTTGGCAGAGAGACTCTTAGAAAAAAAAAAAAAAAAAGACTGACTGCCCAGTTTTAAGAAATACCTTCTCATATCAGAAATCCCACCACTTCATTAACACAACCACACTGTATGAACCAGATCTCAGAGAGTGAGTGCACATCTGTGATTTAATTGTCACTAAAACTGTCCTCCTGTCTCTGCAGCTCCAGTCGAACCTGATTCCAGGCTTGAATCTAAATGCTCTGGGTTTGTTTCCTGGTGGAGGACCAGGTATGAGTCCCTCCATGTCCAGCGTCCCACCTCCTGGAGCACACGGTGGATGTCCATCATATGGAGTAGGTGTCCTTGTCACAGCGTTTCATTTTTCCCCATTAAAAAAACGTGCAGACCCAGGAGTGGCTGTGCATTTGATTGAAATCTGTGGGTCAGGTTAGAAAACCAAAGCGGATTTTTAGTCTTTAGCAACTCTGTTTCTTTTTCCCTTTAGTGCAGTCCTTATGGGGGTGAGGGGCCATTTTGGGCTTCTATGCTGTCGGCGAGCAGCCCGCCCCTCGCTGTAAGTCACCCGTCCCAAAGTGCTTTGCACGGCTTGTGGCTGCTCGCTGCGGGATTAGGGGGCGGGGTCTGCTACATGAAAGTTGTTCCTCTAGCTGCCCCTTCATCTGTGACCTTTTTGGAGAGGCCCGAATCTGTGTGCTGTTATGAATCGGGTGCATGGGAAGACAAAAGACCTGTAGGGCAACAATGCTTTGTTTTTAGATCGGCTTGTTTCTCATAGTAACGCTTGTGCCAAACATGTCACATTAGCATTTTTTTATCAAGGTGGATGTTTTTTTAACAGCAAATAATACATCCTCTGAAAGGCCTTCTCCAGATTCAGAAGCTGCCAAATCAAGTTGTTAGTGTGCCCTCAGCTGACTCATTGATTGGATTATTGGGCTCCATCCAAAAACTTGTTGTTTCGACTCTTTGACTATGCAACAGCCTCCTCTGACTGAGCCCAAGTCAATCACATATAAAGATGAGTTAAGTCTTTGCAGAGAGCTGCCTGTGTTTCTGTAACCTCTGGGTATGTATGTCTCTTCTAACCAGCTGATTTTAAGAGAGAGGCATGAGCTCTAACATAGCTTCAAGATCTGAACTGCTTTAGCTAGATCCACTGTCTGTATTTTCTCATCAGGGGCTGAGATGATAATCTCCTGATCGCACTAGTTGTAACATACTTTTTTTCTCTTTTTGCCCAGCAGGGACACCCAGAGTCAGAGACAGTTCACCTCTTCATCCCTGCACTGGCGGTGGGAGCCATCATCGGAAAACAGGGTCAACACATCAAGCAGCTGTCACACTTTGCCGGAGCCTCAATCAAAGTGAGCGACACACAGAAAGCGAATTTCTGAATCCCAATGATAACTTTTCCCCGGCTGTCTACCCACATTAATTCTGATTGATAGTAATTGGAGGCATAAATGAATTTCGCTGTTTTTGTTTTTAATGCTTGCCGTCTGCCTTTCGTCAGATTGCCCCTGCAGAAGGAATGGATGCCAAACAGAGGATGGTCATCATTGTTGGACCGCCAGAGGCTCAGTTTAAGGTGTTGTACCTCATCACAGCCACAATAAACTCATAAATACACCATTGCTAGATAATAGAAGACAGAACAATCTAATAAAATTTGATTATTGCAGCTGTTGAGCAGCCAGTTTTTAAAATCTCTTTTTATGAGGATGATTGTGACTCTTAACAGCCAGGACAGAAATGTTTCTTCTTCTTCTCTAGAAAAATCTAATAATCTCCATTTCCTCAGTACAGCAAGAGTAATCTGTTCTTGTTCGGCTGCAGGCTCAGTGTCGCCTCTTCGGCAAGCTGAAGGAGGAGAATTTCTTTGGACCCAAGGAGGAGGTGAAGCTGGAGGCGCACATCAAGGTTCCCTCCTTTGCTGCTGGACGAGTCATCGGGAAAGGGGGAAAAACGGTAAACAAAGACACGATTTCTGTATCAGTGCGCAAGCTAAACCAACAACAGAAGCTTAATTCGGCAGTAACTAAAAGTACATAGAGAATGAGACTTAATTTTTTTTTTTTTTTTGCAGGTAAATGAGCTGCAAAACCTGACCTGTGCAGAGGTGGTGGTACCCCGGGACCAGACGCCCGATGAGAATGACCAGGTTATAGTGAAGATCAGCGGACACTTCTTTGCTTGCCAGGTGGGTTTGTATGGAAGAGTGAAGTAATGCAGTGTCTTTAATAACTTAGAGTCACATGACTGTTTGTTCATATTCAAACTGTAATAAGACAGACGGATTCAGGTGCATTAGGTCATCAGGAGTAGTTTGTATTTAATCCAGCAGAGGGCGGTGTTGGCGAAACCTGATCAGAGTTTATAGCTCAACTGTCAGACATGGCCATAACAACCTACTAACCCATATTAACAAAGTGTATTTCCATTTCAAAGACGGCTCATGTAGCAGAGTCATCTAGAGAAACAGCAGACCTTAGATTTATGCCACCATCAACCAATCAGGATTGAGTGCTCGACACAGCAGGGTTAAAAGAGGGGGACTATAGTTCGAGCACCTCGGTCTGTGGAGGTATGTGGACTCCTCTGTTTGGTAAGATTTTGTGTTTCCTGTATGTTCCAGCTGGCCCAGAGGAAGATTCAAGAGATCCTGGCCCAGGTGAGGAGGCAGCAGCAGCCCAAGCCCTCACCTGGAGCCCAACCTGCAATGCCCCGCAGGAAGTAAGGATCCGGCAGACCCGGAGGAACGGTGACCGAAATCTGCCAGAAGACTCGACAGATGGACTGATGCAGCAGAGTCCGGGGGGGAGCAGAAGAAGAAGAATAAGAAGACAAGGGGTTGAAACGCACATCTCAGGGGTCAAAGGTTATCTGAACCTAACCAAACACCTGCCCCTTTTTGTCTTACTTGGAGAACTTTCAAGTGTGGCGAATAAGAGACCCTACGCCTCTGAAGCTCCGCCCCACCTCAACTCGTTGCATCTCTGTGAGAATGTACTTCTGAGGGCTACCAACACCGTCACCCGCCCTCACACGTACACACCCCTCGACCGCTCTCCTCCCCCCTCCCCCACGGGTGTGTTAAATTTATTTTTTGTCCTATTTTTACACTAGAAACACAAAGAAGAAATAAGGATCCCCCTCCTATCACCTCCTGGTGTGGTACTTCAAACCTGACAAGATGTTTTGGTTGACTTCAGATTTAGTTGGAATTTTTTTAAGTGTTTAATTGGTTGATGAAGCTTTCTCATGAGTTTTTTCTGTGGAAAGGAAAAGGCATTGCTATCGAGGTCCAGTTTGGACCAACAGAGGTTTATTTTGGGGGAGGGTTGGCTCAGATTGGGTGGGCCATGTTAGGGGAAAGATTCTTGTTTCAGGACAGGACCCCTGAAAGGGTGGATTATATTGGGCGTCCTGCCCTTGTAATGATAGTGGCATTTTATAAATTTGGATGCATTTTATAGATAGACCTATATACATAGATGAATATATATTTAGAGGTGAGGGCAGCGCTATGACTGACACTTAGGGAAATGGTGCCGAACTGCTGCTGCCCAGGAAAACCAATTTAATATGCATTTTACTTAACTACCTCAGGATCTAGTACCTCAGAAGAGAAAAGAAAATGATTATATATATATGAAAAAATGTTCCTTTCTTTTTTTATTTTGCTTTTGTGGTATTTTGTATACTTTATAAAGCTGATAGTCTTTGAACATTTTTATTTTTTTAAGAAAAATTTAAAATTTGGTCAGCTGCCAACTGACCATGCCTTCAACTCTGGTGCTTTAGGCGGCATTGTTCATGTGTTCATGTGTGACTTAAGATGACCCTGTACATAAAGTCTATTTGTACATAGCAGCCCCAAAGCACGAGTTGGCGCCCCCTCAGCTGGCGGCTGACAGGAGTAACGAGAGAAAATAGCCTCAGTTTTTCCCCCTGAGGGTCCACCATCTTCTGAAAAACGACAAAACAACTAAGACATGCAAATAATGCCAACAGTACATAATCGCAGCAATGCCATTTAGTTTTGGGATTGACATTATTATCGGTAATGGTACTTTAATTTGTCAGACATAAATCCTTTTCGCCTTCCTACGAGGGCTGTGGTCAGGGCAGTGTGGACTGTCACGGTCCTTCAGAGCGTCTGTTTCCTGTCTTTTCTGTTCTCAAACCATCTGCCACCTTCTTCTCGATGGTTTCCAACAAGGCCCCAGCCTGACTAGGTTTTATTTTCATCAAGCAAGCTTTGTCAGCTCGGAGTGGCCCTTGTAACGTCAGAGTCAATGCTATCATCGTTCACTGCATGGTGAGGGTAGGGGGAGTCACACTGATAGACGCATAAGATTTATTTTTTACGCTATAGGAAAATTAATTTAAGCAATCTCTGTATCCCACAAGTGTAAGTCTTTGTTCAAACAGGGAAAACGAGCCAGAAAAGGGCCACAGATACTGACTGATCTCTCACTGGGGGTAAGAAAAGAGGAAAAGTATTCAACACTTCATAAATATACGATTTATTTCATTTTGTCTCTTCATGCCGAATGTAAATATGTTGATTGTGGTAAAAGTGCTCGAGTGTATCCATGCTTCCACAGTAGAACGCCGTCTACCTCAGCTGAGGGGGTGGGGGGTTGTTGTGGCACTAGGCACCCACCCCACCCTGCCCCCACTGAGTGCCAGCGCGCACTGATACCTCAGTCCCCCTGAACACTTCTTTCTACATGGGCGCGCCATCCCCGTCACCGCGCTTAACTGAGGGGCACAAGTGATACTTAAAATTATCCCGACACCTCCTGCTTTTCCCCTGCCTCCTTCCTGCCAAACCGCCCCTTCCTCTCCTCCTCCCTCTGCACCCCTCCTCTTTCTCCTCCTCCTCCTCCTCTGCAGTTTGTTTTGATCTACCTCTTTAGACATGTATTTGAAGTAGAGGCATTCTTCTATTTGTTAGGATTTAGCCCCCTGCCCCTCCTTTATTGCCCCCCATGCTTCCCCAGATATGAATGAAAATTAAACTAAAATCATGTACTATTTAGAATTGAGAGAAAAAATTGAAAAGTGATCAAAAATATTTTCTTTTGCCAGTGTTTATATATACTCTTTTTGGCTTAATTGAAATTCTCAAACGATGGTTCTTTCTTTCTGCTTTCTAATTTTTTGGTGGTGTGGCTTACATGTATTTGAACTTTTGCTTGGGTTTTTTGTGAAAAAAAAGGTCAAATCACGTGTTTGATTTTGCATTCAATAGTTAAATGGGGAAAAAAAACATTTTTTTCTTTAAAAAAAAAAAAAAAGGGCCTGCCTCTTTTTTTTTTTTTTTTGTTTCTGATTTGTAAGATTTCCAAATAGATACAAGTCCTGTCTTTTTTTTCCCTTTTTGTCTTTCACTGATGCTACACTCACTCGCTGATTTGGTAGCTGTTTTTCTTCTGTTAGCGTTTCTTGGCTGTGTAACGTGAAACATCCTCTTGGTATGAGACAGATTTGAGGGACTGGGTCTCTGAGTTATTTGGAAAAGTGATCTAACTTCAGCATGATATTCCCTCCTCCCCCTCTCTGCAACCATGCTTGTGCCCCATCACTTCCCCTTCACACACAGCTCCACTTGTCAAAATGCCTCTGAATAAAAAAAAAAAAAAAAAAAAAAAAAAACAATCAAATCTGCTCGTGTCTGACTGTTTTTTGGTGTTGGATTTGTTGCTACTGGCTGAGTGTTTAAGTCTAAAGGCAGTGGTTGCCGTGTTGGACATGCTGACCCAGCCTAAGTGTCAGTCTTCCTACCCTGAGGCAGAGAGGCGGCGTCAAGGCGGCCTCTTAAGCCTCCTGACCAATCGCTACAGTGCGCTCACCTGTCAGTCAAGCCAGCCATGTCTCTGATTTTTCAAACTCAACCCTAATATCTTTGAATAAATGTCTTTAAAAAAAAGAACACTTGGGTAATCTGGGCTACTGGAACCAAAACTGTCTTCTGAATCAGGCTGCAAACATATTTGTTTTTGCTCTAAAATGGGCCTTTTTTTTTGAGCAAATGTGAATGTGGGTTCCTGTGCATGTCATGCCACCCTCCCAACACTGTTGGGTAGTTGGGGCTAAACCCTGAGCCCGAAAGGACTTCATTGATGTCACCCAGAAAGTGATGAGTGCATGAGGCTGCAAAGGCAGAAAATGGGGATAAGAGGATAAATCTAGTTAATTTCATCATGGATGCACTTATCAGCTTCTTGATGAGATTTAAAAATAGGTGAGCAGGTTGATCTCGGCAATGTTCCTTATTTATACTACCTAAATTAAATTTTTGGGTCATTTTTTCGACTTCCTTGCCACTTATTCACTATCTTTAAATAGTTATTACCATGTTATGGTATTCCCTTCCCCTCCCTGCTTGCGGGCTTCCCCTGGGAATCCCCTGTTAACACAATGCTATGAACTATGAACTATGGGTAATTCCCTCACACAGATGCCCACTTATGAAGTGGGTGCATAAAAGGTTTTTAAGTCCGGCGGAGTCCAAATCTAAAAGTGTGTGAGGGTGAACATTGTGAATAGGCCTTATTATCTTTTAATTTTTATGTTCATCAGAGTCTGTCTGAGTCAGAGATGTATGTACTCTGTTTTACTAAAGCCTTCAACCACATCCTCACCTTTTATTTTGTGCTGGATCAATGTAGATCACAGATGATATACTCTTTAAGATAAGAGACTCCTTTATAAGTTCCACAAAAGGAAATGAAACGGAGATCGTATAAAAAAAATGTTTTTAAAAAAATGTATCAAGTAGCGGTTAGTTCACAACCTTTATTAGAGTCCTCGTGTCAAGTTTCCAGTGAATTCCTTGAATTAGTTTCAGTGTTACAATTTAAAAAAAATTTCATTTTCATTAACTCAACTGAAAAAGAGCATGCACATACCATTTATAGCATACATTTTATATTAGAAATCCATCTTGAGATTATTTCAATTACAGTGTAAGGTCAGTATCAAAGCAGTTTTCTGTGCAGGCTTTGCACTAAGGTTTTGCGTCTTATTTCCAATAGAAAAGAAGAGCATGCAGATCAAAAGCAGTGCCTAAGATGTGTGTAACAGTTTAATTAAAACACCAACAAGTCATCAGTATTGATTACTCATACTTCTCTGCAGAAATGCATGAATTCTTTCAAGTTTAGGTGATTTTACCTCCGCTAAATTCAGCTAAATATCAATCATGATTTTGATTCAGCGTTTTTAAAGGACAGAAACACTGAAGTGAAGCTCCATAAGGCCTATGCAGGGTGTCTCTCAGTCAGCAGGTGATGGCTCTCCTCATTAGGGGGGAAAAGAGCATCCTTCAGACGAACGACGCGTCCTCTGACTCCTCCACCCTCCTCCAGTAGTGACCTACGAATGGGTTGGTACACCTTGTAACGTCTGAGGGGAAAAAGAGGAACCATTAGGGTGAGGGCGGATCGAATACCATACTGTAGTAGAACAAAGCTGGTTGATGAAGTTTTTAATCACCTGCAGGCCAGGTAGGCAACGAATGCAAAGACAGCCACCAGCACAGCAGTGGAGGAGAGCACCACCTCTGAGGCACGAGACTTCTTAGACACTGCAGAGATAAAAACAATCAGAAAGACAGAGAAAAAAAAATTTTTTTTTTTAAAAGACCAAAATAAAACAAGCTATTATTATGCCCAAAAGTGTCCTTGTGTGACCAACCAGGGGCATCCTGGGACTTGTTGATGGTGACAGTGGTGCTGGTCAGGGCAATGCTGCCGGAGTCCTCTAGCGTGATGTTGACACAGTAGGTGCCAGGCTCTAAAAATGTCCGCCTGAGATGCACCACACACTGGGCCGACGGGGGGACGTCGTCACACATAATGCTGCTCACTCGAATGCAGCTGGGGTCTGACACAATGGTGCAGGCGGAGGTGGGGATTCTGGAGGAGAGGGGAGGTTAAAAAACAAGAGAACCAAAGCAGTTCTTCACCTGAAACCAGTTTTTCTCTAAAAATAAGTCCAATTAAACTAAAAACCATTTATCTGAATGCACTTTGATATATTTTTAATCGTTTAATGAAGTAAATTAATTCCTTTGTGCCACCTGAAGATCTGTCTTAATCAAGTTTGGGCAAAATCCAAGAGGACCCCCAACATTAACTATTTCCCCTCTTTTCTTTTGGCCAATACTGTCAAAGTAATTCTCCTAAATTACACTCACCTTCCCAAACATTTGACCTCAAAGTTGAAGTCAGCGCTGTTCACTCGGATGGCCGACACGCCCACAATGCGGCTACTAGGCTGACTGTTCAGTGTGTATTTAGGCTCTGCAGAAATCAAAATAATAAAATTAGATTATCATAATGACTGATCTTTTTATTACATCTAATGATAATAATAAAGCATAAAGATGTTAACAGAGAGTTTTGAGTGTCAGTGTGTGTTGGCGTGCCGCTGCACAGTCATTTAATGGAGGAAAGCTGACAAAAGTGATACAGACAAATTAACAATTGTGTTCTCATGCTTCTGTGTCTTAAGAGGAGAGAGTAGCTGTTTTTATTTTGAAAAGACCCATCACATTAATAGTTGGATTTTATGTAATCCAAAAAGCCAAAAATACTAAAATCCTAACTTTAAAATTGACCTGCTTGCATTTTCTTAATCACAATAACTGCAAGATGAAAGTTGACAGGAATGCCATAAGATGTTTTCAGTACTACTCGAGTTTTAATATACAGTATCCATTAACTTTAGCACAAAATTTAACGGTAATAATCTTTATTCATTTCATGACATTTCAATCAAATTGTGAAATCCAAACCCCATGATGTACTTCAGAAAAAGTCAGGGATGCCAGAGTCATTAGGGTCAGGCTGTTCTTATTCAGTGTCCATATCACTGGGGAAAATTTATGTTCTGTAGTTTGTATTTAACCGGTTCAGCTGCAGGTCAGTTTTAACCTCTTATAAACTCTGCCCAGGCGGTGTAACAAATGTTAGTTCAGGTGATCAATTATTCAATGGTCAGGGGCTGTCAAAAGAGATGACAAGGGGTGGTATGGCCCCCCTTAGAATCTGATCGGCCACCCTTTCATTTGCATTTCATGTTGCACAGCAACTTTTGTTAGCATTTAAAATGTTACCCTGTAGATGCATCTGTGTTTTTAAACTGTTAAAGAATTGAGTGAAGAAGATTCAAAGTTTCTGTGTGTGAACAGTTTGCTACCCCTGCATAGGTTGCATGAGGATATGTTGTTAACCTTCATCCAATGGGAACCTTCAGTGGTTGTTTTAAAGAGGACCACTGAAGGTTCCCATTTCCCATCTCAGTATGTGCAGACTGTGGCTTTCCCTGCAAACAACTTGAAGTCCTTTGAATCAGTTATGACCAAAAAATATCAAATCGAAATGTAGAGATAGAAAAAAAAGCTGTTCCAGACTGACACCTACCCCTCCTTGCTAGAAATTTTAGACATTAAAAATAACTTAAGTCTCATTGGTAGTTTCATTTGCTTTGTCAGGTCAGACAGAAACATCAGTTTTAATTTCAGTCTGTTTTATAACCAAGTAAAATCTCCTAACTGGAGCTTTAACATTTAAATCTGATCCAACCACCAACAATATTATCATCATTCTCTGAACACAGCTGGAGGGGGTGCCTATACTAAAACAACCACAAGTTTTAAAGGAGCTTTAAAGATGCTATCTGTATGACTCAAAGATATCCAACTTTGGCGCCATCTAGTGGTAGATTTTTCAAAGACTGTGGTGCACACCAATGCAGATCAGTTTAAATCTCAACAGTTCCCACTTACCAATGATGGTGATGTTGCCTTCAAAGGTGCCGTGGACGTAGCGGAAGCACTCGTTACTGCTGACACGCCTGATACGGAGTGAGGGCAGGAGGGTGGGGTCATACTCTGGGGTCACACTGGCCACAGTAGGTGGAAGGGGCTCTGTTGAAGGTATGGCACTTGATGAGGACGGGAGGGTACTTGGAGTGATGGAAGGGTGGGGCTTTCTGGTGCTGGGTGGTGCTAAAACCAGAAAGACAGCATGTTTGGAGTCAGTGGACAGCAGTGTGTGTTTGTTATAGTCAGTGTTACACTTTCAGACAGGATTTCAATATTTAACCAGATCCATGTTCTATTGCTGTGTCTCTATTTCACTACTTTTCTGTCCTTGATACAAACACTCTGTTAGCACTTAACCTCACCCTTTGTGGTCTCCATCTTGATGGTACCAGCATGAGTACCTGGAGGAGCTGTGGGAGCCTCTGGAGGAAAAAAGACATAAAAAAGAGTCTTACCTTTATTAATTCATTCAAGTCAGTTAGTGTTGCTTTATTTTTGAATAATGTCATCCAAATTCTGAATGAATCGCACAAGTGGTTAATCAAATTTATCTCCGCTTTATGTCTCTTTGTGATTGTAGTAGCAGCTTACCAAACACAGGTAGCAACGCCCCAAATCACACCCTGTTGCTTCCTTATATTATACTCTTGTTAGAGAAGACTTAAAACTAGCAAGTGGAGCGCTCTCTACAGACTTCTCAAAGCACTTTGCGATATTATAATCACCCTTTCACACCACAGTGGCTGCTATGTCCAAATCTCCATTTGTACCAATCTCATTCATACACAGCCAAGGGAGACAACATCTTGTCAAGGGGGACCCTGACCTCCTAATTGAAAGATGATTGATCCAACCACTGAGCCACAGCCGCCCTGGCCCTTGATTAAAACCTTAAACTAAACCAAAATGCTTTCTGAGATTAAAAATCAACTGGAAATGGGGTAATATGCTCACCTGTGACCACACAATCCTGCACATTTTGCAACTAATGGGATCTTTCCCTGCTGGCCATCAGGAAGAGTGCAGGTCAAGGCACTTATTCTCTGACTTTACTCTTTGAACCAAAGGCTACAACCATTTTAAATGCACAGTCATTATTTAAAAACTAAACCTTATTGTGATATTAGACAGTTTTGCCAAGGGATCCCGTGTTTCATCTGTTTTAAGCAATTACAGACCCATCTGTGAGCAGCAGTGTAGTTGTGCCCAAACAGCTGATGTCTTTTATGAACAGCAATGAGATCTTCAAAAATGTTCGGCCAGTTTTTTGGCCTAAAACTGCACTCATACTGTTTTGGTCAAGGTCTCTTGTGACTTATTGCTTGCAGCACATTCTTACTTGTACTCTAAATTAACTCTCCTTGACCGCAGCTCAGCTTCAGCCACTCACAATTTCCTAAATCAGCAGAGTGAAATACTCTATTAGGACTACTGAAAGGGTACTGGACTGGTTTATTTCCTTTCTGTCAAACGGGTCTTTTTCTGTAGTGTTTGGAAAGGCCTCCTCTTCCTGTGCTCGTGTCTCAGGTGGGATTCCCCAAGGGCCTATCCTGGGTCCTTTCACATTCACTGTGTACATACTTCCCCTTGAGCAAGTCTGGTATAGATGTTGTATCGACTTTCACTGCTATGCAGATGACACTCAGCTCTATGCCCCTTAGAGCAGCTGATGTGTCTAAGATTATATCCTGTTTAAATAAAATTAATTTACCTTAATTAATTCACCTGTGTCTTTTACGATATGCTATTTAATTATTTAAGTATTTGGATCTTACTTGTTTGGTATCTATTGCAATTAATCGTTTGTAGGTTTTTTTTTGTTACATGAATAAAACTATTATTGTCGTTCTTAAAACCAGCATCTATGTATCCAGTACCTGTGGGAGGTGGGGATGTGGAGCTCTTGGGGGTCGGGGTGGCAGCAGTTGGTGGACACTCCATAGGAAACGCCGCCTCCACCACCAGCTTCACACTCATCAACCCCAGCCTGCTGTAGGTGTGTGTGGTCAGTTCGCGGTGTGTCACCACCTGGTTGCCGTCCCTGAAGTCCCAGATGTAGTCAACAGAAGCAGCGGTTTTGAGGTACCCACTGGGATCATGAAGCTGGACTTTGAAGAGCACTTCTTCACCACGAAAGAAAACATTGTCCGACTGGTTGACCGCAGCCTTTTGAGAGATATTGACCGCCACTGGGATCTTATCTGAAGGAGTGAGAGAGAGAGAGAGAGAGAGTGAGGAGAAGTCATAAATAATTCATCCTCAAGGTTTCTCCGGTGTTTGTATCTGTCACTCAGGCTGATACATGTTGACAGATAAAACTGTACAAGCTGAGAGTGTCTGTTTGTCTCCACCTGTGACGTAGAAGACAGCGTTGTCCGTGGTGAGGGGGCTGTACTTTCTGCGCTCACGTTTCCTGTACACCATGACCTCCATGACCTCTGCCCCCAGAGGGATGTCGGTGGTGTTGATGGTTACGCTTGAGGAGGAGCCGTCACAGGTCTCATAGTACTGGCCTGCAAACAGAAAAGATCCCTTTCAAACACACATCAAATAAACTTTAATATTTCTTTTACTACAATTAGTCTTTTCTCAAACTAATTTATTTCCATATATCCTTTCATTCTTTTTTTACCCATTGCGTGCCACACATAGACATAGCTTTTGCGCCTCCAGTCGTTGCTCTGTGGGAAGGGCTTCCCATCGGGGAAAATGTTGCATTTCAGCAGGTCGGTACACACTCCATAGCCATAGTCATCGATCCAGGAGGTCCAGTTGTACACATAGCCAGAGCGCACCAGTCCATTAGCTGTACAGAGAAGAAATGAAGCACAAGATTGTTTGATTTAAGATTTAGAAAAGAAGGATTGACAACAATTTTGACCACAGGGGGCGCCAAAGTTGACACAAGCCAAAAGTTCCTCTCAGGAGCTTTAATGATGTCGCAAAGAGTGAATGATATTTTCTGCGAGGTGATAATATGTCGGTGCTGTGTAAATGGGGGCTATGCTGCCCCAAATGGTCAAAACATCAATACTTTTGGATTTAAAATTAGTTTTGATCATTTTTTTAAAGGTATGTTGTTGCACGGCTGATGTGGTGCATGGCTGTGGACCAGTGTCATAGTTTGAAGGTGTAGGGCTGGGCCTGGCCGGGCTTTTTGGCAGCACCTGAGGCCTCCACCTCCGTACCGTCCTCGCAGTGCTCATCCCAAATAAGGTCTCCGTTGGTGTCCTCTTTTTGGCATGGAGGGTACTCCAGCTTTGCAGTGAAGGTGATGCATGAACCGTTGAGAGCCGGGCCATCGCTGGTCAGACGAACTTTTGGTTTACCTGCAGGAAAACATACCTCCTGAGTAAAATTCTTATAACTGAAAACACTTGAAATGACTTAGCTGACTTTTGTTACCTTTGTGGTGCATGAGCTCGTTTGGCTCTGGGCTGAGTGGGGGGTAGAGGTACTCGTCCCATGGGTTGGTGTCAGGATCCCAGCCAGGTATTGGTGGAATTGGAAATGGAAACTTTCCTGCTATTCCATGCTTGTGGGGGAAAACATCCCCATAAGCTGAAAAGAGGAGACAAAATCACATTGAAAGACTGAAAGTCCCCTTTAGTGTGGCCTGGGAATCATAGGGGACCACATTGAAAACTTCATTAAGGTAAAGTATCTGTTCATTTTATACATATGACAACCCTGAGAATGACTCCTCCTCTTTTTATTTAGATCAACATATAAAAATCTTTCCGTCTGTGAGGTACACAATACTTGGTTACAGTCTCTTTTCATGGCCGAGTTTTAAATTCTAAATCTCAAGAATTGATTTCCTCCAATTCTAAACAAATTATGTTATAATACCAGATTGGGAGAAACAGACTCTGAGGAAACATTTGCAGACAGCCTTAAATGTAAATATAGCATGTCCATCATTTCATTGCCTTCATTATGATAAAGTGTGAGTCACTCAAAGTATGTTTTTGAAGTGTCTATGGTCTAATTTTGAGTCATATATGCACTAATAGACTTTATTGTGTACCAAAGAAGTATTCTGTTTTTAAGTAATCACATTTTTCTTACTTTTTGCCCGTTTCTGAGTGAAACTTTCTTTCGGGTGTATTATTTTCTACATACTGTTGGTCATGACACTCGCTTTAATTGAGCTCATGGGACTCTGAGAACAGAGAGCTGGTGAGCTGGTGGCACACTAACCGTGCGAAAAATATCAAAAGTTTATTTTAAACTTCTGAACAAGAATTTTGAAAAATTTTAAACAGAAAACTAATTCTACAAAATTGTTTGTTTCTTTTAGATGAATGTTAAAATCTAAGTGTAAAACTAAAACAAGTTAACAAATGATAGATCTGCAGTTAAAGTTTCTCCATCTGTTCAAAACAAATCATTAAATTTAAGTAGAGTTTAAAGCAGCACTTACTTTTAAGTCCATTGGCTTGAAAAACACCGAGGGACAAAATCAGGAGAAAAACAAAACGCAGGGCCCCCATTTCACCCTCCAATAACAACAAAAAAGTAAAAAATATTGTAAAAAAAAAAATCAAAAACTTTGTCCCCCTAGAAGTATTTAGTCGTTTCACGGACAGTGTCCCCTCTCCCTGCTGCTCCTGCTCTCACAGCTCCTCTCCCTAACTGTCCTGAGGTTCAATAATTTAATCTGGGGGCTGATGAGAGCACAAACATGTGATGTTGCCTAATAGGACGCATCTCGTCCCTCATTACTGATCTGGACGCAGGAAACACATGAGGGATGAGATGCTGCCTGCGCACGCGCTCTTTCCCCTATAATAAGATTTTAATTCTAAGGAACATTTATTTTGTTGTCATTAATTTTTAATGCGGAGTTATTGCCAACAATACTCATCCCAAAAAGTACATCTTTGCTTTTGTGATCACCTGCCATTTTTTTAGTTACTCTTTCAAAATTGTTACACAAACATACAGAAACAAAACTGACCTGCACTCAATTGTTTTTGAGAAAAACGAACACAAACATAATAATTCATTTTTTAAAGTTTATATTAAGCCATTTTGAACATTTGATTTGTTTTGCTCAGAAGGCTATAACCGCCTGAAAAGTGAAAGTAGCCTCTAAAAATCAAGTAGACTATAATGTTACGTAATTGTCCGTAATATATCCATATTATTTCGACAATTCATATGAAATATTCACGCGTGACAGTTTTTGATGGTCTTCATGAGTCTGATGGAGCTGTGTCACCGTGACTCGCTCTGAATGAGCGCGTGAGACTTGACGTCCGGGCACGCGCTGCAAAAGCAGAAGAAAGTGTCTGATGAGCGACAGAGAGAGAAGGACTCGCGCTGGTTTTCGACACAATACAACATGTGATAAACATCTTTATTTCAGCGGCTCCTCTGCTGCCACGAGAAGAGTTTGGAAACTGTAACAAAAGGCTCACAAACTGAAAAGTAACAACTGAATCAAAATCTAATTTCCTTCCTCAAAAGTCGTGGGCAAACCCGGCAACACGGAGGGAACGACAAACAAAGTCTAACACAGAGTTTGACTGACAGTTAGCCAGCTAAAGATAATTCACACCTACTGCGAAGGGTAAAGTCTATAGAAAGGCAAGTTTCTCTTTTCTTTGAAGGTATTGGACTCAAATCTATGACTGATAAGTATTCTGTCAAAGATAAAAAAAACACACTGTAAAGCATATCAAGGCTCAAAGCTTCAAGAGAAAGCTAATTAAATGATTTTTAAAAGGCTTTCCAGGCAGACAAATGGGTCTTTTGTCTTGGAAAATAAATCTAATAGCCTCAAATAAAAATTAAAGTGTCACAGTTATTATTGTTTTAATATTTGTGGTTCACAATCACATGGTAACAAAACAATGTCTACTAATACCTGTTACAGCAGTCCGTAGGGGAGACCAGGGTCGGTCACAACATAGGGAGAGTTGTTACACCGCCTTTTCCACCAATCCATGATTGTTTTGGGTCGGTTGATTTATTGCATTAGTGTGACAAAATCTGGACTTCCATGTAAACACCATGTAAACACATCAGTCCTCATCAGTCGTACTTAATTGAATTTCTTGTAGTTGGACCAATGTACCTGACTAAAGGGGTTAGGGAAGTGCTAAGAAGCCAAATAGTACACAAAACTTCGATGGGCAAAGAAAGAGCATAACAAAAGATGAAGCCTTCCTTAGAAACAGCACAAAGCTGAAAGAGTGAAATCTCATTAGCCTCCTGCTAACACATTTTGCCTGCTCTTGCAGTACTGACAGGGAGACGACCTAATAAATGTGAATTTCTCTTTGAGGATCAATACAGTTCTTTATATCCTGTCTTTGTAAGAAGCTGAAAGGGAGCAGAAATGCTTCTGACATTAATTTGATTCTTGCCCAGTGCATGTAAACCGAGACCAGGACAGTAGACCAGTTAAATTTGCTGTCTGAGCTATGACTGTAGTTTGATTAGATGCTTATTTACACCAAAGTTTTAAACACGACAATTTTGTTTTTAGCAACTACTGCTGATTAAATCATTTGACTTTATTGGATTAAATTGAAGTTTCTCAGGCAAAATGTGATGGGTATTGTGCTGTCTTTCTTTAATGCACACACTCTACAGGTCATATGAGTCAGTCACAGATTACCGATCTGAGATTCAGTTCAATATCATTACCATTTTTTTTTTTACTTATATAGTTATTAGAATAATAATGAATGAATTTAATGAATTCTATATGTGATAAACAATTGTAGGTACTTTTTACTAAAACTTGAAAACTTTAGCTGAAAAAGTCAGTAAGCTACAGGTGCTAAAGCAAAAACTGTTACAACCATCCCCGGTCTCCCCTATATTAACACTAACCCTGCTGTCCATGAGCATTAAGTCAAATTTTGTCATTAGACTTCTATCCTATGTCATTTGTTTTACCTTCATAAATTCAGCCCACTGATGGAACAGGTGAACTCTATAGGGACAGCACATGAATGCATGCCTATATACTGATCATCCTCCAGTAGAGGGCAGCACCTCTCCGAAGCTCCTTACAGCCTCATGTAGAGCCAGAGACTATCCCCCTTTTTATCTCCCTCTGTCTTTTGTTTCCTTAATCAAATCACTTTTGCATCATTGTCAAAACTCAATCATACAGTTTTAAGAATTACTTTAATAAGATAACAAAATAAAAACCATGCAGATAAGAGAAGAAATTAGACTAGAGCCCATGTTGTCTACAGCGAGCTGGTCTAAAACTGGGGACATTTTTATAATCATGTTCCTCATTAGTTGATTTGTCTGACAGTTATATAGTTAAAAAATAAAACAGACAGTCCTCCTGCAATTTGAGTCATAATGGAGGACAACCAAAACCAATATTTTTTTAGCACTAAGGAGCTTGAACTGGTTAGTAATTGGCATTTTTCTACATTAAAAACAGCCTGTAGCAATAAATCAGTTTTCATTGACAGCTTTATCTCTCTGCTTCTTTTACTTCCCAGCCCAGGGAGGAAGACATCATCGGCACCAAAACAGAAAGATGAATGAACAATAACCCAGAAATGCATTGTGCTGCCAATAGGCACTGCTCTCTCTCCTTCTCTCTCTCTCTCTGGATGCTTGAGAGTACTTGTCGTGCCTTCTCATTTACAGCTCTGGCTTCACTTCACATTGAGGAATGCAGGATCCTTCCCCAGAATGTGGACTTTGGTGTGCGCGTGTTTTCCCTTGCACAGTGCAGGACTGCGTCCACGCTCCTCCAGTGTCTACGTGTGTCTGCGAATGTTGAGCTGGACACTCCCACTGTGTGTGTGAGTGCGTGTGTGTGTGTTGGCTGCAGGATGGAAACATATGGGAGTGTTCAGCGCTCACTGTTGGAAGAACATGAAGGAGCTTCTTTTCCTTTTTCAGTCTCGAGGCTTATAAACATTTTTCCCACAAGAACACACAAGTCAGAAGCTGGTCCTGCTCCCCTCTTTGACTCTGGTCTTTCATTTCTGCTGTCCTACAAAAACCCTCTTCTCGTTGCCCTTTCAACTTGTCAATCTGTCCCTCCAGGTGTCTCCGCCCTCCTCTGTGTGCTTTAATCAGAATCACTAAAAGACACGCTGCCCTGTCATCTTGAGCACAGAGAAGGTACGGGGTCCCCACCTACTCATTCAAACAAAAGGACCACCTCTTACAGTACCACTCCTGCAGCCAAACTGGCTTTTATTCCCCCTCTGTCTGTGCTGCCAGGTTGCATGTGGCCTTTCACATCACCAGTCAGCCACAACACATAGCAGAGCTCGTGAACGCAGAAGGTCTTCATTTCTTATGATGTGGTGAAGAAAAGTTGGCAGCCGTCTGACCTCCTATTGGCCGTCATCATAAAAATATCATCGAGGTCTCTTGTAAAATGTTTTTGGAACTTTTAAACCTTTTCCCCCGGAGCCCTTACATGACTTTTGGGCATTTCCCCTCTAACTTTGTTTTTGTAATCTAATTTGGTACCACTCAATATGAGCCAGGCACTTTGGAAAAACAAATTAACAAATGACAAAACAAATTCATAACAATTTGAACTTCAATAAAGAACGGGGGGAAAGAGAAGAAGAAAAAAATGTAGGTGTTGAAAACAGCAGCCCGGTGTGCCAAGACCTCGTCGGAGAACCGGGCTGATCGAAGCCTCGGCTGCCCCGAGAGCCGGTCATGGGACCACGCGGCGCTCCGCCAGCTGGCCCCGGAGAGCAGCTTTGATATTCAGGCACCGGGAGACGCCTCTCTCTCTCTCTCTCTCTCTCTCTCTCTCTCTCTCTCTCTCTCTCGCCACACAACACACAAACAGATATTATCCAGAAGCAACAGAAAACCATGTCTCATTCCTATGCAATCTGAGCCTGTTTATGGAGCTTACTTTTGTTCCTAGTGGAAAATTTGAGTTTTGTGAAAAAAAGAAAAAAAGTTTCAGCAAATTCATTTCAAGAATTCTGCAGGTCACGGAGGAAGAATTTGGCGAACATGACATCGATGTACTTATATAAACACCCACTTCTTAGAATAGACTTTTTTATTCAGTAAACTACAGTAAAGGGTTTTTGTGTATTTATTATCTACTCTTCACCACACTAGGTTTCAAAGTGTGCTTAAACTCCTGTCGTTAATATCGGGATGACTCTGAGAATCGTGTCTCTCGACATGCGCACCAGCAGGTGGTTGTGTCAGGTGCATCCTCAAACTGTGAGCTCAAATTTCCTCGCAGGCTCTAGGACCGCGGGATGAGCTGGATGACAGACAAAGAAGCGTGCGCACCTCCCAAGTTTAGAGTTTGTCCTGAATCTACCTTTTCTCCTCCTGCTCCAGATCTGGAGTTCTATGGATGCTGTGCCATACTTCAAAGAAGAGATCGGTGATTTTTTTTTTTTTTTCTCTGTCTGGATAATTCACCTCACCTTTCTGAAATGACTTCAAAGTGGAGTCAAAAGCTCAGAAATGGGAAAGCTGAAGAAACACTGGGCTGACCTCTCTTCACCTCTCCTGCTCTCCATGATGAGGCTGTGGATCAGAGCTGCAGCTGTCCGGAGGAGGGTGATTTGCTTCTGGCTGCTGCTGCTCGGGTTCGCCTTGATCACTCTGGCTCTCATAGATCATTTTAGCCAAGACCGGAATCACAGTCACCAGAATCCTGGTCCTCCTCGCCGGCCCCTCCAGCGGATCCCCAGTGCGCCGGACCTGGATGTCATCGTAGACCCCTGGGACCCTGCATTGGAGCTTGGTGGGGATGTCGCCCCTCTAGAATCGCTGCAAGAAGACCAGCTTCTCTACGTGCCATCGACGCAGGGCACCAAGAGCCTGCAGCAGAGGAAGGGAAATTACAAGGTGATTCTGCCCAGCGTGAGTAAGGAAACCACCGTTCATGCGTCACGGACGCACGGTGCAACGGAGACTGAAGTGGGACAACGACTGAAAGAAACAGACAAAGATTTGGAGCTCTCTGCGGTGCAGAAATACGGACTGAACGAGGTGATGAGTGGAAGGATTTCTTTGCACCGCCGGTTACCTGACACGCGCCATCCTGAGTGAGTGGCCGAAGTGCTCTACCCACTTTTTCAAAGAAAAAACGCGCCAAATCACACGATGATGTTGCTAAAGAGTGGTGCACGTTTCTCTTTACGCAGGTGTTTGGGTGAGCAGTACAGCGAGTCTCTGCCGCCCGCCAGTGTTATAATCTGTTTCCACGATGAGGCTTGGTCCACGCTGCTGCGCACAGTGCACAGCGTCCTGGACACAGCACCTAAACAGTACCTGCAGGAAGTCCTGCTTGTGGACGACCTCAGTTCTCACGGTGAGTGTCTCTCTCTCTCTCTCTCTCTCTCTCACACACACACACACACACACACACACACACACACACACACACACACACACACACACACACACACACACATTATCTGTTAAAACCTCATGGCTTTATCGAGGTCTGTGTTACTCCGCAGGACACCTGAAGAGCGTGCTCAGTGAGTACGTGTCTCACCTGGACGGGGTGCGTTTGATCCGCAGCACCAAGCGCTTAGGCGTCGGGGGCTGTCGATCCCTGGGTGTTTCTCGAGCTGCAGGGGAGGTGTTGGTGTTCATGGACTCTCACTGTGAATGTCAGAAGGGCTGGCTGGAACCTCTGCTGGAGAGGGTGGCTCAGGACAGGTATAGACTGCTCATGAATTTAATCAATCGGGGCACATCCGGAGTTAACAGAGGATGGCAGCCAAACTAGAAGGTTATGCTGAGGTGGAATGGAGTTTGTTTGCGCTTATAGACACACGTGTCTTTAACTTTTCAAATGACAGCTTTTAAAGTTGCATACCACATCGATTAAAAATACTTTAACAGAGACAATGTCACTTACCTTGACTCATTTTAAGGCAGTTAATGACAAACAGGATATAGGGAGTCTGCAGGGGCCCCAGGAGGAACTCCTGTCCAACACAAAGTGTTTGTCTAAGTGAAAAGCTAATAACGCCAAATTACAGCTGGTATTAACACAGAACAGAAAAATAATGCAAATCGTGGTATTTACTGACATTAGCAAAAGAGCTGAAGTGGACTCATGATCCAAGAAGGGGATAATTTTCCAAAAGTCACAAAAACAGAAGCCTACCAAGAAAAGAAATTGTGCTACATATGAATGTCACAATAAGTCCCTTTCATCAGGCAGAGACTGGATGAAAGTTTGAGGGGTGTCCTTCAATGAAAGACCCAGCAAGGACCTTTGACTGACTTTTCACTGGCATTTGTCGAGGTGGCCAGGCCTGGTTAACATTTGGGCCTAGACGGCTTATCTCTACTAATCACATCTACTTTAACCACCAAAACATAGTTTAAAAAAGTGTTATATTTTATAAATCTTTGACTCTAAATATAAGTCATCTTTGTGGCAGCATTTAATTCTGTTAAACTTAATTCTTTGAGGACTTAACCTGATGAAACACAACCCAAATAGTTTATTTCAATACAAGTGCTGCATCTGACAAGGCAAATGGCCAATCGTGTACAGTATCAATCCTAATAGTTTAGGATTTCAGGGTGGCCACCTCCTGACTCAGCCCCCTGCTGAGGCCACACCCTTGATACCTCCTTGCTCATAATCCACAACAATGATGAACATTAGTGCCAAATCTTTCATAATGCATAGAGTTGGTCTGTATTCACACTAAATTTCAGCTATACTCTGTTAGTTCACATACTACCAAAAGTAAGATAGAGGGAAGAGGAAGAGAGGATGCAGAGCTGAGAGTTGTAAGTTGTCCTCCTTCATTAGTTAAAGAGTGGATACATGTTCCATGTGTGCTCTCATGATTTGGCTCAGGTTTTCTGTCTGAGGCTGCCTGCAGCGTGCCTCTGATCACACTGGCTAATTAGGCTGAACTCTCAGACCTGGAATCTGCAAACACTCAGCCACATGTCTGACCCTTCTTTCTATTTCTTCTTCTCTTTTTCCTCTTTAATCTCTTCTCTCCATTTCCTGAGAGAATCACATCACACGTGGCTGTTTGGGAGGAATATTTCAAATAACACATGTGCACCAGAACAGACCCCAACAAAGGATGGTGCGTGTCTCTAAATTTGGCCAATTGACATGAACTCTGGTGTGGAATTTTTCCTCAGTTTTTCGGACCTGTATCACTGCACAGAGGCAATGACTACTGAGTAAAAAATTTAACAAAAGAAAGCATGCAAAGAATAATAAATCTTTTTTTTTTCTCAGAGCTCTGGCTGACAGGCGCCTGGTTTTAAATCATACCGTCCTGCCCATTTTCCATCAAGTGTACTTGACAAACAAAAGAAGAAATCTCATATTTGAATATCAAACTATCTGTGCAAATAAACCTTGTGTGTTTTTAAACAGGACCAAAGTCGTGTCCCCCATCATGGATGTGATAGACTGGCAGACCTTCAAGTACAATGCCACCCAGTGGCCAGTGAGGGGGGTGTTTGACTGGAGGCTTGACTTCCACTGGGAATTGGACCCTCAGCTACAACACAAAGACGCAGACTCAGCTGTTCAACCGGTGACGTGAGTTGAGAGGCTTTTCAAAATACTCTTCAAACACTTGAACTCAAATGAACTTTGATAAGAGAGCAAAAAAACAGAAAAAGGTATGTTGATTGTGTCTCTCGCAGGAGTCCCGCATTGGGAGGTGGTGTTGTGGCCATGGACAAACATTTCTATCACAGTGTTGGAGGCTATGACCCAGGGATGCTCCTGTGGGGAGGAGAACAAGTTGAGCTGTCGATCAGGGTAAATCAAACACTTTTAATGAAGAACTTTCCACTCAAACCCTCCCAACCTAATGACCGCACAGGACAGAGACATCCAGCGAGCACTATCTTCTACAGTGCTTTTCTGAGAAGGACTCAGCTGCCTTCACTCAGGACTTCAGGAATGTTGTTTTGGGACACTGTGCTTCTAGCAAATGGAAATCTCAGGTTGAACAGAGGTCTGGGAATGTCTGGGCCATTTGACAAATGCACAAGTATGAGAGGAAAAAAGTTTTTTGACCATTTGATTTTACTCTGATGACCTCTCAAACTAACAGTGTGTTATTGTAGCTTGTTTTGAAGAGCGCTTCAGTGGTCCAAAATCAGCATGAGCTTAACAAAAGACGGCAGGGGCATGCCTAGACTTTATCAGACTAGGGTGGCCCAGATGGGTCTCCTATTTACTCAAAAACTGATGTCAGTCAAGACCATAGACTGTATATATGGACAATTTGGTTCTGCCTTCTCCCAGTATATGGATTTGAAGCCGAAAAGCTCTCGGTATTTTTCTCCACTCCCTTAAACCAACGTTGCGCAATAGCGTTGTACGCACTCCACCACTTGCGCAGAAGCATTGTACGCATTTGACAGGAGAGTCACCGCGAGTCGCTGTGATTACGTTCGGCTCAAACAGCGTATCCCCCGGGTGAGCTACACAATCTTCGTAAGCTCATAGGCTGTATCAAGTGTCAATCATAGAAAACATGAACCCCCTAATAACTTTTAAAAATGGAGCTGCACAGAAAAAAGGACTTGAGCACAAACCAGTCTTACAGTAACTACATGTCAACATCGCAACCAGGAAGGAGAAAAATGTATATTCTGCGTAATTAATTTCTAAAGTTTGTTAACAGCTCCATAGAGATTGCTGGAGGAGGCGGGATTTATGACCTATACTGCAGCCCGTCACCAGAGGGTGCTGTTTTCAGGGTGGCTTCACTGAGCGTGGAGGCAGACAGCGTCCATTCTATATACAGTCTATGGTCAGGACCACTTTTCTCAAAGAGAGTAAATCATTGGATGCAAAGTCAAGGCAGGGAGAGCAGCAGCAAAGACTTCTATCGTACAGAACAGAGCAGACATCATATGAGTACAGATAAACCAGACAAAAGGTGGAGCTTGGATGATGGTGGGTTGCACAGCAATTCGTAAAGGAAGCAGCAGGAAATGGCCGGCAACAACAGATCAGTCAGAGTTCAGGGGGCCATGCCACCCCTGGCCACCTCTTTGGACACACCCCTGCAACAGATTAAACACCTTCCATTAATTTCTGTTGTTACTGACAGATTTCCTAATTCTTCCCTGTTACCCAAGGTGTGGTCCTGTGGGGGCTCCATGGAGGTGGTCCCCTGCTCCCGTGTTGCTCATGTAGACCATCACCACCTGCCTTACAGCTTCCCAGACCAGGAGGTTCTCCAGAGAAACAAGATCCGCATCGCAGACATATGGATGGACGCTTACAGGAAGATCTTTTACAGGAGGGACACTCTTGCTCATTTCATCAGACAGGTGTGTGCGTGTGCTTTGATTTAATCCAGAAGTTTAATGATTAAAAATAAGTAAAGAGGTGCAAACAGGTGTGACTTTCTCTCTCTTGGATCAGTCTGAGAGTCCCAACATCACAGAGCGTCTGCGTCTTAAGAGAAGTCTGGGCTGCAGGAACTTCCACTGGTATCTGACTACAGTTTACCCACAACTTTACATCCCACAGGACAGACCTGCTCTTTCAGGAGAGGTAGCTTTCAGGAGAGGTAGCGCGCACACACACACACACACACACACACACACACACACACACACACACACACACACACACACATTAACGCACACACACTTATACACAGTATTGTACCATCCTACAATGACCAACTGACCTGTTTCCAGCTGTACAATGTGGGGACCGGTAGCTGTGTAGACTTCCCTCGTGTGCAGGGTTTGCAGAGCAGGGTCATGAATGTAGCACCATGCAGCGGCACAGGCAGCCAGGTAACCATGACAACAGCTGTCAGATGCTGTGAGTAACACGTGACGCAAGCATACTAAAGATGGTCTCTGTTGTCGTGACAGCATTGTGACCTGAACTCTGACTCTGAAGTGAGGTTTGGTCCCAACGGCGCCCTGTGTTTGGACGCAGAAGGAAAACAGGTGGTGGTATCTCCCTGTCCCAAGCAGCGGCCGACTAGCAGCAGACTCCAGTGGAAGTTCATAAAGGCACGGCAGCCATTTATATTCCTATTTCTTTATATCTCTGAGCACATGTTCTCACTTTGGTAACTCTGTGTCTGGTTTGTGTTTTAGCTGAGCGGTCAACTCGTCCACCAGCTGTCACAGTTGTGTTTGGAGGCTGTGAAGGACGGAGAGATCCCACAGGGCAGCACAGGGGGTCTGTTTCTGCGGCCCTGCACCCATCAACCCCGACAACAGTGGCACTTTGAGCAACTTGTAGCTCCGAAAGGTGCCTGATAAAAAAATTAAAGATTAAAACCCAGGGCACAAACTATTATAAATGTACTATGAATAGTGGCATTAAGTAGTGAAATATCATATAGAAAATATACAGATTATAATATATGTTTGCTTCATTTTGCCACTCTGCTTTTCCTGTTCCTGTTTTAAGGATTGCAAATAGTTTAATACAAGACATGATTATGTTTAAAAAAATCTCTATTTTCAAATGCTTTTATAGGAAAAAATTTACTGTATTTATTTACATGCACATTGTAACATGTAAAATCTGTACCTTCAGTAAAAGCTTTTAATAAATGATGTGAAGGTGTTTTTTTAACACTTCTGAAATGAGTGAATTAAATCAAAAATGAACTCTTGTGTATTGTCCCTGATGTTGGCTTTGCTCGGTTCAGGATTTTGCTGTTGCTCTCCCTGCTTTGACTTTCTATGTCGATGCACATAAAACAAAGGGGAGATGCTTTCCACCTTGTACACTTTGGCCTTCCCATGTGAGAATGTGGAAGGAAGTGGAGCTGTGTAAAGAGAGCCATACCACAAAAAAGTCCTTTTAGAGGAAAGGTAAAGATATCCAACAATCACATATGAGTGTAACTTTCAGGGTCTGCTTAATTCTTGTCATGTTTTGTGGTTCTGGAGCTGGGCAGTGATATGAACTCAAAGGGGACTTTTTCCTGTCTCTGTTAATTAAATGTCTGCTCACTTTATCCCCATTGTGACCTGTCATGGAAGGAAAAAGCACAGGTGTTACAGATAAAAATGCCTACAGCATGCTGGAACTAAAGTAGCTAAATGGAAAACCGCCAACAGTCATTTAATTATTGAACATTTATTTCCCACTGTGACATGTCAAGTTTCTTCTTTTAGGGCAACACAGCTGACAAAAAGAGTGAGAGAGATGATTTGCTTACACACGCAGACCTGAAAGAACATCTAATGAAGCAAAATAAACGCTAAAATACCACCGTGATACGGATTAATTTGGTTTGCTGTGAACCATGCAAAGTATGTTGTTTCCAAAATTGACAAGATCAAATAGTTTTATCAAACTATATCACTTGTGGACAGCAGAGGGAGCCATCTGCATTTGTAATCCCTCCAAAGCTCCTGGCTGATCACTCTGTCGTTGTTAGACATTCATGACTATCTCCCATCAGATTTATGCATGAGAATTCCCATAAACACCTTCTCATGTAAGTTTCTTTAGCTTCTGTCAGTTTGATTCTGCACAGTAAACCTACCATGTGACTCTAATGTCCTGATGGTGCATGTGACTTTACAGAAAACCTAATTAACATGCATGCACCATCGTCACGTGTTTCACTTGCTGCTATTTAATGTCAAAACACAATATAAAGTAAGTATCAAAACCACAAAGTCTAGAGTTAGCACAGAAGCTAGCAGCCAAAAAAGACTCTGAGCTCATCTCTTGCATCTCTCTCTCTCTCTCTCTCTCTCTCTCTATCCCTCTCTCTCTGCCTCCAGGCACCGAGTGCTAATAACCTCCTATACTCTGCAGCAGTAATGCTCATCTTTTACCCATAGAGCACTCAGCCCAGTGGAGTACACACAGCACCTTTTCAATAAAGCCAGTCAGGTGGTGTGTCTGAGGCTCGGAGCCATAGGTCAAACACTTGCACAAACAACATGCTGTTGATTAGTATTTCTACTCCGCAGTTACATAACGTCAGTCTGCTGAGCTGCAGAAGAAGAGGAACTTTTCAGAGGGTGGCAAGAGGTCACAGACTCACTGTAGGACTGGCTTCACTGTTCGGACTAAAGGTTAAGTTATTCGATTTTTATCACAAGTATATAAAGTGGACCAAAGAGATAAATAAGCCAGTGACAGGGCTGACACTTTGAGCCTCTGGGGCAAGAAACTACCGGGCATTTATCAGCTGAGATGACATTTCTGTTCATACATATTTACATACGTTTCTTTGTGTTACAGGTCCCAGGAATGGCACTACTGCAGCGAAATAAGTCCATGGAAAATACTGGCAAAGAGAAGACAGAGCACTTGGTTAACTTTCAAGATTGTGTCTGAGATGTGGGGAGAGATATCCCCCCTTTTGTCCACAGTTTCATCTAATGTGCTGCTCACAGTCAATCATGACAGTCACTGCTTAACAAAAAACAGACACACACACACACACACACACACACACACACATGCACACAAGCATGCACACACACACACTTAAGTTTAAATGGAAAAAGGGAGTGAGTGTCAGAAAGAATGACGCCCCCGTTAAGAGTCCATGTGACTGCCTGTGTTATGACTTTAACCGTCTTGCCTGCAGGGATTCTTGTATTGCAGAGGAGGCATTAAGGTGTAAGAAAGTGTCCCAGCAGAGGATATGCAAGGCCCCCAAAAGAAATAATAATCATTCACAGCGCCTCTTTTTGCAATAACCAGCAGAGTCAAGCGTGCAACTTCAAAAACATGCTTACCTGTGAGGAAATGCAATATGTTCAGTATTTTGAGCATTTAGCAGCCAGATAAGCACCGAGGTTTCATGTCTTTTTATGAAATCTTAATCTTCTCTTTTACTTCTGACAGCTGATGTTCCTGACCTTTAACCTTCTCACTGCCTCAGTCTCCCGTCACCAGCTCTGTATCCCTTCTCGGTCATTAACAGGTGTCAGTGTTGATTTGAGTCTGTTTACTGTAACAGAAGTTTGAATACAAAAACGGTCCACAGTAAGCACTTTCCTCACCCTCTATAGACATTTAAACTATGTTAATCGAAAAATGGTTACCAGGGTTACCAGCCTCAGTAAACATTGCCCACATGAAAGCCAATCAAATTACAAAACTGCCATGACTTATAATAATGTGGCTGATAATGACTTATTCAGTCACTTTTACAGGCTAACGAAAGTGCAGACAATGCAGAAAGACAAAACAAAACAGAGGCTGCAATCAGTGATGAACTGTCCCTCGCACCTGTGTTTATGTCAGGGTTCTGGGCACATCAGGAGGGGGCAAGTGTTGGGCTGCTGTAAAGGCTGTTTAGTGTGTAGACATGACGTGAAAGTACATCTTTTAAGGGGAGCATACAATACACACTGCACCCACCTGCAGGCTCTGGCTGTAGGGTTTAAGATACTGTCGTATTGAGTGATGAATTCAAGCCTAGAAAAAACAAATGTCAAACATGGGGGACATGTTGTCTCTTTTGTTCCCTTTTTAGCCCTTTCCACTGCCACAAAGACACACACATAAATATAACACAAACACACACGCACACACCTTCTGGGGAACTCAGATGGATGTCAGCAGCAGGAAGCTGTGTCCTCTTTATGAAGATCCATGGGGCTATTTCACCTCAGACGGAGGTGGCTGTACTTACTGTGTGTGCCACAAAGAGCCTTGGGGTCCTCTGTATAGAGACACTGTTGTTGTTTTCAAGTGATTCGTAACGTGCTTGCTGTACAATTAGGCCTGTGTGGATGAGTCTCAGGAGCTGCGGCTGACACTGAGCAAAGATTAAGTGCTTTAAAATCTGACAAAAAACTTAGCTGAGAGCAGCAATTAAGGTCAGAGACACAAAAACAACTTCTGAATGTCTCTCCTAGAAAGTTCCTGGTGATGCACACACATTACTGGAGCATCCTTAAGCTCTGAATTGCTTCACTAATGATACCTTTACTTGTGAAATGTTTCAAATACCTGAAAATAAGTCTTTCATGAAAAAAAAAAAAGCTTTTAGGTTGAAATAAAGCATCAATCTTCATTTTTTAGCTTTCACTTTGACACAAAAGGCACTAGAGTGAAATTGGCAATCAAATAACTGAAACACTTGTTTCTCCCCTGACTTCTTTTGCTGAAATCGGCTGCAGAAAACAAAAGACTCTGCAGGTTAGCAGAACTTAATCTAACAGGTAATGTACCGAGCTGTGAAACACACCAAAGAGCTCCACATAGCCACAGGGAGCAGCTTTTCCAGGTGATACTTCTCTGTCTATAGCAACACCTTTCACCTTGTCACACTGTTTGTTTGTCTGTCCATGAAAACTGACAGACGAGTGAAAATTTGGTAAAAACATTGATAAACTGTATGTGCTGAGATTACTTTTAAATCAGGATCATTCAACAGTGCAGGCCACACCCACCACAGCCCTTGTACTTAAAAACACAGAAACACACTATGGTGCTCGACATGTCAGCTACCAGAACCAGGTCCATACTCTCTTTGGAGAGTGACTGCATTGAACCTGAAGCTGAATGATGTTTAACAAAACCACTGAATGTCAGTGATTTGGGTCAAACATCAATTCTCAGTTTTCAGCCTTTCATGTGTGTAAATAGCCAGTTATTCAGTGACCAAATAAATGGATGAGAATGCACACAGTTCTGGATAAACTGCATATATCCCAAAAAGGGGATATAGGGATATGTCATAGCTGAATAGATATCAACAAAGAAAAAAAGAAAGAAAGAGAAAAAGAAAAATGTCCTAATCCAAGTGCTCTGGAGCATCACCACCAAAGTGGGAGCTTCCTGCTGGTGAGGTCCTAGACCAGAAACCCTGCGAGCAGAAGGCCACAAAGACACTGCAACAAGGCACTGACAGGACACGACCCTGAGCAGTCACGAGATAAACTGAGATACACAATACAAAACAAATATCTGCAACAATTTGGTGCTCATTAAAAAAAAAGATAAAAATGTGAATTTGGGTCTTTACATGTTCGTTTTATTAATGCCAGGTGATACAATTACTTTCAGGACTTTTAGCCCAGGGTGGAAAAATGAAGCCTTTGCTGAGGGGCAATAAGCTGCAGTACCTCCAGTGTCCACTGGAGGCTTACTCCAAAAGAGAGAAATCTACAGTGTCACCCATATTAAACGATCCTTTTTAAAGTAAAATCAAACATGGTTACCTTCCTTGATGACTTGTGATGACTGACATATTGGGCCTCAAAATCTTTGCTATGTCCATGTTTTACAGGATTTTGAGGCCCAAGGAACAAGACAAACACAGAGCCAT